CCAGCTGTAAGAAGGACTGGCCGGCTCTACTGCAAATCTTTCCAGGGCCTGTGTAAGGCTTTGTCCAGTTTGAGGAACGCTTCATCAAAGCATGGGAGTGCCTCTAACACAACCTCCTTAACAGAGCATTTTAATAAATAGCAATCAGTCAGCTGCAGCTGATGTCTTGGCGGTAACGTGTTCCAATTTTAGTCTATCCTGCTATAATTCTTCAAGGTGGATTAGCTCGTATGAGATTGGAAAGCAGGGAAATGAGGTCAGTATGCCATGGAGACTATCTTGATTCATCTGCAGCATTTCCCAGCATGTGCTATTTGGTGCCAAGTAGAGCAGCGTGATGCAAGCACATTAGGACTAAATGCAACAAACGGAGTGCTGAAAACAGAGCGCTTTCCCTCCATGTTCTTGGACTCTCCCAGGAAGGCATGGTTATTTACCAAAAGGCCCCCTCCCCCCACTTTTGTGTTTGATGTATTTTCTAAAGGCTTTTGTTCTTTTCACTTACATTTGATACCATTGTAATTTATTTTGTTGTAAGGAGTGGATTGGGAATCCAACTTCAGCATCATTTATTGTATACTTCATCTTTCCCCATTAATATAAAATGCCACCCTGATTGTACACTCAATTCCAGTAAGAATTTGGGTCTTGTGGGAGAAAATGCTAGGTATTTACTAAATCTGTTCCCTCTTCTTTCTAGACACACACAACAGGGCAATTCCCCAGCTTCTGCTGCAATTAGGACTGATGGGCGGGCCCATAAAAGCCTCTGCATATGACTAACCCCCCCCCCCCCCCCCCGCCCCCATACTCTCTACCTGTGGTAGATGTGAGTGGAAATCTCCTCCGGAAAGGCTTGGGAAGACACATACCGAGGATGGCGGAGCTGAAGTTGCAAGGAGCCTGACCCTCAGCATCCTGGCTCCGAGAGCCTGATGAGCAGAAGCATTTTGTTGGACTTTATGAAAATGAGGTAATCTTTCATTTTATCTTAGCCATTAGTTTTCTATTTTTTTCTTCTTAAACCAGATATCCCTACTCTAACCGACTTCGGTCCATTTCCGGACACTATTATGTTCCATTTACCTATTTGCCTGCTCACATGCTAGTAATGCACTATTTTAACTAATATAATAGTTTTATAATGTATTTTGGTACATAGTATAGCTAATACCTTAAGTTTAACTTTACATTTTTTTTTCTGTTATCTCTTGCATAATTATTTTCCCACATGAACTTTAGAACTTTAGAACCAGTGTCACAAGTTAAAGTAAAACCTCATTGGTATGTTTTCTAAAATTGCATTATATGTACCCTGTTTCCCCGAAAATAAGACAGTGTCTTATATTAATTTTTTCTCCCAAAGTTGCACTAGGTCTTATTTTCAGGGGATGTCTTATCTTTCCTTGCGCTAGGTCTTATTTTCGGAGGATGTCTTATTTTCGGGGAAACACGGTAGTTTGATGTAGGAAGGGTTGACATCTTTATAACAATTAATTTTCTTATATAAGCACATCCCTTTCCCCTTCTTATTCTTCAATAACTTGGTAGTTTCCTTTGAAGAATAGGTGATAGTTTTTTATTTATTCACAAGTATCTTTTGGGGGCCAAGTTATGCTCTTATAAGGTTTTTTTTTTTTTTTTTTTTTTTTTTTTTTGCATCTTTTATTGATTTTGTACAGAGAGGAAGGGAGAGAAATAGAGAGTCAGAAACGTCGATGAGAGAGAGTCATCAATCAGCTGCCTCTTGCACACCCCCTACTGGGAATATGCCTGCAACCAGGGTACATGCCCTTGACCGGAATTGAACCCGGGACCTTTCAGTCCCCAAGCCGACGCTCTATCCATTGAGCCAAACCGGTCCCGGCTCTTATAAGGTTTATTATTCTAGTATTTTATAACTGGTTGTTGCTTGTATAGGATGTCTACTAGAATGCTATGTCAAACAAAAGTAAACCACCAGTCTGATACCCAAGAAAGACAGTTAACAAGCAAAATAAGTCTTTAACAACGTTTTAACACATCTACCTCGTAGCACAAGAACAGAGTATATTATATAATGAGAAGTTTTGTGTAGGTTTGTCCGGGATGGTCACAGAATGTCCTCCCCCTTGACTGGAATTCCAAAGAGCTCCCGTGTTTATAGACTTTCCATGCAAGCACTGTCATGTTGGGTGTGAAGGAGCCCAGTGGACATCATCGTTCTCCACTAAATTCTTAAACATCCTAAAAATAGGCACAGGCATTCAGGCAGATGGAGAAAAAAATGTTATTACCGATAAAACTGGTATTAAGAGAATGAGGCTTAAGTTTGTGGCAACAACTGGTTTCTAACACTGCTCCCAGAGATAGACTCCTGCCATCCATCGGCACCACTGGACAACTGTAAGCCTCTCCCATAGGACGTTCCTGAAATTCTCTCCTCATTCATCCTTGCCCAGGGAGGGGAGGATAACAGGAAGAGCAAGGCCGGGCTGTGATGGAAGGTGCTTCCACATGGCAGGGAAATCAGAAGTGAGAAAGTGTTGCTCTTCCAATGGTCAGCAAAGCTGTAACCTAGAGCAATTCAATACTTTTAAGGGACCAAAAGTTTATATCCACAGTTTTTGGCAGTAAGGTCAAATGTTAGATGTGAGTTTTAGACAGAAAATCAAACTATCTCTGTTTTAGAGTCATGCTGACATAAGCATTGTAGAACCTGGTTTTTACAGGTTTTCCCTGGGAGAGAACAGATGACAAAACATGGAAAATGGGCATGGTGGCCTTTCTTTTATAACTTACTCTATGGATACAATCATTAGATTACAGTTATTTTACTCTTTTGGACTCATGTAGTAACACCTAACCCTTGGTAACTGTTTGTTATTGTGTAGTACCTGTTTGTTTTTGTTTAATTTGATCTCAAAGACAGCATGCTCACGAGACGATACATAATGTAGGTCCCAATAAAGTTTATTACTGCCAAGCCCCAAATGACCACTATTTTCTGTACTCATTAAACATTTTTTGAAGCCCTATGATAGACAGGAATTGTGCCCGAGACCAGGGCTATGATGTACTTTGACCATGAGCTCCTTGAGGACCTAGAACACCTCAAGGTATTAAAGCTATGGCCTATGCTTACATTTAGGTCACTTTTACAGAAGTCACTCAAAAGCCCTTATTTCACTGATATTCATGCCTAATCCATTGTACTGTGATGTTTCTCATTGGTACTTAGAGTACATATACAGGATGTCTTATAAATTAAATATTTTCCTATTTGAAATAAGCAGAGACATAATTTGCTGAGTTGGTTTTAGTCAACAAGTAGGGAATGAATTTTATTCTTCTAAAAGAATTACAGACCAGGAGAACTAAACAATCCAGTGTCCCTAAAAAGGAAATTGATGCTCTTTTGTTCTACCTGAGTTAAAACCATGATGAATCACCTCAGTTCATGGGAATTGTAATAAATGACTACTAGCTAAACCAGACCCATAAGGTCAATGCCATAAACACACTGAGATTATATACAATTAATTAGTACTACAGTTTAGTTTAAAATTTCAAAACCTCAATACACACCTGTTTATTTCTTTTAGCACACAAAATTAATTTACTCATAAAAGTAACATCTGTTTACAGAACTCGAATAAAAATTTAAAAATAAATAGCACTATTTTACAATTCTGATCTTACAGAGAAATAAAACTTTTTGGCACATAATGTTCTATCAAAATAGGAAGTTAAATCAGTTTGCTTTGCTTTTCATTACAGAAATAAGCATTCACACTATCAGCCTTGGAAAATCCCATGTGGTGACGAGAAAAACAGAATCATGTTTTTCTTGATTTTCAGAAAAATGGGATCTGGTGCCATCTAGTGAGTGGTAATGATAATGCTACTGTGGCTGCCAGCCATTAAGTTGGGTAACACTATAATTTTGGTTACATGCAACTCAGCAGGTACACATGTGCTCAGGGCCTGAAAGTTACATGCAAAAATGTACACAACTACTGAATTAGGACTGAGGAATAATGGATTTTTTCCCTGCAAATGTCATCCTACCTTTGAAAGAAAAAGAAATCAAGGTAAAAATGATTATTGAACACAAGGGATACTAAAGAGGAGAGACTTTAGAGGCCAATTAAGTAAATGAAAAGTTCCGTGATTACTATAAGAGCAAGTCAGGTAGGCTCTCTTACTCTTACTCATGGGAGGCTGGTGGAAGGCAGTATTTATGGTAGGCCAAAATTAAGGACTTAAACTTTTCCTTACTATTTACATGAAGAATATCTATACAGACTGCCAATAAAGTGGCACTTAGGAACTATAGTGACAATCAATGCTCACACTTACTTTCTTGGAGGCCAAAACTCCCAAATGGCTTTTCTGATTAGCAAACTAGAGTTAATTTTTGTTTGGTTGAGTTTACTGAGAGCATTTTTAGCAAGGGCTGAGCTACAGAACAAACACTCCTAGAGAGGTAGACTTCCTGTAAAATTTTCATGGACTGGCATGTTATTATTATTTTGGTAGTAGCTTTTGAGAATATTACTTTCCTATAAGGCCATGTTTGTGGCTGTCCTTCCATGATTTGTTTCTTAGCTATCCCTCAAAGGGCAGGGCCTTGTCTGTTCTGTTCATTACCATATACCCAGCGGGGAATTATGTCTGACACATGTCTCGATAAATGTCAGATAGTTGAGTGAATAAATCAATGAATGAATGAATTTCATACAGTCCAACTGACTTATGGGAAAAAGGGAAAAGAGGAAAAAACAAAACACCATCACAAAAGTGAGGACAATTATATCGATAGAAAGGAAGAAAGATAAGCAACGGGGGTAGTCTTGATGACAACAAAATTGCCATCATTCAACAACTGACGATACCTGAAGGATTTTAAGTCAAAGTTAATATAAAAACAAAGTGTCTCTGGAAGACTCATTTACAAATAAGTTAACAAAAACCGGCTACTACATCGAAATGTAATAGGAGTCCAGTGCTTTGCTGTTTCAAGGTGGAGGGGACTTTGCTGAGTACTCCAGGTGGAGGTCTAGAGTCCCATAGAGGGAGCGGAGTACACTGAGGACTTTTTCCTGAATGGCGTCTACTTGCTCAGAAGGACAGTAATCATCCAGACTTGACCTGGAACCAAAAGAAGGAGGAAAAAAACCCAACCACATAAATAAGATGAGATCACTGTGCAGTGAGGAAAAGCCTGTATGTGTTCATTTCAGTATAAAATAGAAAGTATGCTAAATTTTGGAATAACAGCAGTTGAAAGGTACTGAATGTTTATTCATGGCAGGTACATGACACAAACTATGTTCTTCAATCTTCTCAGTCACACTAAGAAACAGGTACATTTACCTCCCCGTTAAAGGACTGAAACTGAGAGAGATTAGCATGCACAGGTCCCTTAGCCGGCAGCCAGTGAGTGCTACTGAAGGGGTTTGAAGCCACAGGGCCCATCTTCAAACGCCAGGTGCTTCCTCAGTGGACTGACTGCTGCTGCCCTGAAAGGGAGATGTTGCTGGGGACCCTGGGGCTTACTATTGTAGTGCTTGGCATCCTTCTTTTTATGTGTGCGATGGGGCTAGAACTTAGGAGGGGAGAGGTTTTCCAACTGATAGAAGGGATCTGCTTCTAAAAATAATTTAACTACACAAGTGCATAGGGTCGTCCAAAAAGAAATGTAGGAATGTGCTGGTGTGGGGATTAATTTCCTATGTTGTAAGTATTGAGGAAAAGAGTCAAGTGGATGGGACAGAAATTGACATTTCGGGAGTCTTTCTAGAATCACCAAGACAATTTGAACGGCCAGGCAACTATGATGTCACTGATAAAGAGAGCTGGACTAAGATCTGAAAAGATTTGATCAGTGTCTCCTGGTTCTGAACTGGGTGAGGAAGCCATTTAGAAGGATGGATTGGGAAGAGTGATATAGAAACTTTTATAGACAGAAATGGGATTAGTTACTCAGGCTATCACACTTACCTTGCTATTGTTACAAGAGTAGGTTTTGGTAAACTTTTCAGTAAATAATATACAGACTGAATAAGATACTCAATTTCTTGTTCTGTGCTGACATGGTGAGGAAGTTCTGAATAATCACAGGTTAGACCAGCCTGATGAACCTAAATATAAGACAATTAAAAATTACACCGTAAGGCTTTATTATGTTTAGAAGATTCTTTATCCATTATTTGCCTTGCTGACAAATCTTTTAATATTTTTGTGAATTTGGATGGCTTTTTCCTTAGTAATTTTTGTGCCACAGAAGTTACTTATTTTTTCAGGTTTGTAAGAACTGGCTCTTATTTGGGCCTGCTGCCTTTTCCAGAAATAGTTCTTGACTCTTTACATTTATTTTCTGATTATGGATTCATTCAGTTTCTGTATTTACATGAGTCTTTCTGACAATTCACATTTTCTAGCATATTATCCATTTCACCTAGATTCTAAAAGCTGATATAAAGCTATACATTATATTCTCACCTTACCTTTTCTCCCAGTGTTTTATTTTCTTTTTAAATAGATGCACTTAGTATTGCATTCAAAGCTTTAGGAGGATATAAGGGAGCGTCTTCCTATCTTATTTAACCTACTGTTCCTGGTTTTTTGTGCATCCTTTGTGTAAAAGCACATACTACTGATATCTATACATGCATTTTAAATATAATTGACTGGCACCAAATTCAATATGCCTGAAAGCTGGAAGTGGCTCACAAGCTGGCATTTTGCAGCTTCTGCTTTAAAGTTCTGGAAAATTGGATCTCAAATATGTCACAGTTTTGCCTAGCGTACATGGGGAAAACACTAATCTGCTATTTTATTGGAGACCCTTGATTAACATCAAAGATTTAACTGACAATGATCCGTTAATGTAGTAAAATGACACTATGCATGGTCTTTTCTACTAAATTGATTAAAACACTCAGTGTCCTATCCCTGCAGCTATAGGCACGCCATATTTGATTACATAACCTGACTGAGCCCATGACATTCCTTTTCTCAGCAATGTATAAAACCCTCCCAACCATCACAAAACCCAGATGCAATGGAACAATGAAAGTAGATCTGCATGAAGTCACATGTATTAATATCACATGAGCGCAAGCATTTTTAACCCTAAGTGTCTTCTCTTTCATTCTTTATTTGATCCTCACCCCAGGAGTGAGAATATTTTTCCCACTGACTTTGAGAGAGAGTGGGTGGTAGGGAGAGGAGGAGGGGAAGAAAGAGAGCGGAGGAAGAGAGAGAGAGAAACATCGATGTGATAGACACACATCAACTGTTTGCTTCCCACATGCTCCCTAACCAGGAGTTGGGGTTGGACCTGAAACCCAGGTATGTGCCCTTGACTGGAAATCGAACCTGTGACCCTGCGGTGCAAAGGCCGATGCTCTAACCATTGAGTTCAGGTGGTCAGGGCTTCTCTTTCATTCTCAGTAACTGCCATTAAAAAGGATGACTATGGATGGTGCTATCTGGATATTAGAAATACTGGGTGAACACTTTGTAAAGTATATGATTGTCTCACCACTATGCTGTACACTTGATCCCAATATAAAATAATACTGAATGTACAAAAAAAAAAAAAAAAAAAAAAAAGGTGAGCCTTAGATTAGCCACAATTTAACCAAAATATTCTTTTGCTGGCATTTTTCTCATAAAATTAGCATTAAATCAATATGTAAACTTCAGTTCAAATGATGTGGTTCGATTGTATTCCATGATTAAATAAAATATTAAGCAGCTCCAGAAGTAAAAGGAGAGAAGGCTGGGGGCTGGGAAGGGATATGGGGGAGGTCTCAGCTCTGGCACAAAATCAGAGAACAGGCACATGAACTTCAGCTGGGAAAATTTATACGTCAAAGACTGCAGAATGATATCAAAAGAGATTATCATTAAAGGTATTGTCTTTTGCCAGAGAATTCAAATCACTGCTGGCAAACACAGTTAGTTATATAGCTGATTCAGTTAAGAGGCAAGAACCAACTCACCAGAGTGCCTTCTTGAATCTTGCTGTTTGGTTTTTATAATCAGAAAATTTTACAATCAGGAAACAAAGGAGGGGAAAAAAATGAAATTGTATTCTTTCTTTTCTCTGGGAAGAAGAGATCTGACAGAAACAAAAACAAAACCCCACAAAAACAAAAATACAGCACTTTTTCCTCATAGGTAAAATTGGGAAAAATATGTTATTCCTAGAAAAAAAAAAGCATGTATTTCTTTTTCACCACTTAAAAAATATTCATTCAAACTTCCCAAGAACATGAATAAAAGTGTCCTACTTCAACAAAAAGCACACTTTTCTACCAAGAAATGCCTTTAGAAAGGGCCATTTTTTTACTTCAATATAAAATAATTTACCATTTCATAGTCTGGCACGTCCATCCGTTTTTTCAAACTCTGCACAAGTGGAATTAGTGATTCCATTCTGGAAAACAGCCACAGCTCAATTAAACATTACAGTACCTCAACCAAAATTACAGCAGCCAGTGATACATTACCCTTAAAACTCACCATCAACAATGATTCTTTAAAAAAAAAAAATTTTTTTTTGATTTTTCACAGAAAGGAAGAGAGAGGGACAGATAGCCAGAAACATCCAGGAGAGAGAAACATCGATCTGCTGCCTCCTACACACCCAGCACTGGAGATGTGCCTGCAACAAATGTACATGCCCTTGACCGGAATCGAACCAGGGACCCTTCAGTACGCAAGCTGACACTCTATCCACTGAGCTAAACCTGTTTTGGCAACAATATGATTCTTGGGAAATGAAAGATAATGCTGTTCAAACGTCATCTTAAAAATGTTCCCTGCTGTTTTCTTACCTAAAAAGATTACAGATTGTGTTCAAGACTGAAAATTACCACTTGAAAAATGGAGCTTTTCCTTTTCTTTAAAAATGCAAGTTCTACTGTGACTTTAAAAGTCACTTTGATCAGCAAGAAAAGTAAGTGTCTTTAGCACACAGTGTCGAAAAAAAGCTTGAACTGATGTTAAAGTGCTGGGATAATATTTACTGATGTGATTATGCGTAAGTAATACATAACAAAGGAAGGTATCGCTCCCTCATCATTTAGCCAAATAATTATTCTCCCCAGAGATAACTGCTTTTCTAGTTTCATCCTTATTCTTCCAGAGACCTGTTGAATTATCTATACATATAAAAGCCTAAGCAAACATTCCGACCAGAATGACCAGTTGCTATAATGCGTACTGACCAATAGGGGGCAGACGCTCAATGCAGTAGCTCTATGTAGTAGGGGCAGCTGCTGCACAATGACTAAAAGCACACCCTCTTGCTATGTGATTTGGGATGACTTAACCTCTGCGCCTTAGTTTCCTCATCTATAAAATAGACATGATAATAATGAAGCCATAAGATTGTTATAAGCAATAAATAATGCAAAGAAATACTTAGAATTAGGATTATATTGGGCACACAGAAAAAACTAGTAAATTTGTGTTGAAATTTAATATAAAATTTTTAAAAGCAATTTAGTAAATTTAACAAATCTATCTAGGACTGAAATATAGTAGAGTTGAAGAAAAAAATGTCTGAAGGTCTTACCCAGGGTTTGAAGCCCATTTCTGTACAGTTTCTTCATCATCACCATCACACAAATCAGCAAAAGTAGCTTCTAAGTCTTCTAATTGGTGAATTCGAGTATCAACACAATCTACCAAATCTTCCTTTAAATGCATAGAAAAGCCAAGATTATGGTTGTTCTTTCAAAAACAAGTGAAGGAGAATGGGGGAAGTGGAAGTGAGCAAAGGGGAGATAAATGAGAACAGAGACTTGATTTTGGGTAGTGAGTGTACAATGCAGTGTGCTGATGTTGTTTTATTGGGCTGTACACTTGAAACTTGTATGGTTTTATTAACCGATGTCACTCCAATAAACTTAATTTAAAAATAAATAATTTAAAAAATACTCTATTTTGTAAAACAAAACAAAATTTCAATTCATTAAAACATGATTTTCAAGTACAAGTCATAGACTTCCCAAACACACACACACACACACACACACACACTCACACAAAGATTTTGGACAGTTGAGAGCCCTCTAATAAGCTGTTAAGATATTATTATGTGACAAACAGATCAAGCCCAAAAGAAATAAATGGAGGATACCTCTGTCAGGTTGGTGCCAGGCTTTTTAAATTGGTACAGCTCTTGTAAGATTTTGTATTCCTCCTAAAAACAACACACACAAAAATTTTATCAATGATATGCGTAAGTAGAAAAAATTTAATTTTATCAATGATATGCGTAAGTGAAAAATGGCTGTGATACAAGAACATCTTCCATAATCATTAAAAGCTCTACCTGGGAAAATTAGGCAAAATGTGTAATTCAGATTTCATTGTAAATATTATCATTTCTTCAGCGTTAACTCTATCCATCTGGGCATGACAAGGAGAGGTCTATGATTATTGAGATAAATCACAATGGCTTCTGATATGTATACAGAATAAGGATTGTAAAGTGCTGCAGCATCATTATAAATCAAAAACTGAACTTAGAAAAAAGACAATTTGAATCTCCCCAAAATAGATCTGGGACAACTTTCTGAACACTAAGGCAAGCAGATACTCATGCCCATAAAATGCACCTCTGAATGCTCATTTGGACCTTGAACTCACCAGTTTCTCAAATACATGATTCTATTTCAGATCAGTGCATACTGCTATTATCTTATAATTTGCATTTAAGATCTGCTAAGGTGTCCTAAGGATCACAGGACTTAAAGACTAGTTATAAAAAGTATATGTGTAATTAGACACCTTACTCCTTACTGAAAAGTTTGTCACACAGGGTTTTACAGACATAGAATATCTCTGGGCTCGGTCAACCTGGCTCAGTGGTTGAGCATGGACATATGAACCAGGAGGTGACAGCTCGAATCCTGGTCAAAGCATATGCCTAGGTTGTGGGCTGGATCCCCAATGTGGAGTGTGCAAGAGGCAGCTGATCAATGATTCTCTCTCATCTTTGGTGTTTCTCTCTCTCTTCCTCTTCCTCTCTGAAATCAATATAGATATGTCTCTATATATAAAAGGCTAATATGCCAAGTATCCAACCATCCAATAGGTTGGTATGATGCTCACTGACCACCAGGGGCTGCTGAAATGCTATGAAGCACACTGACCACCAGGAGCTGCGGAGCTGCAGTGACTTGGCAGCAGCGGTTCCCAGGTGATGCACCCGAAACCAGAGAAGGGAGCGCATGATTCCACTTCAGCCACGGGTTATGTTGTTGCTGGGGCACTGCTGGCCCTGAATCTGTTAACTGCACACTTGGGTTTGTGTTCCACACCCTGTACAACAGCAATTTTGCAGAGTGCCCTCTCTCACTCCGGGACCCCTCAGGGAATGTTGAAGAGCCAGTTTTGGCCAATCCCTGCAGGCCAGGCTGAGGGACCCCACCTGCCGGAGGTACCTGCTCACTCCATAAATGCCTTTTGAGCCATGGTGCCATCTCAGGTGCAGATGGGCTGGAGAGGGACTGCAGGAGGTTGGCTCCAGAGCGTCTCTGGTTTATCTTCCCAGTCCCACCCACCTTCTAATTAACTTTTTTTTCAATGTGTTAGAATCCGTGAACCCCATGAACCATGTCACTAGTGTGTTTGTGTGTGTGTGTGTGTGTGTGTGTGTGTATAAAATCATCTCTGGGAAGATACCATAAAAAAATGGCCATAGTATTTGTTTCGAGGTAAGAATCTGAGGGACTGGGAATGTGTAAGGGACTGACCTTCTTTAATGTACACACTTTCTTCTATTATATCACTTTTTTTTTTTCAACTGCCCATGCACACATCACCCCAATTAATAGATGCAAAATAATAGATACTATTTAGAGCAGGGGACTGTTTTTGTACGGCCTTCGTGTTATGAGTGGTATATATAATTACAAAAGATTTGAAAGAACAAGGAAGAATACGTGACAGAGGCCAATACGGTCATTACTATCTGGCTGTTTGCAGAAAGTTTGCTGCTCCCTGATCGATAGAAATGTCATGTAATTCTTAAGGTCTATGTTTTAAAAATGTTTACCTGAGTGAACATTTCTTTGAAGGGATTCTTGACTGAAAAAAAATCTAAGTCAATATCTAAAACAAATGCATCCCCTTTCTTCAAAATTTCCAGAATTTCTCCAGAGCTGACCGTAGTCTGGCATTCCTGGCTCTCAGAAGAACAAGAACATGAAGGTTCCAGGCTGGTGTGGACCCTTCTCTGGGTCACCGTGTCCTTTTCCAATCCTTCTGAACAAGAGGCACAGTTAGTAGAGGCAGTGTGTTCTGCATCTTCCCGTGCTAGCTTTGGTTTCTTAGCAGAAGACACTGCATCGTTTTCCTCTTGATTGTTACAGAGTTTATATGGCTTTACCATAATTACATCCAATTGTAAAGGTTTTTGGTTCTCTAGCTGGTCTTCAGTTACATAAAGACCATCACTTAGGAAGTAGTGATCTGTACTTGTTACCCTGGATCAGAGGAAAAAAACTATTTTAAAGATGAATAGACAAATTAACTGATGCTTCATTTTATTTATTATTTCCATGGCATTGCAAATCTAGAGGACATATTAGACAAAACCTGAGAGCTGCCTTTAATATTTGCACTTCTTATTCTCCTGTAGAAATAGCATTCCCCAAGTTTTTAACTGGGCACACAACTGCCCAGTCACATTGGACTAAGTTCTCACCTTGCTCTCCCCTTCCCACCAACTGGCATATGACACGGAAATGACAAACCCACCTTGAACTATGAGGACAAAGGCAACATTATGGAGATTATGCGGCAAACAGACAGAAGGAACTGGGGTTACCCAAACTATTGAACTGCTATCTGGGTCCTGGACTGTATGCGATAAACGAACACGAGAACGGAAAATGCTGCTGTTCAAGCCAGTGTCTTGGCTTTCTTTCACACCAGTTAAAACTTTATCCCCCACCCCTCCAAAAAGAAAATCATTCAAGAGAAAAATTATACATCTGGAAACAATCTCTCATAATGGAAGCTCCCTCTGATGTATTTCAAAGCTTCGTTAAACTTGATATAATCATATAAAATTTTAATAAAAACAGCAACTTAAAAAACATTTTGTACATGTGCAGAACGTATTTCACAAGTTGCAGATTTCTGTTTTGGACACATTGGCAGGATTTTAGCTTTTCAATTATATTATGCCTTGTTTAGTGTTATGAACAGTGAATGCAGGCTCTAACCAACTAAAATAATGGTTAATAGTTATTCCCATCCATTCCACTCCAACACATACAGCCTTAAATTGAAAAAGACATAATTGTCCCAAAAAAGATTAATGGTGCAATAAAACTAATGCCCAGGCTTATTAAAAACTGTATCATCCTAAAAAAGAAAAGGCTTAACCTAACTCTGTATTCTTCTTTAATAATGGATATTTTACTTTGTTAGTATCAGTACAAACATACACATTTCAGACTGCATACCTATATATATGGGAGTTTCTTTCATAAATTTTTACTTGTAGGATTCAGTTCATGAGATAATAAAAATCTTCCTAATATTGTTATTACACTGAGTTTCAAATGTCTATTTCAGATTGCTCAAAATTATTTGATTTTGCAGAAATCCATTATAGGTTACAGCAGGCTTACTCACTGAAGTATCAATAAAAATCTTATCACTCTTTCACATATACTGGTATTAATGTATAATATTCATTATATAAGAAACCCTTTTACTTAGTGTTATATCCTCAATAAATACAATTTCATATATACAAAAATTAAGTTATTTGTGTAATTGATAATAATATATAACAAAAGTGAATCATATTATGAAGGTAGGCCAGAAGTAAAAAGTATCATTTTTAATGAGAAAGACTATTTCATTTTCAATGTATGACACTTTAATCCCACTAACCTTCAGGTTATAGAGAGTAGTTCCACTACTTAAAACATTCATCTCATCACAAGAGAATTAAGAAGAAACACAAAACATTGGTTACATAGCTTTTACAACAAAAACAGTTGCACATGTAAACTGCCAGAGTATTCTGTAGTTTAATTTAGATTATCTAAAGCTGGTCATGTTAATAAAATTAAAACACCAAATCTCGTTTTTAGCCATTTGATTAAAAAAAAGTGAGTCCAGTTGGTGTCCTTAAGCACCAACCTCTGAACCAGGAGGTCATGGTTCTATTTTTGGAAAGGGCACATGCCCAGGTTGCAGGCTCGATTCCCAGTAGGGGGTGTGCAGGAGACAGCCGTTCAAAGATTCTCTCTCATCATTGATGCTTCTATCTCTTTCTCTCTCCCTTCCAATTTTTTCTAAAAAAATCAATAAAAAACAAACAAACCACCAAACATATCCTCGGGTGAGGACTGGAAAAAAAAACACAACAAAAATCTTGACCAGTAGCAAAATATAAATGGTATGTGAATAAGGTCAAGACTTGAAAACCTGTTCCTGGAGCTTGAGAACTCTTTTTGGAAGAGCTGAGGCTTAATCTGACTTTATCTATGTGTTGAGATACTGATAAATTATTGCAGGGATCCAACATAAGATAGAAGCATTCAACCTTTCATACTCATAAATATGAGGAAATTACCTGATGGTTGTGGTAGAAGTGTCTTTGCCTACTAAAAAGTGATGTGTACCCTCTCTGATTTGCTGAGCCCATGTGGGATGAAGCCAAACTACATTGGAAAAATGGCCAGCATAAACTGCAGGCATAATCCAGTTCTCAATACTTAATTCTCTGGAAAAGAAACAGAGAGGAAGAATGAAAACTGTTAGTGAGTGATTTTTTCCCAAATGTAATTTCATTCACAATAATATTTTAAGATAGCAGGTCTCAAAGCATGGTCTCAGGTACTCTTGGGAGGTTATTGAGACTTTTCTTGTGACCACTAATTAAAAAGTTTTTCTAAAACACTAAGGCATAATTTTGTTTTTTCATGGTATTGACATTTGCATAGGTGGTGCAAAGCAATGGTGGATTGATGTCCTAAGATTAATCAAGGTAATAGAACCAAATTCTACTAGTAATCACCGTATTCCTCACTACCACGCACTAACGCTCTCCTCACTCCACCAGAGTCAGTTTTAGGTAAGATTGTCCTTCATGATTAAAACTTGATCTTAAATATACATTTTACAATGTGAGTTATATTTATTTTTATATCACAAAATGAGAAGTGCATGGAAAGTACTTTCTTTACATACTTTGAAGTAAATGGTTGTCTCAAGAAAAGCATTTGTGATTCAATTGCAGGCCAAAGACCAAACTGATTAATAAACCATGGTTATTCAGACTTGAATCTGAATTGTTGGATTCTAGTCTAGCTAAGCTTTAGGAAACTAACACTTATCAATTGTCGGTATAATATTAAAGAATATTCACAATGATCTGAAAAGGCTATGAAAATTATCTTCCTGAATCTTTTTCATATACTTCCACCAAAACAACATATGGGCAACAGAGTGGATGCAGAAGCAGATATGAGAATCCATCTGTTTTCCCTAAAGGCAAAGATAAAGGAGATTTATAAAAGTTTAAGTAGTATTACTCTTCTTACTAGTTTTTTTTTCTGCTTTAGAAAAATACATTGTTTTTCCATAAAATTATTGATGCTAACATATAGAGGTTTATTGTTATTTTGAAATTAATATCATATATATCTCAGTTTTAATTTCAAATATAGTAAATATCAATAGATATAACCACATTAAAGAAAAAACTCAATGATTTTTAAGGGTATAGAGGAATCCTGATTCTAAAATGTTTAAGAACCATTATTTTATGATTAACTGTACAGTCTGCATACCTGCTTCATAATTCTTTTCAATTTCTAAGACATAGAACTTCTAAATATAAAAGAGTAAGGACAATGGCAGAGTTAGCATGTTTCTTTAGAAACTCGTGCTCTGAATTGGGGTTTTGGAAAAAGTAAAATGTAGTAGGGTAAAATTAAATCACGTAAGTATCTATCTTTTAATTTTATAAATCAGAAAAATTACTGCTATGTAACTTTTTATATTGTACAAATAGGTTACATTTTAACAAATATGTACTTAGAGGCAGTGACAGAATTTCAGGAAACTTTCTTACAGAAGAGAAACTAATAAGTAACTATTTGGAGATACATTAGGTATGATCCTTCATGAAGAATAGAGTACAAATCACCAATTTCACTTCCATCTCAGTGATTCTATGTAACTGAAGGATTTGTGACCTGAAAATAACTCAGTACTGAAAGACAAGATATACAAGTTAAATTATTGCACATTTTCTTGTGCCTCAGTTTTAAAGTGGAGAGAAAGGGAGAACTGGCTCAAATAATTTACCAAGTGTCTTTTATTTCTAAAATTCTGTTATTTTCAAGCAGAGTTTGGCACACATTGGCTGAGCCACCTGTCTTTGTAAATAAAGTTTTACTGGAACAAAAGAACAGCCACTTGTTTACACACTGTCTAGAGCTGCTTTCACACTAGAAGGGCAGAGATAAGCAGTTGCAACAGAGACCATATGGCCAGCAAACCTAAAATATGTACGACCTGGCTCTTTAAGAAAAAGTCTACAACATTAGCTCTAAATAAAACATAAAAGGCCAACAAAACAAACTCATGAGTTTAACGAAGTCTATTTCCCTTAATTGCTTGTTATCTACTGCAAATTGTATTTCAAGCACATAAACAATCATTGACAAAACCATATATTACCCAAAAAGAGTTTCCTTATCAAACACGGTGTCAGCTGGCATATTCACAGGAATAAGGAGGTCTGGATGTGAATCAAAATGCACAAAACTTATATTACTGTCAGGAAGATGTTTTGAGCCAATGGCTCGGTATATGAACGGCAGAACCTGTAGAAGACACATGCACACATTCAGAATTGGCACTGAAATCAGAAGCATACAGTCAACTGCAGACTGAAAAAGGTTAAATGTAATTGCACATAACCTGAAGCACACCAAGTTGCTAGCAAGCAGGAAAATATATGTCGGGAAAGGTGCTCATTGTAGATGATTTAGATAATGATCTCAAGCTTTATTTTCCCCCCAGAACTTCTAACTTGCACCTGCAAAGTCTCTAATGGGCATCTCTGCTGTCATCTTGCCACCACAACAAACTTAACAGACAATATGAAGAAACAAAGGACGGAGGCTCAGAAAACACTTGCTAGTTCATACATGTTCTAGCACTAAAGATGTGTTCACGCTACTCTGGGTCCTTTCCATACTTTAGGAAGATGCAGTCTAAAGGGCTTTGTCCTGTTACAGTCTGTATATTTCTAGATTTAAAGCTGAATTTGATTAAGCAAAGAAAAAAAACCCCTCATAGACAGTGACAACTGTATGGTGGTCATGGGAGGGAAAAGGAAGCAGGAAGAGGGTAAAGGTGGGATAAAGGAACACACAATACAATATAAAATGATGTAGAACTGTACACCTGAAATCTATATAATTTTATTAACCAACTAGAGGACAGGTGCACAAAATTTGTGCAAAGGTGTGGGGGGGGGGGTTCCTCAGCCCAGCCTGCACCCTCTCCAACCTGGGACCCCTCAAGGGATGTCCAACTGCCAGTTTAAACCAATAGTCAGACATCCCTCTTGCAATCTGGTCTGCTGGCTCCTAACTGCTCACCTGCCTGCCCACCTGCCTGCCTGATCACCCCTAACTGCCTCTGCCCTGGCGCTGTCACCACCCTGGCTTTGTCCAGGAGGACCACTGGAAGATGTTTGGTCCACCTGGCCTAATTAGCATATTACCATTTTATTAGTATAGATATCACTGCAATAAGTTGACTTAAGAACTACCCACAATGAGTTATCAAAAAGAGAAAGAGACAGAGCAAGAGAGAAAGAGACACTGAATTTGAAAGCACTGCCTAACCCACACTTGCTCTTTCTCTCAGGTCCACACTATGTGTCCAGGTCATGAGGAGCCAAACTTCCTCTCAACTTCCTCCACCCATCAATCCGGATCACCCTTTTCCTCTTTCATATCCAGAGACTCCTCAGTTTATTAATGCTACTTAAAAAAAAAAAATAGTCTCAGATCATGGACCTCTTCGGTAGCTTCTAGAAATCAGCATTCAGGCACTGTTTCAGCAAGTCTTAATATATGGAAACGATCTTAATATTTAGAAACGCGGGACACCGTGCTAAATGTAGGGCACACTGTGCACACAACAACACTACTAAGGGCTCTAACGATGCTACGTGACTGTCCCGGTTTCACAGATGACAGTGCGCAGCCCCCCCCCCCCCCCCCACACACACACCGCAGGGCTGTGACAGCAGGAAACCCGCGTTAAGATGCAGGTCAAGGTAAGGATTCCGGGCTCTGCGGTCTGACTGCCTGGGGTTCGAATCCCGACACCACCACTCGTTGAACTGTGGGGTTTCGGGGGCGAACCGTGCGAGTTAAATGAGTTGCCCCACAAACGCCAGCGCCGCCTCCTCCAAGGCAGTCCTGGGTTTTCCCCGCCGCAATGCCACCCGCGCATCCGCACGTTCCGGTTCTAGGCCTCCCAGGCCCAGGCTCCGCCGCACCTCCTGGTGGTCCTCCACCACCCACACCGGCAGCTCGGGGTAGCGCCGCACGCGAGGGCCTCCTCCCGCCGAGTCGCTCATTTCTCCGCGCTCGGCGGCGTCCCGGACGCCCCACGACCTGCGGGAGCCCGAGTGTCGGCCCCACCGCCCTCCCCGGGCGGACTGGCGCGCTCACCCGGTTGCGGTTCCGGATTGGAGGACGCCCAGAGCAGGGGGCGGGCGCCGGAGGGCCCAACGAGGACGATTGGCTTAGCTGTCCGTCGCTTTGGTGGACGCGCCAATCACTGGGCACGAGGCGCCGCTGCGGGTCCGCTGCGTCCCGCCCGAGATCCTGCTTCTTCTTCTTTTTTTTTTTTTCCTTCTCGGGTTTGCTTTTTAATTCCCTCCGTTTCCTGTTCCGGAGGCGCTGGCGGCGCCACGGGCTCGGCGGCTGCAGGGGAAACCTAGGCTGGCTTTGCACGGGCGGCGGCCTCGCGGCCCGGGAGCCTTTTCCGTAGGTAAAAGGACCACCTTGCGGGGGTTCGAGGAGGGAGCATTGAGACGAGCGTCTGGATTTTAACGGGGCTGGGGGCCTGGGCTGCGGCCAGACGCGCCTGGAGGTTAAGCTCAGCAGCCCTTCTTCAGATCTGCAGCGGAGGGCAAGGAGGCGACCCTAGGCCCCGGTCCCCTAAATACAAAGGCGTGACAAGTGAGGTCTTTCTTTCATTGGAGGGGCTGGTGCGCTGGTCCAGGCCTGGGGCCGTCCGCGTGTCGCCTGGGAGGTAGACCGTGAGCCCATCCTTGCGGGGTTGGGGTTCACAGGCTGGCGGGAGATGCAAACAGGGAAACATGCAATTCAGCCCGAGGAAGGTGATGGGCCTGCGGATTCATCCCGGGGACGTCTTCATAAAAGTGTAGTCACATTTTGCAACTGTTTCTACATAGACCGATACTCCTGGACGTGCTAAGTCTTCAGAACAACAACTCTCTCCACTTTCCCTACTTCCAAACTCCAACCTAGGAGTAGGCAGACGCAGAAAATGATTACTTTTCCACGTCCTGTAGGTTCCTTGACTTTTGAAGTAAAGTTTGCATCCATAACACAGCCTGACTGTACCTTTAGTAGGTCAGTTTCGTAGTCCGTGTTTTCAGATGCTCGCTCTGTAGGAGCCTCCCGGAGGATCCAATAGTGAGTGTGCAGCTGTTGCACAGTGAATGAACGTGTTAGTGATTCTGACTGTTGCCCGTTTCTAGGCCCAGCGTGTTCCTTTGTGTTCCCCCAGGCCCAGTGCATAGATTTCTTTTCTTGTGTTTATTGCATTGTATTATTTTTATTTAAAAATGTATTTATATGTGGGTTCTGAGCTCCTTGAGAATTGCAGGCTGTGTGTCTTACTCATCTTTGTGTTCACCACACAACCTGAGACAGTGCCCCACATGTATGGGCTCTTTACATGTATGAATCAGTGGGAAGGTCTTTTTGTCTGGTTTTGATAATGCAGGTCTGTTGTGACTCTGTGAAAGGGACATGTACAGTAGCAACATAGAAACATAATACTATTGGTGAGACAGTAAACATTTATTCTTTACTTACTGTGTGCAGGATGCTCTCTGCCAGGGGCTGTGAAGGATTCAGAAATGGCCTTGAATCAACCCATGTCATCAAAGAGTTCATAATCTAGTGGAGAAGTTAGACGTGTGCGCACATGACTATGCTATGGGGCAGTCTCTGGTAAGTGCTAAAAAAGAAGTAAGTACAGACTAAGAGGGCAGTCTGCAGGGAATCAGATGACTTCTTAAAGGGAACCAGGGGAGGCTTCACAGAAGAGGTGGCATTTGACATAGGTAGGTGGGTAGAATTCAGTGGGCAAATTCCTAGGGTTGTAGATTTCAGAAGAGCAACAGCAAAGAATAATCTGGGTGATATGATAGTATTTGGTGTGTTAGGCAACTGGGAAAATCTGGGGTGATAGGTGCTTTGTGGGGAAGAAAACGGAGATTAAACCTGGAAGGAGTTGGGCTCAGAAGGGCCTTAAATAACAAGCATGGAGTTTGAATTTGATTCTGTTGGCGGTGAGTAGCCCGTGGAGGCAAGGTCACCCGTCTAGGCCTTCGATTTATCTTGAATAAATCGTTATTCAGATGTTATTTGGTGCCTGCTCTTTATCAGTCCCAGTGATTGATATAGCTAAACACCTGAAACTATTTTGAAAATCTACCGTAAGCTCATTGGTAAAAGTTTAGTTAGAAAGACTTTAGGGAGGTGTTTCCACATTGAAACTTTTTTGTATTTAATATTTATTTGAGATTTTTAAACATTTTTTTTTTTTTTTTTAAGTTTGAGGATTTGGAAAATTATTCACATTCATACCATTCTTCTGTGGGAAGAGTGGAGAATGAAAATCAAGGATAACTATTAATGCTACAAGATTACAGTTATGTTTGAACTTGAACACTGGTCTCACGCTAGTGAAGGATACTAGAGTAAAGAGAGGGGGAGGAGAAATAGTTATTCTCCCCCAATCTTTTAATAAATTAGAGCTGGAATATGCCCAAGTTTTCAGTCTTTCTAGCTACTGATTGTTTTGAGTCAGCAAGACAAGTATTAAAGACATCTTAAAAGTTAATTGTAAACTTTAATTTGGTTCAACATCCTCTTCATTTAGTTAGTATGCTAAATGCATTGGAAAGTTCAAAATTAGTGTTACAATAATTGCAGAAATATTTTCTAGTATTATCAGTTTTTATGTCTCATTTTTATGTCTCTCCCATGCTTTCTGTCCTGTAGAGCTCATAGTCTCTGTGGAAGATGTGACATTGACCCAGGCAGCACCTCATGATGCAAGGCAATACGTGGTGAGTGGTGTGATGGGATTGGCAGTCTTTTTGGGAGAACAGAAAGAAGATTAAGCACTGTGCTGGTCACAGACTGTGGGAGAGTTTAGGTGTGTGACTTGAGGAGAAAATGTGTTCCTTTGGACCATGTACATGGCTAGGAACTCAGCCCACAGCCATTCATAAGACAAACCAGAGCCCTGCAAGTGATGGAACTCAAAATCCTCAGGTGCAGGCAGATATTAGAGAAGAAATTCGGCAATTGGTTGGTGGATTGTAATTCTTGTAGGACAAGCTAAGAAGCCCAGAGTGTGTGAGAGCAGGAAACCTAACAGGCCTGCAGGTGGTGATAGTGATTGTAGAAGGTCCTGCAAGGGTTTAATTGTAGCAGCCAGGCCAGAGATGATGGTGTGAAGTGGATGGACTCAAGTATTTACAAACCAAAAATGATAGGAATTTTAAAATACATAGTTAAAAGGGGTAAAGAAGGCAAAATTGTTAGGTAATTTTCTGTTGTATGACTTTAGGACCAATATGTGTCTGGTATTTCTACCGTAAAGCATTTACTTTTATGGGGGATTAATTGGTTGTAAGGCAATTTTGCCGTAAAAATGATAATAACGTATGAAAGAGGGGCATAATGAAACATGATAAAATTTAGATAATAATCTCAAGCTTTATTTCCCCCCCCAGAACTTCCAGCTTCCAATGATAATAACGTTTGAAAGAGGGGCATAATGACACATGATAAAATGAATAACAAAATGAAAAAGACTTTATTGTGAATGCATTTAAAATGTGTATAGATTCATGGAAATATACAAATAACTGATTTGGTTTTGGGATTGTACTTAGGCATTTGACTTCATTCTTTGGGAAATGTGGGTTCAACTCTGCCCACGAAGAGAGCCCTCAGCCCCACTTTCTCCTCCCATTGTAGTGTGTTTCAAAATAAGAAACAAAGGCATGGGGCAAATCATTGGCATCTGGAAGAAATGCCAGCTGTTTTAAGACCATCACCAGGAAGTGTTGTGTATTTGTTTCAAATCCTCTTGTTCATGGCCTTTTATTATAGAGTTGTTTTGATCTAAAGGTGACTTTGCTTACATTGAGGACGCTGTGCTGTGATGTCATTAAAATCTGTTGTCAATAAGCATTTAGCTATTGATGGGCACTGCTAGGGACTTAACAATAGGAGCATATGAAGGAGCGACAATCACACAGGGTTGAACCCATATTTCTTATGGACTGAAGACAAGTGCTTGGTTAGGTACAACCTACAAAGTTACATCGAGACACTTGCTCCAGCCGTGGCCAAGTTTGTGTGACCTACTCTTGACCGGCGGTGGTGTTAAGTTGTGCAGCGGTCCCGGGAAGAGAGGACCGTCTCTTCCTGTCCTCATGAGGGCACTCCTCAGAGACAGTGCTGCAAACTGTGTGTAACAGTCCCTGGAGTAGTAAATAACCTTTGGAGCAGTGTCCTTGCCTGCCAACACAGGTTCTGTCACCTGCTAGCACTAGCAGAAGGGATGTAAGCTTGATACCCAGCTCTTAGTAGGACTCACCTGAGGACCAACTTGAAGAAAGTACGCTAACTTTGGACTACGTGTTATCATTTCTATGGAGAAATTGCCTTGAGGCCGTAGAATTGTGCAGTGAAAATGTTTGTGGCAAAGATGATAAAGGTGAAAGTACCTAGAACCTGAATGGTGTCTGATGACGTAGGAAGTGCATAAAGACGAACCTGTGGTAGTGTCTTGGAGGGGAAGATCTTGAATACCTTTCAGGACATATTGCGTTGAATTTGCAGAGTCTCTGCTGAGTGGGAAAGAAGGTAAAGACAGGAAGATGCTGGTACAGATATAGAACACACGTGGGGTGTGCTGACGGGATGACATGGTGAGGTCAAGGTTTTGGGGGGACTGAAGCAAGGACGTGGTAGCACATGGTTGACCAGTGGGATGTTGAATTCGTCATTTGGAAGTGGAGTGGCTTTAGGGAGTGACACGGTCCAGGGAGTGACCATGGCAATGGCTTTGGAGGCTGGGACGGCGGAAGAGAAGTTTCCTAGCCACGAGGAGTGTCAGGTATTATGAAGAACTCAGAGCGAGGTGGGTGGAATATTCCAATGGTCTGAGGGGTCGGTCAGTTGCCCTTGAAGCTATTCAGGCATTTGTGCAACCCTGTTTCCATAGTGAGATTTTTTATTTTCTTTCTCTTTCTTTTTCCCTCCAACAAGTCATAGAATGTCGTTCCACCCAGGACGGGGGTGTCCCCGAGGGCGAGGAGGACATGGAGCCAGACCCTCAGCACCAGCCTTCAGGCCTCAGAACTTAAGGCTGCTTCACCCGCAGCAGCCCCCTGCGCAATATCAATACGAGCCACCAAGTGCTCCCTCCACCAGCTTCTCAAACTCTCCAGCCCCCAATTTTATGCCTCCGAGACCAGATTTTGTACCCTTCCCTCCACCCATGCCTCCGTCAGCACAAGGCCCCCTTCCCCCCTGCCCCGTCCGGCCCCCCTTCCCCAACCACCAGATGAGGCCCCCCTTCCCGGTACCTCCCTGCTTTCCCCCCATGCCGCCTCCGATGCCCTGTCCTAACAACCCCCCAGTCCCCGGAGCACCTCCTGGGCAGGGCACGTACCCCTACATGATGCCCCCTCCTTCCATGCCCCACCCCCCACCCCCTCCGGTCATGCCCCAGCAGGTCAATTATCAGTACCCTCCTGGGTACTCGCAGCACCACAATTACCCGCCTCCCAATTTTAACAGCTTCCAGAACAGCCCCAGTTCTTTCCCGCCCAATGCTAATAACAACGGCAGCCCCCATTTTAGGCATCTCCCCCCATACCCGCTCCCGAAGGCTCCCAGTGAGAGAAGGTCCCCGGAAAGGCTTAAGCACTATGATGATCACAGGCACCGGGATCACAGTCACGGGCGAGGGGAGAGGCACCGGTCGCTGGACCGGCGGGAGCGCGGCCGGAGCCCCGACAGGAGGAGAGCAGACAGCCGCTACCGATCCGAGTATGACCGCGGGAGGACACCGCCTCGCCACCGGAGCTACGAGCGGAGCAGGTAACACGCGTGTGTTTTTAATGAACCGAAGAGGCCCCTACAGGGGCCGCTTCTGCTTATGGGCAAACCAAACCAAAAAGGTCCTGCAGTGCATTTCAATGTATAAAAGGAAATAAAGCCTGTGTGGGGCTGTTTTAAAGAGGAAGGAACACCTGACAAGTAAAGAAATTGATGTCAGAAAAAGCCACTTTTGAAAAGCATTCCCAAAATTATTAATGTCAGATTCCTCTCAGTGGATGTAAGCTGATTACTCTGCATAATACAGTTGACATTTTAATGACAATCCAACGAGAAATCATATTTTTTTGCATTATATTTAATTGTGTTCAACATGAGCATCATCTCAGATTACAGTCCTTGCATCCTTTCGGAATTGATGATCTGCCTATATTATCAATTAAAGAATTAAACTAGTTTACGAGCAGAACTTGCTTTCTGAATTTTAGGAAAAGTGGAAGTTTATTGTACATTGCTGCCTTCTTGATCTGTTTCTTTATAAAATGAGCTTATATTATTTATACATTATCAAAGTTACAGTTTTCAGAATAGCTGTAACCCACTTTTGTTGCACTAAAACAAATTCATACGGAAGAAAATTATATTTTAAAAAATACTGTTCCTTTCCAGGTTATATTTCTTTTTTCTAAAAGACCAAATACCTGTATATACAAGAGAATAAGGTTTTCAGCAGGTGTACTGAAACCAGGATCCATAGATGGACTTCTGAAGTTATATGCAGAATTTTATGTGTATTTTTTTTTTCTTTCTATAAATTGGTACCATACACCAGATTCTCAACAGGTGGTGTGAGTCTGTTACCCAAAAGTCTGAGAACTCTTGGTTTAGATGGAAAAATAAAAACACATAGGTAATGATGGTACTAATGCTTACTTTGTACCTTCAGTGAACTCTCTATATCAATAAAGATTTGAGGTTTTCCACTTGTCAAGCTCATAACAGTGCTTCTCCCTCTGTCCCCTGGCATGTTACCTTGCTTTTCTTGTGAACTTTCTGTGCTGTACACATTTGAGCTCGGCATACCAGTTCACTTCTCTGTGGGATTGTAGGGAGCTGGTCTCAGTGCCTGGGCCATCAGTTCACCTCACGGTTTCCACATTTTTCTCATGGCTTTCGGTGTGATTCTGATTGAACATTTTTTTAAATACTATATATTTTATTGATTTTTTTACAGAGAAGAAGGGAATGGGATAGAGAGTTAGAAACATCGATGAGAGAGAAACATTGATCAGCTGCCTCCTGCACACCTCCTACTGGTGATGTGCCTGCAACCAAGGTACATTCCCCCTAGGGAATCGAACCCGGGACCTTTCAGTCCGGAGGCTGATGCTCTATCCACTAAGCCAAACCGGTTAGGGCTTGATTGAACATTTTGCCAGTAAATGGTGATAGTCATTCTTAGCCCTGAAGGCAGTGTCTGGTGCTCAGAAGGTTTGGAAGGAAAATGTGTTGTTGCTTTTCCCTGATGCCATTGGGAAGGTGAAGGGAATAAGTCTGTTTCCTGTGGAGATGACGGTTTTGAGAGTCTGTCATCTGTTAAGTTTTTTCAATGTGAGTTACCATTTCTGGTCAATTTTTTCCTAATTATTCTGTGATGGACTAGTTAGCAGAGGCCTGGGATAGTGTACTTTATAATTTTTTAAAAATTCTTTATTGTTTTAAGTATTGCATATCCTTTCTGCCATTGACCTCTCCCTGGCCACTCCCACCCCCCAGCGCATGCCCTTACCCCCTCTATTGTCTATGTCCATTGGTTATGCTTATATGCATGCAAACAAGTTCTTTGATTGATCTCTTACCCCCTCCTTTTTTGGTGGTCTATTTTTTGTTTGATGGTCTATTCGATGCTTCTCTGTCTCTGGATCTATTTTTGTTCATCAGTGTATGTTGTTGATGATATTCCGTAAATGAATGAGATCATGTGATATTTATCTTTCTCTGATTGGCTTATTATGCTTAGCATGATGCTTTCTATGTCCATCCATTGAGAATGTTCATCTATTGAGAATAGTAAGAGTGCTTTTCTTTTTTATGGCAGCATAGTATTCCATTGTGTAAATGTACCACAGTTTTTTAATCCACTCATCGGCCGATGGGCACTTAGATAGTTTACAAATTTTAGCTATTGTAAATTGTGCTGCTATGAACATAGGGGTGCGCATATCCTTTCTAATTGGTGTTTCTGTTTTTTAGGGATATATTCCTAGAAGTGGGATTACTGGGTCAAATGGTAGTTCCATTTTTAACTTTTTGAGGAAACTCCAGACTTTACAGTGGCTGCACCAGTTTGCATTCTCACCAGCAGTGCACGAGGGTTTTTTTTCCCCTCTGCATCCATGCCAGGATTTGTTGTCATTTGTTGATTTGTTGATGATAGTCATTCTGACAGGTGTGAGATGGTACCTCATGATCGTTTTGATTTGCATCGCTCGGATGATTAGTGATTTTTAGCATGTTTTCATATGTCTCTTGGCCTTCTGTATGTCCTCTTTCTAAAAGTGTCTATTTAGGTCCCTTGCCCATACTTTACTTTATAGTTTTATGAAAAAAACCTAAACTGGAAAGAATTTGCTTCAGAATTCAATGTGATTGTTAATAAGCCTGTTGTTGGGGAGGCATTTTACTGTAAACTTCAGTATTTTAGGTTTCATTTGTTTTTCTGTTTTGGACTTAAGTTAGAGCTGATTTTTTGGGCTCTGATGTAAAATCCTAAAATTTTCTATCCAGGCTTAAATTGGAGTCATGTGTTTGAAGAAACTCAGATATCTTGTAAACTGAGGGTTCTATCAATAAGTGAAATAAAGTGCCAAAAGTATACTGTTATCCTCTATTATCCTTAACAAAACTCTTTTACTATGAAGGACCTACTTAGGCAGTTAGCTCCTCTTTCTAAATGGCTTTATTTGTATTGAGATGTTTGTCCTGGAGCCACCTTAGTGTCACAGTCACATTATAACCGCTCCCTTTAGGGTCTTTGGCAGGAGGTCAGTCATCTGTCTCATATGGGATGCTTCTGTGAAATACACTGGGGGCACGTGAGGTCCCGGATAACTTGTAGGAGTATGCTGGGGAAAACCAAAGCTTCACACAGCTATGCAGTAGATTGTGCTCCGTGTATGCACATTCCAGAGCCTGTCTTCTGGCCACTTCTCCCCTTACTTCTTGTGGTAAGGGAATCTATCCCTTTTCAAATTCACTTCTTTTTCTCCTCCGAAGTGTGGTTGAATTACAAATTGTTTTAGGCAAACTATTTCTAGAGAATGACTGTGAAGGAGTGAATATATGCATTTGTTACGAAAGGTCAAGGTGAGCTGGGGAATGGGATGAGAAGCGGCTGCTGACATGGCTCCCTGACCATGCTGTGTGCAGCCTGTGGGGATGGAGCGTGGCTTCCCATCATGAGTGGTGCTCCAGCACAGTCACCCCATAGCTGTCCCGTGTGTGCCACCGGCGGAGAGCTAGTATTCTGCACCTAAGGGATACCTCGGTGCTCGCAAACAGGGCGTGTCTTGAGAACAGTAACCCTAACATTGTTTTTCTTGCTTTAAAGGTGTTCATCATATTGCTTTTTCTATGGTGATTTATATCCAAATCGGTCTTTTCAATTTATACCCACACAGGTAGCAATCATCAGCAGTGCTGATCTTGAGTGCAAAATTCTGTTGCCTAGATGTTAAAAGACAAAGAAAATTTGGAATATCTTCTAAATAGAGTTTTTATTTGGAAATATAGGTAATTTAAATTATTTCTTTTTAGCAGCCATACTAATACAAATTATATCTTTGTCATATGGGACTGCTCACATGTTGGGATTAATTGCCTAAAAGTAAACTGAACTTTTAGAAGGGTCTCTGATAAAGTATGTAGACTCCCAAGCTCTGGCTACTTTATTTTGGATAGCTGGTGTATACCAGCGGTTTATGTGTGTGTCAAAGTACGTTATTCAAAGGAGGCTTCATTGAGGAGGGGGTGATTAAAACATTTTTTTTTATTGATTTCAGAGAGAGAGAGAGAAAGAGAAAGAGAGAGAAGGAGAGAGAGAGAGAGAGAGAGAGAGAGAGAGAGAGAGAGAGAGAGAGAGAAACATTAGTGATGAAAGAGAATCCTGCACCCATCACACTAAGGATCAAGTCCGCAACCTGGGCATATGCCCTGACTGGGAATTGAACCGTGAACAGGTTCATAGGTCAACACACAATTACAGAGTCCCACTGGCCAGGCAAAGAGGGGGTAATCTTTAAGTGAAAACACAATTTTTGTTTTATATATCTAAGCAGTGACACATCTTTATCAGTTTTATGAGTTTCAATTTCAAAGTATTTACACTTCTATTGGCTTTTGGAGGATATTTTTGAGTTCAAACATTTTTATAGTCATTTGCTGTATTCAGGCTAACATAGCATTTTTTTTATTTTTTATTCTAAGATCAGGTGGTTATTTTCCTTAGATTTAGTTCTGATTCAAACATACTAGAATTCCGATTTTTGTTCCAGATCATTGTACTTATTAAATAAACTCAGAAGTTACTATTATTATTAAATTTGTGTAGTTTTACATTGGAATCTCTCCTATTTTAATATTAAACTCAAGATATACATCAAGAGTTTTTTGCTGATGAAAAATAGCATTTAAAGGTACAGTGACGTACAGACTCAAGGCATTAGTGATCGCTATAACTGCAACCCAGGCCGATAACCTGTAAGGATTCAGAACTCTTTCATCATGGAACGGAGTTTGGATGCTTACTACCAAAGCTTTCACTTACATTTACTTGATGGCTGAAATTGAGAGTTTCCTAGAAATCCCTAGGCAGTAGAATTCTTTTAAGATTTCCCTGTGAGTTAAATAACTAAGAATTGGCTGGTTGAAAGGCCTCTAGAGAAGATTAGGATGAAATTCCCTTTCTTGCTTAGCATCAGGGTTGACTTCTTTCTGTAAAGAAAACAGCAAAAAATGGCCAAGTCAGTTAGCTTCTGTACAGTGAAAAGCTCCTTTATTCTCTAATAAATGAAGGATGAATAAAACTCTCCCATAGAGAATAATGCTTGAAAAATTCTTAGGTAAGGTCCATTGAGTTAGAAGATGAATTCAGTGAAAAGAGGTTGTGTCTTTTAGTCTCTCTGTTGAAAACAGCTCTGTGTATTAATTCCTTTAAGAGAGCGGGAACGGGAGAGACCCAGGAACCGGGACGGCCGAAGATCACCATCTCTGGAAAGGTCCTACAAAAAAGAGTATAAGAGATCTGGAAGGTAAGCAAGGAGTTCGTGCTGAACGAAGTCATAGGATTACCTCCTTGAATTCAGATTTTGTGCTTATGCAAAGTATCAGCCACGTTTCTAAAATAGCCCAAGCGTCTTCCAAAATGCCCTGTGAAAAGCTAAAGCAGCCACTGACTTAACATTTTTACTTTCAAAATGTATTGATTATGCACAAGGGTAATCTCGATGAATCAGAAATTATTTGGGCCACTTTTTCTGACGTCAATTGCTATAAAACTATGAATTAATAATGTAAAGTTGTTTTTTTTTTTTTAAACTACACCTTGGAAATTCATAATTATGTTTTAAAATTTACTTGTTATAGAAAAAAGCAAAACTCTAGCCACACTTTATTTAGAAAAATGGGATTGAGATGTTATAAATGAAAAATTTCTTTTTGGTTGCAGAATGTAATTCTATAAGAGAAGTAAAATGCATGGTCTTTATATAATGGTAATTAAGAATGACACTGGGGTCCGACAGATTTGAGGTCAATTATTACTTCTTCCATCTCTGTTATTGAATTGATTTACCTTTTTAAGCTTCAATGTCTATCTAAAATAAGGACATGTATAAATGCCTCAAGTGGTGGGGGTCTTTGAGATAATACACGTAAACACTAGAACTGAGCCCAAAATTAATGCCAAATAAATGGTAACTGTATTTATATAGTTACTAGAGGCCCAGTGCATGACATTTGTGCATGAGGGGCTGGGTGTGTGTGTCCCTCAGCCAAGCCTGCACCTTCTCCAATCTGGGACACCTCAAAGGATATCTGACTGCGCGGTGGGAATTTAAAAGGAAAACAAAAGACTGAGAAAGGTTACATTACATTAGACAGAAGAAGGGTGGTTATCTTAATAAAAAAGTCTTTAAATAAACAAAAAAGACTACAATCCTAATTTTAAAGATATTGTCAAAGCATATAACTGGAAGATTCATGAAAGAAGTGAACAAGAAATGTATAATTTTAGTAGTGATAAAAATTAGCGAGTTAGGTTTAATGAGATACTTTTTTTCATCAGAATGGCAAGATTATAAACAATCATGTTGACAGGGTATGTGGAAATGGGAACTCAATATGGTTTTGATGGTGGTCTAACCTGCTACTATCTACCTGTAGAGAAAAGTGCACACACACTCTTAGTGTGAAGCAATCTGACACGTGTGTAGAGAACACAAGTGTGTTCACGGTAGCATTGTGTACACTGGCAAAAAATGGTGACAACCTAAGTGATTGTACTTAGATTTGTTAAATTATGGATGAAAGAATAATGTGCATTTATCAAATGGTTCAGATGTAGATGTATTGAAATAGAAAGGTGTTGATTTACCAATGAGTGAGACGGACAGGTCGCCAACCGGTAATCCGTGAGGTCTGAAAGATTGGAGACCACTGCTATAGAGTTGGTTTTTTTTTTTCCTTTTGTTTTTTTGTTAAAGCTTGTGTATATTTATATATATTCTTATATCTATACGTTTTAACACAATGGGAAACATTGTGTTTATCTCTGTGTGGTAGTATGGGTGATTTTAATTTTGTTGATGCTTAATTTTTTCCCTACAGTGAACAAATATACATTTTCCTTAAATATACATTTTCCTTCGCAGTTCGCAGTTACTTTTTTTCTTTTGGTAACAAATGATGTGCATTATAATATTTAGAAGTTATATTAGTGAGTTCAAGATATATTATCTTCCTAATCACCCACCTCTTCCCCCCGATGTATAAACACACCTACACGCTCCCACTTTTCCTGTCATAAAGTTAGAAGTGAGAGGTAGAGTTGATGGAAGAGTTCATTAGTGACTTGGATCCAGATGCATACATTCTTGGGTAACAGTGACTTTGTTGGTGGAGGCTGCCAGCATCACGCTCACAGAACAGGTCTTAAATGAAAATAGCTGGGGCTTAAATGAAAATCTATCCTGTGGGTTCTCCCTCCAAGCACATCCATAAGTTGGGTCTTCGCAAAATTTAAGCCCCAGAAATTCAAGGAGATAGAATTGTTTTTATCTTTTTAACTGAGTTATATTAGTATTTGTAGGGATCAGAATTAGAGAAAGTGGTGATTCACGAAGTGGGATCCCGGAGAGTTGGTTCACTTTAAAAAAAAAAAAATATTTTATTGATTTTTTTACAGAGAGGAAGAGAGAGGGATAGAGAGTTAGAAACATCAATGAGAGAGAAACATCGACCAGCTGCCTCTTGCACACCCCCTACCGGGGATGTGCCAGCAACCAAGGTACATGCCCTAGACCGGAATCGAACCCGGGACCTTTCATTCTGCAGGCCGACGCTCTATCCACTGAGCCAAACCGGTTTCGGTCACTTTCTAATTATGGTTCTCAGGCTAACATTATTCCAAGTTCGGACCATGTTTTGCGAAACTGTTTTTCTCCAGCAGAGCAGGATGTGGAGGACTCAGGACTATTATTCTCATGTGGAACTGCCTGTCTGTAGACATTTCCAGATATTTCCCCAAGTATCTTTCTCTTCTAGGAGTTATGGTTTGCCAGTTGTTCCTGAACCCACTGGATGCACACCAGAATTACCTGGGGAGATTGTTAAAAATACAGATTCTTGGGCCCCAACCCTGGAGACTGTGAATCAGTAAGTAGATCTGGGGTAGGGCCTGGGGATTTGTATTTTTAAACAAGTCACTTGAGGTGATTCTGATGCCACCAGACTGGTGTTTGGGGTTCGCTGGTTTAACAAAAAGTAAAAGTGGTGGTTTGACATGGCATTCTTATTTTATGTGAAAAATGAACCAAGTGAAATGGAATAGTTTTACAGCAGGAGAACCTTTTTAATAATTAGCCTCCTTCCCCCCATTTTGAAGTCGCTCCCCCAGTAGGGAGAAGAAGAGAGCTCGTTGGGAGGAAGAAAAAGACAGATGGAGTGACAGCCAGAGCTCCGGCAAAGAAAAGAATTACACCTCCATCAAGGAGAAGGAGCTGGAGGAGGCGCCGCCCGACAAGAACGAGGAGGAGGAGGAGGAGCTCCTGAAGCCTGTGTGGATTCGATGTACCCACTCGGAAAACTACTACTCCAGCGACCCCATGGATCAGGTGGTAGGTCTGGGGCAGGAGAGAAGCTACAGGCCGGCATCTACCCCCGGCACTGTGGGCATTTTGTGCTGGATGTTTCTTCGTGGTGGGGCCTGCCCTGTGCATTGTGGGGTGTTGAGCAGCCTCTTTGGGCTCCGCACTAGATGCCAGTAGAATCCCTCCCCATCTCGTCTGTAACCTTTTCACACCTGCAAAGTCCTTTCTGCCATGTAAGGTAACATACTCAGTTTCTGGGGATTAAAACTGGGACATCTTTGGGGATGGGCGGTATTGCGGCCCAGTTCACCTACCCTGAGATCAGAAGGTCTCTGCCCAAAATCTGAAAAAAAATCATGGTTTTATTAGCAAGGAAGAAGGGGGACGATGGCTGCCATAGGGGTCATTCTTAAAAAGAAAACAACAAAGTTGAAGGCACTGCGTTCAGAGAGTTTAAACAGGCAGAACTTCTATTTTTTCTTAAATTTTTTATGGGTGTGTTAAAACTCCAGCACAGAAAGACGGCTGATGGACCAGAAACCTTGATTTGCCTGGTTTCTTGTCCTCTGGTGCAGTGAGGTATTGAGTGTCAGTGTGGTCCCAGCATCACCAGTGTCAGTTATGAGGTGGGGCTGAGGAAAAGGAGTTGCCCACTTCTGGGTATACTGCAGATTGTAGGATTTTTTTAATTTTCTTTTTACATCTAAAAGATCTGGTTCTTAACATTTTGAAAATTATATCAAACAGTATGGACCTTTAAGATGATTTTCTTTTTCTTTTTTTTAATATATATTTTATTGATTTTTTACAGAGAGGAAGAGAGAGGGATAGAGAGTTAGAAACATCGACGAGAGAGAATCATCGACAGCTGCCTCTTGCACATCTCCTACTGGGGATGTGCCCGCAACCAATGTACATGCCCGTGACCGGAATCAAACTTGGAACCTTTTAGTCCGCAGGCCGACGCTCTATTCACTGAGTGTGAAACCGGTTTCGGCTATCCTTTAAGATGATTTTCAATCTGGAAGAGAGTAGGGAAAAGTGGAAAAGTTCCTCTAGGACTGTAGTACAGAAGCCTGTGTTTGTGGTTTGTGGAGTGCATGTGTCCCCCTGCGTATGTGAGTGTATGTGTATGGGGGGGTGTATAGGATATTTCTCTTTGATCATCGGATTAATGTGGAAGATAGACTTTCAGGTATGAAATCAGGGGTCATGATTTTCTTTGTGATTTCCAAAAAGCAAAGACAAACAGTCCTCATGTTTGTGAATGTTGGCAGACTGCCACCTCAGCATGGATGTGTGTTTGATTCACATTTACCAGCATTGCGAATTTTGTTTTTACCTATTTGTTAAATTGAGTGTTGAAAATGGCACGTTGCTGTTACAAATCTTGGATTATGTGCGAGGTCTTACATTTTTTTTTGGAAAGACTATTTTTTCTATAGGTTCTAATACTGATTTTTTAAAATGTAGATTCTAATACTGATCCTTTATTTTTCAAAGGGAGATTCTACTGTGGTTGGAACAAGTAGGCTCCGAGACTTATATGACAAATTTGAGGAAGAGTTGGGGAACCGGCAAGAGAAGGCCAAAGCCGCCAGGCCCCCGTGGGAGCCTCCCAAGACGAAGCTGGATGAAGATTTGGGTGAGTCAGGAGCTACCAGACCAGACCCTGTGCTTTTATTACATCCGGGACTTTGGGGATGTGTCCTTGGGCATCCTGTAATAGATTAGATTCATCTTTCTCATTTTATTTTCCTTAATTATAGTCAGCAAAATACATAGCCATGGAACTTCCTTTTTTTTGAAGTTAGTTTTCCCCAGTCACATGTAGAAGAATACATGAGATCTCATTTGCAAGGCACACTAATAATTGTGTCCCTTGTAGAACTGTTTGGTATTAGAATTGAAGGGATCTTATAGTCCAGCCTCCCACCGGCAGCGGGGGCCTGTTCTCAGTTCCTGGTGCCTCTGACAGGCAGGCCCTGCCCACTGTCAGGTGCTCCTGAGTGGATGGGCAAGTGCAGCTGTGGCCCAGCTCTGTTGGAAGACATCTGTCTACTCGCATAGACACTTTCCATAGTTTTCTATGTGGTGGTCTATTTTATCATGTGTCTGAGGTTCCAAGTAGATGCTGAGATCTTTGAGGATAGAAACTGCTTGTTGCCACTTTGTGTCCGTGGCCCCTAACAGAATGCCATGCTCAGCTGAGAGATTCCTTAAGCATTTTCCTTTGTTCTCTGGCTCTCTATGCCACCCTCACTGTGTCTCCCAGGCTGAGAGGTGGTGTTCATGGCGGGTAAAAGCACTCACTGAACCAGCTGGCCTGTTGGCCTGCTCCTCCATCTAACATGCGACCTTGAGCAAGAGATTTAACTCTCTCTGCCTTCCTTTTGTCATCGGTAAAAGAGGGATGACATCTATCTCAAACCATACACTGTGAAGGGATTGGGGTTATATTAAAAATTTTTTTTTTACTGATTTCAGAGAGAGGAAGGGAGAGAGAGAGAGAAACATCAATGCTGAGAGAGAATCTTTGGCCAGCTGCCTCCTTCATGCTCCCCCGACTGGGGATGGAGCCTGCAATCCGGGCATGTGCCCTGACTACAGATCTTAATGGTGACCTCCTGCTTCATATGTTGATGCTCAACCATTGAGCCACACTGCCTGGGCGGGGTTGAGTTTTATTACTGTGTATTAATCTTTTGTAGGATTAATCTAAATTCTTGGTCTGTTTTTTAATTGTGCTCAAATAAAGTACAGTTCAGTAGCGTTAAGTACATTTCACTTTTTTCATTCCTGCTAATCTGAAACTCTTTTCATTAAACAGCAACTCCCGTCTCCCTCCACCAGCCCCTAGCTTTGACCATTCTACTTTCTCTCTATGAATCTGACTACTAGGCACCTCCTCTAAGAAAAATCTCAGTGTTTGTCTTTTTGGACTGACACACTTAGCATAATCCCGGGTCTGTGTTTATCCAGTCACTTTCAAACTCTGAAGTCTTTTATTACTACTGATGAGAGAAAACATTTAAACTTGAGTTTGGCCTTCAGAGCCCTCTGTGTAGTAGTCACGACCCTTCAACCCTCACCCCCCAGGATGTTTCTGCGGGGCCGTTGCTGCAGCCTGTGGCCCTGTGCTCTCGCCTGCATGCTTTTGCATGCAGTGCTCCATCTGTTCCTTTCCTCTTCCTCCCTCCTCCTCAGCCATCCACTCCATCTCCCTGCCTGGGTGGTGTGCACCTGTTCCAGAAACCACCAGTGACCTTTCCAGCGGGGACTTGCTCTTGTCTGAATTGCTGCCTCTTTTAAAATCTGTAACCCTGAGCTACTGTGGCTTGCATTTTCTCCGGCACCACGCCTTTCTCTGAAAAACCTTTGTTTGCTTTCCCAGCTAGATTGTGACTTAGCATTACGGGCTGTCTGACTTTTCATGGTATTGCTGAGCCAGAGTGCTTGGCACTCAAATATTTGCCGAGAGGATAAACAACTGTCCTTACATGGAGAGGTTTGGGTCATTGGGGAGTCTCCGAGGGTGGTAACCATCTGGTGAATTTCTTCAACCTCTCTCCGTGTTTCCCCCTCCCCTCTGTTAGGAAGTTCCAGTGAATCCGAATGTGAGTCTGACGAGGAGAGCACCTGTTCCAGCAGCTCCGACTCAGAAGTTTTTGACGTCATCGCAGAAATTAAACGCAAAAAGGCCCACCCCGACCGGCTTCATGATGAGCTCTGGTACAATGACCCAGGCCAGGTACGCGTGTGTTTTACGTTCTTGCTGGGAAGGGTAAAGGCACACACGTCACATTTATGACCCTCGGTCCGGAAGATGCATGTTGCCTGTTGGCTGGTATTGAAACTGAATTTTCCTCCAGGCGCCTTGAGCCATTCTTTAGAGCTCATTTCCTCCGGCTTCGGAGTTCGGCTCCAGAGCATAAGCACCAGAGCAAACCGTGCCTTGAATCATTTTTGACGATGTTGGTAAATCCTGGGTTAGGGAACCGGATAATGGCGCTGCCTCATTAAACTTGCAGTAAACGGAAGGAGACAAATGGTAGAGTGAAGGCGCGAGGACTTGTAGGCCTTTTTAAAAGTAGTTCGTCTGGAAGGCATCTTTCAGCAATATCATAAACAATGTCTTCGGTCCTACAGGACTTCATATTTCTTAGTTAGTAATAGTCATAGTTTCCTGTAAGCTCCCTTCCTTGTTAAGTATGTTTGAGCTAATGATGTCATCACTGGCCACATTTTTATTTCTACTTACTGTTTTCTTATGAAGTATTACATCATACAAAATAGCATCTTTATGAGAGATTGGTATTTTACAAATATACAACGCAAGAAAAATAGCGTCTATTGCATATGAAGTTATTAAGCGTAATAAGACACATACCTATAAAAAGAGAACTTAAAATTGAAATAAATTCATACCATTCTCTATTGAATGTTCTTTTGGCTCTTATTAGATGATGGCTCACGAAACTGTTTTTCTCAACAGAATTCCTGTAGTTATAATGTCCGACAGAAATGCACTTTGTGGGCCCTTTTCCTCTTTTGGAATCGAGCAGAAGGGTTTGCAGTTGTCAGTGCATTTTGACATTTACGTTGATACGTTAATCATGCATATGATCTCTTAAATAGCTTCAGTGAGTTTTAATTCACATACCATATAGATTGCATACTTAAAGTGCCTGATTCAATGTTTTTTAGGATATTCACAGGATTATACAACCATCATCACAGTCCGATGTTATAGCATTTCATCTCCCCTGAAAGAAATTCTGTGTCCATCAGTAGTCACTCCTCTGCCCCCCAGTGTGTTTTTTTTATGGCCTGTTCTCCTGTCCATAACCTGTCCCTTGGTTTTTGAGGGTTCTTCGTCCATCAGAGCACCCTGTGCAGCCTCATCATTCTGTTCACTAGATCTGGTATTGTGTCCTCGGTACGGTTATTAATTAAAAGGGCTGATCTGCATCAGGGCCCAGCCCCTGGTAAAGGCAGGAATATGGGATGTCTGTCTGCCCCCCTGAAAATCGCTGAGCAAGATGTGTTTTCCAAAATATTTTTTTCAAAGTTTTATTGAGATATTGTCATTGGAAACAATGAGTCACAAATCCCTAGAACTTTAAAGAAATATGTGTATGTGTTTGTGTAAATATATATGTTATAATGTATTGTGTGTGTGTGTGTGTGTGTGTGTGTGTGTTTATTAATACAAAGAAAGTGAGAAATGGAATTCAGCTTCCTTATTCTCTAAACGGATGCTCCGGTCTCCTTTTGATTCTGTGTTGCCATTTATGTCGAATAAAGTCATGAAGGTGGCTCTTAAGACCCTTTACGATTTGAACCCCAGTTCTGCTTGTTTGGTTTTCTTGCGCACATACACGACCCACTCCATCCAGGTGGCTGTCAGATCCGGGAGCATCACATTGGGTTTCTTCCTTCGCTTTGTTCCTCATGCCGGTGCCTCTTGTAGCATAACCTTCTGCTTTTCCTGTCCTGTTCGGCTGTTCAGATAGTTCGTCTCTTTGAAGCCAGTGGTATCTCCATCTGCAATGACAATTTTTCCATTTTCTTTAAAATTACTAAGCATATTACATGTATGCTATCTCTTTTACCTAGAATAAATATTCCTGGAGTCCGTGGGCCCTTAGCTATTTATCACTCCCCGCTCCCCAATACTTATCAGTCGTCTTCCCACCCGAGAGTCACTCAGGCATTATTCCCTTATTGAGTCCTGTGGGTAGAGTTCAGGGCAGTGAAACGAATTCAGGTGAAAAACCAGACACAGGCTTAGCTGATTAGTGTTGAACGTTTTCCTGGTTCTAGCAGGCATTTTCTTCTCTATGCTTCAGATACCTTTAGGTTTCTCTTTTGAAAACATTTAATCTGGTTACTTTCAAAGCATCTTACGTGCTTTAGAGTATATAAAATATGCTTTTCTTTCGTGAAAGAGCCATTTTTCCTGAGTAAGAAATAGGAGGAACATACTGAAAAGTGGTCGGAGGAGATGGGGCAAACAGTGCGCTGACACTGATATTTTCTGCTCGGCTACACAAATCACTTGGGGATCCAGCATTGCCATGCAGTTCCCTTTTACCAGACAGTGTGGACAGTGCACAGCTTTATTGGTTTTGGATCATCCGTGTAATTTTCTAACGGTGACAGCCTCCTCAGAGCTTCAGGACTCCTGATGCTAAAACCCACATAATTCCATGGGGCATCAGCTTGCTTGGTGGGGACTTGCCCCCAATAAAACTAATTCCTTTCTGCCTCTGACAGATGAACGATGGACCACTCTGCAAATGCAGCGCAAAAGCCAGACGCACAGGAATTAGACACAGCATCTACCCCGGAGAAGAGGTAACTGCTTTGGGTTATTACATTTGTATGCACTGAGAAGCCAGCAGTAGACAGGTGGTGTTGCTATTCTTTCCCGTGTAAATGAAATAAGACCATTGAAAAGTCTTTTCATATTCCCCAACAGCCTCAGGTACCTGGGAACTTGTTAGAAATGTAGTTGGAGAAGAAAAAGTATTTGGGTTTGGATTTGGAGTGGGGAATACCATCAAGGAAACCATCGAACTGGCCAAGTGTCTTGGAGTTGGTTTTTACTCTTTTACAACTACCTGGTGTAATATTTTTTCCATATTCTATTACAATTGGCTCTGAAGTGCCCTGGAGAAACGATCTCACTAAGGTGTATAAGGTATATGTCCTCTTTCCTTGGGGGATGTGGGAATGCCTCCTCGTACCCCTTTCTCTCTTCCCCCATTCTTCATTATTTTTATAAGTTATTCTTATTAATCTCAGGATTAATTGCCACTAGGCAATTTCATCAGTTCCAGGGCAATGACCACTGGGTGGATTTGTAAACAGAGTGGACCTACTGTAAGCCGGACCTTGATGAGGATTTTGTTTGCTACCTTAGCCTCATGTCTCCCACTCTACTGGAAAATGAGGACAGTCATTCAGTGTCTGAGAATTAGTATTGATTTCCTCTTTCCCTAGTGTACTGTTACCTGGGTAAATGGCCATAGGTTCTGTGGGGAAGAACAGTGTTGTCATGAATATTTTTGTTTGAAATGGTGTTGCAAGGCCTCCTGGAAAAATGCCCACCTCTTTAGTCAATGGATATCAGTTCAAAAACTTGATCAGGTCTGGAACTGGGCAAGGGAACATGACTTACCGGAGCAACCTCCCTTCAGCCACTTGGTTATCACTCTTGATTTCTTCTGTTGGTACAAACTAAGTTGGTATTCTTGTCAGCCACCCATCTATTTTGTACCCAAGGACACCCTGTTCCGTCATCTCTTGCATGACTGTGTGTCAGATTCCCTTCGATCTTGCTGGTCCTAACGGTAATTGTGTGACCTAGCTTGTAACAGCCCTGTTGCCTGTCTGGCCTCCCTTGTTTCAGAGTCCTGTCATATGGTTGCTGTCAGCAAGCTGTGCTCAGTGACAGCCTCTCTAGTCAGCCCTGGCCTGCACAGAAGGCCACCCCTGCACCAGCACATTCCCTTTGATCCTGATAGCTGTCCTGTCCTCTGGGCTTTCCATAGAATATGATTATCTGGTGTATTTTTTTAGTCATAGGTATTATAGTCATTCCAATGTGCCCACTTCCTTGAATCTTTGAATTTCTTCCTCCCCTGTCCATCATGGCAGTTTTGGTATTTTGACTTGACTCTGTGTAGGTCATCGCTTTTTCATTCTTTTAGGAGACACTCTAGAAAGGTGTTGCCAGTATCTCTTGGCATCCTGGAATCAATCCTGAATGCTCCCAAGCTAGTGAAGTCTTCCTTAAGTAGTTGTGTGTTCTGGCCCTTTAGGTCAGGCACTCGCAGCTTCCGGTCCTGTGCAGACTCCTGCAGGCACACACTGGCTAGTGCTTCCAGGTTCTCTGGGCATAAACTCCTCCCAGCACCTCCCCAGCTGGGCTATGCTGGGAAATGATCCTAATTATAGGCCTGTCAGCCAGGAGGGGAGACTGATTGGGTACCGGGGTATGGGGATGTGGGGTGGGGATGTTTCCTGACTTTGGCATAGCAGACCTATCTTGGTTGGCTGTCAATTGTCTTTAAGGTCCACCCACTCTGACTGATGAGCCCTGGGCTCGGTCCTGATTTGCTCTGACCTCTCTCGGCAGGTGAGAGCTTCTTTGTGTGTCCCAACAGACCCTCTGGTTTTCCCATCTGGCTTTCCTGACTCCTCTGCTGTTCACTTTTATTGAGCAGGGGTGGGGAACGTCCAGCCTGCGGGTCCTATAAAGCCCGTGAAATCACTTGGTCCAGCCCTGCCAAGGCATTAGGGGTGAGTTAATGAAATGTTTGACCAAATATAGCAGGCTGATTTTTAAAAATATATATATATTTTATTGATTTTTTAAAAAAATTTATATTTTGTTGATTTTTTTACAGAGAGGAAGGGAGAGAGATAATAGAGAGTTAGAAACATCGATGAGAGAGAGTCATCAATCAGCTGTCTCTTGCACACCCCCTACTGGGGATATGCCCGCAACCAAGGTATGTGCCCTTGACCGGAATCGAACCCGGGATCCTTTAGACTGCAGGCCAACGCTCTATCCACTGAGCCAAACCAGTTTCGGCTATTTTATTGATTTTTTTACAGAGAGGAAAGGAGAGGGAGAGAGAGCTAGAAACATCGATGAGAAAGAAACATCGACCAGCTGCCCTGCACACCCCCCACCGGGGATATGCTTGCAACCAATGTACATGCCCCTGACTGGAATCGAACCTGGGATCCTTCAGTCCGCAGACCAACGCTCTATCTACTGAGCCAAACCGGTTTTGGCATCAGGCTGATTTTTAAGTTGATAATTTTGTATGGCCTGAGAATGTTATAAATATCCACATGGCCCTTGGCAGAAAAAGGTTCCCACCCTTGCTGTAGATTAACTCATATACCTGGGAACTTTTAGAAATGTAGATTCTCAGCCACTTCAGCTTCTGAGTCAAACTCTGGAGATAGGGAGCAAGCAGTCTGAGATTTAGCAAGCCCTTCAGGTAACTTAACAAAAGTTTGAGGAGGATGGTAGAGTAGCTATCTATCCATTGTCTTTATAGCTGCTATACTCTCATAGTCTTAAACCCTGCTTCCAGTGGCACAGCCTCCCTTTCCATCGTCTTTGAAAGTTTCAGTAGGCGTGCCATCCGGTGCCAGGGGCTGTGTGCTCCACCTATCCCATGGTGGGGTCTTTATTGCCAGATGCATGATAAGTGATTTCTCCCCCAAACACCATCTTATCTCTCCTTTTTTTGGTCACTCTTGGTACCAACTATCCCACATTGGATTTTCCAGAAGCAGATGCTAAGATGGAGTTTGGGGCGCATAATGTTTCTTTGAAAGGAAGGAGGTGTAAGCAGGATTGGACAGAGGGATTAATCCAACTATGAGTCAGCCCCAACAAAGCCCCATCAGCCGAGAAATGAGTATTGCCCATTGACTTGGGCTTCGCTGGCTGGCCTTTATACTTCTCTCTGTGCATGGTCTGGGGCACGTATCTCTGTCGGTCACAGCACACCATGGTTCAGTCCTTTGATGTTTCCTTTACTCCCTGTCAGTTTTCCCTTTCCTGACTTAAGCTCCACGATATCCTGTCCTACCACCTCTCACACTTCCTTCATTTCTGGTCCCTTCTGTTCACTATCTCCCTTGCCCCAATTAAACCTATTGCTAATCCCCCTGAGGTGATTTTTCCTGTCCTTTTTTTTTTTTTTTTACTTTATTGGGAGTTTAGCCGAAGTTCAATTATTGTGTTATTTTATAAAAAATAGCTATAAATTTAGATATAAATTTAGATTTATAAAGATCTTTATGTTGTCTGAAACTGTTCTCTTGCACATGAAGAATGAATTGAATACCGGGGACCAGCCCTTTTTTATTTGTCTAATTAATGGTAGAGTGAATACTGTTCTTTCCTGCTATCCTGTGCAGGAGCACACAGAAACCTCTTTAGTTAGACATGCAGCTAGAAAATACAGTGTAATTTAAGTAAAAGTACTTTATTTGCTTACTTTCAATATCACTTCTGTTTTTTCCATCAGGCCATCCAGCCCTGTCGTCCTATGACCAACAATGCTGGCAGACTTTTTCACTATCGAATTACAGTCTCCCCGCCTACAAACTTCTTAGTAAGTTTCCTTACAAAACCAGATTTCATTTAGTTTAAAATGTAAATAGGTTAAAATGTGCGTTGACTGAATATTGATTCAGTTCTTAAATGATCTTTTAAAATATCCTATTTTTATGTTGATAAAATTAGCCTTTATCATAATGACATTTATTTTTACTTTTTTACCAGGTTACTTTTGGTACCTTTTTCATTTATATTGGTGGTACCACATAATAGCCAAAAAATTGTGGTGCTGTGGAGTTGGAAGAATGCGTAGAATAGTTTCACATCTCTTAAAAATCAGCAAATAGAATATATGTTATCTAGCGACCCAAACAAGAACATCTATTGTATCTTCCAGTACGGCAGTAATAATAATATTTGTTGACTATGGTATTGGGCACCATTCTAAGTATTTGACATGTATTAATTTATCTCTCTCAATAAACGGATGAAACAGACACTGTTATCCCCACTCTATAGATGGGGCAGTAGTCCATATTTTACAGATGAGGTTAAGTAGCTTGCTCAAGATTATTCAGGTAGTAAGGGCAGAGTGCAGATTTGAACATATACAGTCTGACACCATTGTGCTATTCCACTATGTTATACTGCTATTTATTTATTTATTTATTTTAATATATTTCTTTATTGATTTCAGAGAGGAAGGGAGGAGAGAGAGAGAGAAACATCAATGATGAGAGAGAACCATTAATTGGCTGCCTCCTGCACACCCCCCACTGGGGATCAAGCCTACAACCCAGGTATGCCCCTGGCTAGAATCAAACCTGGGAACCTTCCGTTCGCAGGCCGACGCCCTACACACTAGGCCAAGCTGGCCAGGGCTATACTGCCTTTTATAGGACAACATTTTATTAGTTCTGGTTACTTGTATCATCAAGGATTTCAACTTCAAAATTAAATATTAATAATTATATATTTTAACAACTTTATTGAGCTATATGAATTATACTTTAAAATTCACCCATTTAAAGTGTATATTTTATATTTCGTCTTTTCACAGAATTGTGAAACCATCATCACAGTCTAATTTTAGAACATTTTCATAATTTCCAAAATGTACTCAGCAGCAGTCAATTCTTTCCCACCCCTAGCCTTCAGCAGCCAATAAGATGCTTTCTATTATTTGCCTATTCTAGATATTTACTATGAATAGGTTCATACAGTATTTCATCTTTATGGTTTCTGATTTCACTTAGCATAGTGTTTTCAAGATTCACCCATGTTGTAACGTGCAACTTTATTCCTTCTTATGACCAAATAATATTTCATTCTATGGACATACTATTTTTTATTTATTCATTCAGTAGTTGATGAACATTTGGATGATCTCCACTTTCTGGCTATTATGAAAAATGCTGCTGTAAATGTCTGTGGACAAGTTTTTGTGTGGATATATATTTTCATTTGTCTAGGGCCATGGTCAGCAAACTGTGGCTCGCTAGCCATACGCGGCTCTTTGACCCCTTGAGTGTGGCTCTTCCACAAAATACCATGGCCCGGATGAGTCTATTTTGAAGAAGTGGCATTAGAAGAAATTTAAGTTTAAAAAATTTGGCTCGCAAAAGAAATTTCAATCATTGATATTTGGCTCTGTTGACTAATGAGATTGCCAACCACTGGTGTAAGACATAAACTCAGAACTGGGGTGCTGGATCATTTGGTAATTTTATCTTTAATATTTAAAGAACTATCAAACTTTTCCAGAGTGTTGTACCATGAAAATTTCATTAGAAGTTATTTTCATTATATTTAATTTAGATCAACTTTGTTGAATTATTCAAATAGAAAGTAACAGTAATATTGACAAAACAAATTATGCACATTTGGATATTCTTTAGATCTCTCCCTATCAAGTTCTGTGTGTGTGTGTGTGTGTGTGTGTGTGTGTGTGTGTGTGTGTATGAAATGTTTAAAAGAATAATGTTCAGTTCCTATGTAAAAAACATATCTTTTAGGTTATTAGTCTTGATAATTCCATATTTAGCATTTAGAATTAAAAATGGTGGGTTATAAGAATGGCATAAGGAAGAGAGTCTCATGCATAGAGCAACATTTGTAAGTTTTAATTACAGATTCAGTTTTCAGTAATTAAAATCTTGGGCATCATGCAGGAATTGCTTTGTTACACATTTGGTGGGTGGCTTCTCCTTGGAGGGCCTGGGGATGGACCTGTAAGGGCTGAGATCTGGCACCTGGGCCTTTCAGAGCCTTCCAGGTGGTTAGTCTTGACCATCATGGCCTGAGTCTTTTTAGTTCAGAAATATAGATTAGTAAGAACAGGACTGGTAGTATTGTGGGTTAAATAAAGCAAGTTCCTAGAAAATGAAGTCAGATAGCCTTTCCCCCCTGTTTTTGGCATCTGTAACAAAATGTCTTGATTGTTTCTGTATATAAATATTACTGAAGCCAGAGAATTCCACCACGCCAGACAATTTCTCCTAAAATTAAACTTTTAAGTTCTCCCCGGTGTTTGGACATTGAAAAAGTTTGTGGAGTCCTGATATTTTTCGTGGTGGTTGCTTTGTGTCCCAATGGATTTCTGCACATCAGATCATGCCGTTATTTAATTCAAATGTGTGCTTCTGTTTGCTTTCAGACTGACAGGCCCACTGTTATAGAATATGATGACCATGAGTATATCTTTGAAGGATTTTCTATGTTTGCACATGCCCCTCTCACTAATGTAAGTATGTGCTCATTGGCTGGCTTTCCCTGTCCCCGCACCCCCACCTTCCCTGTCCTCCCTTCATTCTTCTAAAACTCAAAATAAATTTCTTTTCACCTGACTGCTAAGTAACGTTCACTTTGTGTCCTCCCTCTGTGTCAGCTGAAGGAATTCTGTGGCAGTATGTGGCAGGTGGGAGTGTGTCAACTGTGCTAATGAGTCATAGGTTTGTTTCCCTTCAATGGTGTAAGTAAACATCTCAGAATAACAGTTTGAGAGTGTGAAAGATTGAAAAAGAAGGATAAACTGTGGAGTACTAGTAACATGTCAGAGCTATTTGGGGTTGGGTGTCTTTCAAAGGAAGGTTGGAAAGTTTTAAGAAGAACTTGCTGTTTAGTCTCTGAGCAATAGAAAAAGAAATAGAGCTGGTTTGGGACATCTGGAACCTGAATTAATTTCATGCAGTTTTCTGCTTTTGAATCCCAGGAATATGTCTTCTTTAAGGGACTTTGTCTGACATACAGATCCATGGTGTTTTTATACAGGTATTAAGGCAGCTCTGTTAGTAATCGGTTCAAATGGAAGTTCTGTATCTTATGAGTCAGAAGCTTTATCTCAGAGCTGGCAGTCTTGGGAATTGTCTTACTTATTCCGTGTTCCAGTTGGACAGAGAGTGAATTTGCTGGCAGCTCAGGGAGAGTGCAGCACTGTGTTTTATCCAGCCTAGACATCGTTATGGAACTTACTGAGTTATAGCTATGGTGTAGCTACCTCGAAATAGAATGTTCTCTAACCTTTCGGGCTTGGTTACAAGAAATTATACAGTTTGAAAAGTTATTTTTATTGTTTACTTAAAACTTGAAATTCTGTTCCTCTGGAGAGGAAAGATTCACATCTTTGCCAAACCTTGTTTCTAACTATCATTTCTTTTCTTCATGAGTGGACATGATTTCATAGTAGTGATACTAATTTAAAGCAAATTCTTTTCTTATTGTTTTTATTCCACAGTATATTTTATCCTAGATAATTTTCTTTGAGAAGTTAAGTACATTGTAAATGTAAAAATAAAATCATTTGATAATACATACCACATTTATTTCTAGGATGGACTATAGTATACAAAAGGTATAATATTGGGCCATTCTTTTTTTTTAAATTAGGTATAATTAATATATAACGTGTTAGTTTCAGGTGTATAACGTAATGGTTCAATATTTGTATGTATTGTGAAATGATTACCACAGTGAGTCTAGTTAACATTTGTCACCTTATATAGTGACATAATTTCATATTGGACTATTTAAAAAAATATATATTTTATTGATTTTTTACAGAGAGGAAGGGAGAAGGATAGAGAGCTAGAAATATCGATGAGAGAGAAACAATCTATATGAAAAGGCATTAGGAGGTTTATGAATTTTGATTGTTTTGTTGTCTTTGTAAATATGTTTTTAAAAAATTTATTGTTTTTGGAAGAGAGAGAGAAACATTGTTGTTAGAGGGAAACATTGATGGTTTGCCTCCCTTAAGCAACCCAACTGGGACAGAGAACAACATGGGCATATGCCCTGACCAGGAATTGAAACAGCAACCTTTCTGTGCATGGGACAATGTTCTAACAACTGAGCCACACTGGCCAGGGCTGTTGTCTTTTTAGAAATGTCTCAGTGAGGCTCTCAGACCTTTTGTGACACCAAATCTCCTGCTTTTAGAAGTCCTCAAGTCCAACTTCCCCTCCCTATTGCACTTCTCTCTTTTTTTGTCCTTCAAAGGACTTGCAAATACAAATAATTTAGTTACCATAAAAATATTTTAAAATATCTATCTTATTTTTTAATTCCCTAGAATAGTGTAGATCTTACTTTAACTTTTAGGATCACCTTCATTCAAGAAGGAAAACATTTTATCTTCAGAGAGACCAATATTAAACAATATTGAATTCCTCTTACTATCTGTATGATTTGACATTTCAGTCTTTATAAGCCTTTCTTATCTTAAGATAGAGTATTAGTTTTAGCAATAGGCTTTTGTAAAAAAAAAAAAATGAGATGAAACATGAAAAGTGTTTATTATACAGTGCTTGGCATACAATAAATATTGAAGTTCTTATTTTGGAAAATATGTCAGAAAGACTTGGGCTTGCATCTTCTAATTCTTTTTTGTTTTAAAAGCTAATTCTTAATATCTATGTGACTTTGGACAAGTGATTCTATGAACTTTATTAAAATCCCTCAGGCACTGAGAGACTGTTAGTGCTAAATTAATTGCAGTTGTTACTGTTATAAAATAAAATATAGGACTGAAAAATTCCTGGCTTCTGCATATATTTTATATAAAACTATTCAAGTTCTCAAAATTTGAGAACTTAACTCTGTAATGAGAAGATAAGCCCCATCATTTATGTTAGAGATGTTGATAAAATAAATTGAGTATTCAGCTGAGTGTTGTACAGTTCATAGAAATTAGATCTATCAAAGGCCTCTTAAATTTGAAGTTACCTCCCAACAAAGGGAATTATTAAATCATTGAACTGATCTGATTCATTTTCTTGTTGGAGAGAGCACATATCAGGAAGAATGGCATGCAAATGATTGTAATATGAGAATCTCAATCAAATCTAGTTCTGACAAGTTCTCTTCAGAACTTGAATGGAAGTGGATGGAAAGCCTTGTTGGCTAAGTAAAGAGCGTTCTGGGAGAATTTAATCCTTTTATGTAATACAGTTACTAGTACTTATTAATATCTGATGTTACTAAGGGCTTTGACAATATAACCAAATTATAAAGATAAACACATTAGGTGCACTATATCTTATCCTGTCCACAAAAGCACCATAAAGCCCCATGACCATTTCCTCCTGCCTTCATTGGCTTCCCATTTCCAGCACCCTCACTGGACTGGATTTGGTCATTTACTGGCTGGAAGTAGAAGAGTTGAAGTTTTTTTATTTTTAAACTTCATTTTTGAAAGGGGTGTTTTCTTTAGGAGTTATTTATTTTTTTTTTTAATTTATTGCTTGTTTTTGGTATGGTGAGATAGAAGTTAGTGTCAACCACTATCCAAAGAAGTTTTAAGAAATGATGGTATATATTTATATTATTTGGCCAATTAAGCTTCCAATCAATTGAGATTCCGATTATGTTGGCAAATGAAAAGTTCTCTCTGGGTCTTAGCAAAGATGAAAGTTTGAATAGAAGAGGAGATCCTGCCTTCCCAATGGTTTGTCTGAGAAGGACTCAGGTTGACTCTCTGCCTGGCTCCTTACTGCTCCCAAGACCTCTAGTCCTTTCTCTTCCGGATACCCTCTCCCTGAGTAATGGAGGCTCACCCATGGTTTTTCCTCCCATGCGTATCCTTATCCCTGCCAAATTGATATTTATAACTGTGACATAGGGCTCCATGCTTCACACTGCAACTTCAGACTGCCTGTTGGGCATTCCCACCTTAATGACCTCTCATCCTCAACCTGTGCATAACCGAACTCGTCATCTTTCCCACAGGCTGAGTTTAATACTCAGGGAGTACCTCATGAATTTCTTTGTATTAATGCCATTGTGATGTGTCCAGTCACTTAGGCCAGAAATAATTCCCAATTCTTTTTTTTTTCTTTCTTACTTCCACATCAGAATGGTCCCTGTGTATTTCAGTAACATCTCTTATGTTTAAAAATATTCCCCTCCTTTCCAGTCTTCTCTTCCTTTAGCTCCTGGACTGTCTGTTTCAGTAGATTCTGGCCTTTTGGTCTCCTGCCTCGCTCCCTTCCATACCATTCCCACACCGTTTGTTTACATAGCCACTCATCCAAAGTGAACTGTGATGGTCTCTCACTCAAACTGCTTGCAGGACTTCACATTGATAGGATAAGCCCTGAATCCTTTACATTGTTTATAAAATTTGCATACTTTGGTTCAGTGATTGCCAGTCTTTCGGACCTCACAGACACCAGTGGTTTGCGGACCTCCAGTTGGCAACTGCTGCTCCACAGGCGTCCTTAAACCAGTGGGCCTCACAGACCACCGGTCGGCGACCGTTTGTATAGCTCATACTTTCCTTTCTGGAAACACCTTCTCTCCTCCCACTTTGTTCCTGCTTCTCTCTCTCTTCCCACTTTATTCCTGAACAACTAAATCACTTGTTATTCCCCTGGCTTCCTTTTCTCTGTCTTGCTAGAAACTAAATACCTGCTCTTCCCCAAGTTAGTTTTTCTGGATGACCTGAAAAATCCCTGCCCCTCTTTGAAGACTCAACTCAAGTGTTACCTCTTTTGGTCCTTTTGAACTTTATACTCTCCATTTGCATTTTTGTTTTTAGTTGTACCTACAAGTTACATCGTTCTTCTTTTAGATCCTTGCCTTTTAAAATAGGAGGGGCTGTGACTTCTTTTAGGGTGAACCTAAACATCATTGTTAGCAAAGAGTAGGTATTTACAAAATATGAATGATGCCCCAATTTGTAGCTCTCACATCATTTTTAAATATAGGACTAAAAAGACCTTAAAATGTTAGTGGCTTTAGTCTATTGTTTCAGTTGTTTTAGAACTCACTTATTACCACCAGAAGGTTGAATATGGATCTCTTATTAAATTATGAATTTTACTCAAAGTAGCTGTTATCCTTTTAAAAAATGAAAAAGCACCTAAGAACTAAATTTTATTTCTGAGAAAAAGTTTCCAGTAGATGGCATTATAAGACTGTTTTAGTTTTACTTACCATTCCTTTGGTAGAATTAACATTTGTTCCTTTCTGATTGCTATGCTTTGTAAAAAATAGTTACATTTTTGTTACTTATGGACAGACAGATTGAGTGCCTAGAAAAACCGATTTAACACATCTCTAGGGTTTCTGAGTATTATTTTCCCCAGGTAATCAGCCAAATCACTCCAGTAACTCCACACACTCCCTTTCTCATTCATCCCTTCATTCAAAAGTATACTTAAGGAAAACCTATTATGTCTAGACACGAGGCTAGTGTCTGATGACACATTGGTAAAACAAGACAGGTGTGGATTTATTTAACATGAGCCTTCCTTCATTTTCACATGAACCCTGAGTATTAAAACAGGTAATGAGAGGTATTATACTCTAGTGCCTTAGAGCTGGCTGGGGTGCAGAGCAATATTTCTGAACTCACCAGCTACTGGTTGGTTACCTTAGGCAAGGTACCTGATGGCTCTGCCTCAGTTTCCCCACTGTACAAGGGGAATAATAAGTTGTGCCTATCTCATAGGGATGGCTACATGGGTGACAATGTATGAAGCATTAGAATAGTGCCTGGTTCAGGAAATGCTATCTATTATTATTCTTATCATACTTTATTATGTTTATTACCATGGTTGGTTTTGCTCCGGAGCCAGATAGACAGCTTGACTTGTGTGCACGTAGTGACTTAGGAATCTGTAACGGATGAGTTGTCAGCCTGCTATCCCGGATCTGCCTGAAGAGCCAAAGTTCTGAAAGATTTAAAAAAAATAAATAAAAAACACACACACACACACGAGAAAAATAAGTATTTAAGTGGTTTTATTAATTCTTCAGAGGCAATTTGGTTGGTATAATGGGTTCTTGTCACGTTTGTGTTGTTGCTCTTACAGTTAATTAAGCACCAGCATTCTGCAGGTTTCCTGTAGAGGCAGGGCCAGCTGGGCGCCTGCCATGAAAACCCAGCAATTGTGGTCAAGCTCGCCGGCAGCACTGTGAGCAGCTTAGATTAAGTGGAACTTTCTCGTTTGGGTCACGGCCTTCTGGGTCACATTGCCAACACGTGCTCATTGTGAGCCCCTGGGATGGTGTTGCAGACTGAACCTCTTCTTATTCTTGCAGATTCCGCTGTGTAAAGTGATCAGATTCAACATAGACTACACGATCCATTTCATCGAAGAGATGATGCCTGAGGTGAGGCAGAAGATCGCTTAGCAGCTTTGTCTTTTGTTTATTCCACCCTCATATCTTGAAAGCATTGGACTTGGCCAGCTCTGGCTTTGGCCTCAGGAATACCCCTAAAGCTTTGTGGTCACTGCTGAGCAGGGGTCAGTGAGATGGAGCACTAGGAACAAGGTTAAAATCTGGGCCATTTTTCAACTTCTGAATCCATTACTCCTCGTTTTGCATCTACTGATACTAACTCTACATTCATTTCTGGTTTGTTTTGGATAGGGGACAGACTTTGATTACTGGTTGTTATCAGAGGAAATTAGGGTAGTGAAACCGAATCTGATAGCTGTTGGAATAATCTTATTCATTATCTCCAATGACAAGATCGGTGCTTGGTTCATTTTTCTTCCCATATATTTACATATTTTTCCTAATTGTTTTTCATTGCGGCTGCTCAGCAGCAGATTTATCTAAATATATGCAAGAGGTTTAGAATTCCAAAGCAAGATTAATGTGAATCTCAGAATGATTCATTGCCTGATCTTGAATTTAGTGGTGTCAACAAATCACACCGAGAAATAACAACTAGACAGCAAACAAGCCTGTGCACTTAACCTTGTGTCGGAGTCGGGGTCGATTTCCTGAGCCCCCGGCTCTCCTTGCAAACCTTGTTTAACAGCGCGGCTCTGGCGTGGGCAGCTGGGCACCAGCGGGAATTGATAAGCATGACATACATGCTTAGTCTGCACCTATTTCATTCAAAGCAAGTCCTGGTAATTCTACCTGTCTTTCAAAAAGAATTAAAGAGAAAGGGCCACCCCCCTCATTCTCTAGCTTAAAAGGGCTTTTTGCTTCCTTTTGATTTTTAAGGTCATAAGCCTTCATTTGCTATTGTAAAGGTTTATGAGTCTGGAGTTATCTCACGCAGGGTGATTTATGAACCCCGAGCAAAACAAATAGGAAGGAAGAATTATGAGACATGTCTTAGTTGCAAATATATCATCTGTTAAGCTTGCTTACTGGAGAAATTTTGGTCCAAAGTTTTGTAGTTTTTTGTAGCCCTTTATTTACCTTCATTAAGAATTTGAACTTTTTTGGCATGAAAGACCTCTGTTTAGGGTTACTCCAACATAATTCTGGGTGTGTTTGGGGGGATGGCAGGAAGCAGGAATGAGGTGAGCGGGACAAACCTGTCAGAGCCTACTGGTGTGTGTGGTGTGTGTATGTGTGTGTGTTTGTGTGTGTGTGTGTGTGTGTGATTTGAATTAACAAAAAGTCCCCAGGAAATACTGATTTTATGATTGGGTTAGAAAAATATGACATAAAGATGACTTCATTTTTATTTTATTTTATTTTTTAAATAATAATTCTTTATTGTTGAAAGCATTACATATGTGCCGTTCCCCCCCCACCCCCCCCCAATTAACCCGCTCCAGTCTGCCCACCCCAGGTCCTCACCACCTTGTATATGCATGTCCTCATCTGTGTCCATGCGCCATGAATATAAGGTCCTTGGTTGATTACCTCCCACCCACCCACCTACACATCCTCCCCCACCTTCCCTCTGAGATTCTGCACTCTGTTCCATGCTTCCATGTCTCTGGTTCCACTCCATGTAGGAAAGTACATGGTTTTAGGATAGTTTCAACAGACACTTCTTAAGGCACTTGACTAGAACAAGTTGAACCTTCAGTTAATATATATTTGCAGAATTATAGTAATTTGATTTTGGTTTATTTTTCAGAATTTTTGTGTGAAGGGACTTGAACTCTTTTCATTATTCCTATTCAGAGATATTTTGGAATTGTATGACTGGAATCTTAAAGGTAAATAATAGGATTTAAAGAAAAGTATGATGCATAAAGAACATTGTGGTGTATGGTGAGGGTAGCATAATTGAAATTTCTCTCATTTTTTGAAATACCCAGGGAAAAGTGTGATTCATAGGAATGCTTGCTATCATCTGACACGAATAAGTTCTTATGGGTCTTATTTTAATACAATTTGACAGTGTCTGTTGCCTAAGATTACCATTATCCATTTCCTAACTGATATGTAAGAAGATGGTATCAGTTATTATAAGTAATTACCTTGATTTATGTGCATTGGGGAAACCTCATTAGTTAATATTTTAAATCTATTGAATTTTACTATAATATAAACTTCCAAGATTACAGTTTATCAAAACAGAACTTTGCTTTGACCTCAAAACATACTTCATAACTTGCAAGCTACATCTATTCAGCACCTGGTCCTTGGATCTTGGATAATAGTTACTCTTTGGAGGTGTCTTCATTCCAGCAGACAGTTATTTATTTATTTTCTAAACTGTGTATTGATGAATGGGTTTTCAAACCAAGTTTTTAGTAGCATTTCTCTCTATTTTTCTCCAGTCCTATTGATTAAAATGGAAAGGAATTAAAACATAAGCATATTATATCACACAGTAGTTCAATTATAACAAAAATCTTTTTATGTTTTGAATTTCTAAAAATAATTTTCCCTTATCCTCCTATACAATAAAAGGCTAATATGCAAATTGTCCCTTTGACTGGGAGTTTGACCATGGGGTGGGCCGGCCTCCCAACTACCCACGGCCCCTCCTGGCTGGCCCAGCCCAATCGCCCCACCTGTGCACGAATTTGTGCACTGGGCTTCTAGTATACCATGAAGTACATGTCCTCGACTTTCATTCTCCTCTTACACTGGTAGTCTCCTCACTTCAGTCTTCTAGGGTGTTTGTGCTATTTACCTTAGGACTGATGTACAAGAAGAAGAGTGGTTTTTTAATTTTTTTATTTTTATGCCCCTACTTCTAGTGGTGTTTGTCATTATAATGAGTCTTAGGAATTAAATTGCAGTATTTGTTTTCCAAGCCTGTTTTTATTAATTTTTTTCTTATCTTTCCACTTGTTTGCTTTAGGTCCTCTGTTTGAAGACAGCCCACCCTGCTGCCCAAGATTTCATTTCATGCCACGTTTTGTAAGATTTCTTCCAGGTAAATCTTTTGTCTTGTCTGTGACCCATGGAAATTATGTCTGAAAAAGCCTGCCATTCTTTCAGTCTTTCTGGAAAATTTCCCACCACAGACACTGGTAATTTTCTACTTCTAAGTCAGGTATAAAAATGTAAAATTATACACGCTGATGTGTACCCTAACGTAATTTCGATGAGCAATGGGAGAATTGATTCATAAAATTTAAAATTACACTTGATAAAATAACACGTGATAAAATTAATTTGGAAAGATGCATGTGGCTTAAAAATGCAAAGAGTTTACATACAACCTGATTATAACTGCTAAAAATTACTGTAATAGTAGCTTTATTAAGGTAGTGGTATTACAGTGCTTTTTTTCTATTTTTTGACATAAACTTCTATTTATTTTACAGTGAGAAAAACAATTTATTTTCTCACTCAATTAAAAAATATAAGTAATTATATGACTTTTTTTTTTAAGCAGTATTTTAACTGGCTTTGAAAAATCTTTTAAGAGTCTAGCTATGAGATATTGCAATATATTTGATTTGGTGTTTTTTTAAAAATGGTGGGTTTATAATGAAATCTTTGGGTGCCTTTTTGTTTACAAAGTCTTCACCACCCTAAAGGAATCATCCCTAGGTCTCATTCTGGTTTCTCCTTCACTGGTATTTCCAGGGATACGCTCACTTCCAGCTATGCATGCCCTTATTTTCTTTGCTTCCACTTGGATCTTTGTTTTGCTCTCTGCATAGTCACCTTTCTTTGCTTTCTCAATTAAGTTCTGTACTCTGACTTCTGGCTCTCGGCTCTAAGGGCCTTGGCCGTTATGCTAACCACCATCTTCCATGGAAATGTCAACTTCACCATTTGCCTTTTTACCCTTTATGTGTGCCGCTCAGTGATATTGGTGAAAAGGTTTGGCAGCTGCAATAACTCTGATCTACAATTTCAGTTTTCAGCTTTTTATTATTTATTTATTTTTTTAAATATATTTTATTGATATTTTACAGAGAGGAGAAAGGGGGAGAGATAGAGAGCTAGAAATGTCGATGAGAGAAACATTGACCAGCTGCCTCTTGCACACCCCTTATTGGGGATGTACCCGCAACCAATGTACATGCCCTTGACCGGAATTGAACCTGGGACCTTTCAGTCCGCAGACCGAGATGCTCTACCACTGAGCCAAACCGGCTTCGGCTTTTCAGCTTTTCAGCATGTAAGCTTTCAGCCCAGTCTGCATAGCCATAGTTTCATAAGTTTAGTCTTAGGCTCATGCACTCTTCCTCATGCCTGCTGTCCTGGACAGGAAGCCTTCCTCCCCAGGCCTTGGAACTTACCCTAGAGCCAGTCACACCCTGGTCCAGCCACACCTGTCTTTGCTATGACACCTAGTGCCCTTAACCCTATTCCCACCCTGTTACTACTGCTGATGTCAAAGCCAGCCTTCCAGCCCAGCCAGTGTAGTTCATTGGTTGAGCATCAGCCCATGTACCAAGAGGTCACTGGTTCAATTTCAAGTCCGGGTACATGCCTCAGTTGTGGCCTCAATCCTCAGCAGGAGGTGTTTCTATCTCTCCCTCTCACTTCCTTTCTCTAAAATAAATAAAAACATATTTAAATAAATAAATCCCGGGGACACGTTTGTTTTAGTCTCTTCCTGAAGGTGATGCATGGGCCTTGACCTTGTCTCTCTGCTGAGCTACCATTAACTTTTCTCTGAGCTCTGATGCATCCTTTTGCAGCTTTTGTTTCTTGTCCATTCATTCTAGCTTAGATTTGTCCTCAGGATTTTGTCCTTTCCTCAGTCCAGACATTCAGTCACAATGACTTATTTTTATTTTAGAATAGTATTGCTCATGTTTTCATTAATTTTTGTTATTGTTTGGAAATGTATTCAAAAGCTTTTCCCCTTTGTATAATACATCTGGTTTTGTTTTATTGAGAAGTCCTTTTGTTTCAACTGAGTGCATCTTTGATTTTATAATGACACGTTAGCGGTGAACTTACTATAAAGTGGTGTTACAGTGAGTTTGTTGAAAAGCCTTTTCTTTCAGTAACTGTCTGTCTTTAGACATTTAATAATCAAGCAGATCTCTAAGACAAAGTGGACAGTTTTAAAAGCATCTTAAAGAACAATCTTACGTTAGATTTTTACTTTGTGGGATTTTAACTCTTATAAAATGTTTTTCATAACTATTTAGAGATAAATTTTATGTTGTCATTGAAAGAAGGTCTGTTGATTTATTTTTCAAACAAGATACACTTTTTCATTAGAGTTTACTTTGAAAATATACTAGGGAAACTTGCAGATTTCAGTATGGAAATCCAATTGATCCAGCACCATTTATTCAAAAGACCAGTGAAGTGAATTGAAGTGTTTTCTCTGCCTCCAATTGGGTTGACTTGGGGTGTGTGTGTGCACATGTGTGTGCCAAACAGTACAAATGTGTATACTGTAAAAAATGAGCACCCCTCTAGACGTGTAAAAATTGAGTAGGTGTCATAAGTGGATTGATTTGTATTTGTTTTAACCTGTGTAGGGAAAATTAATGCTTTTTGTTTCAGTGGGCTAAAACATGTTGTGTAACTTGGGCTAAAACATGTTGTATAACTCACTTATTTTAGACATCACTTCATTCCTTAAAACGTTCATAGAATTCCATAGTATGAACTGATATTAATTTTTTTCGACAGTTCTTCTAGTGAAGAATATTTTGGAGATGGCTATTTTCTCCCCATTGCATAAATACTTCCGGAATTGTCTTTTGCATCTATCATTTTGCATTTATATCAATGTTTCCGTAAGGTAGACTCCTAGACCTGAAATGTTTTGTTACAACAGTATGCACATTTTAATTTGGAAAGATATCGACCAAGTTCTCACTAAAAACTACATAATTTGTAGTTTTAACCAACATTTTTAACAGTACCTATTTTTTATACATCTGCCAACATTGAATAATACTCATCTTCTATAGTTTGTCTAATAGGCAGAAGGTCATCTCATGGCTACCATTTGCATTTTAATTGCACTATTCTGAGAATGAGCAACTTTTATATATTTCAGGTATTTCATGGTCCTTTTGTTCTTTTTGCTTTTCATTTATATCAGTTAATTATCTCTGATAGAAAGTTTTTTAGGCATCATATTTTTTCTTCAGTTTTCCAATTTGCCTGTTTTGAAGACAGCTATCTCAGTTGCTTTCTACAGACTTGTCCAAAATTAAGCTTATAGTTTAAATCAAAGATTATTCAATGAAAGTCATTTTTCTAGAAGTTAAACCATAGAACAACCAGTTGATTGAAATTAAATTTTTTTTTCCACTTTTTTTTTTCTTCTATCCCTACCTCTACCTATTGCAGTTAGACAGTTAAAATGAACTCTCCTAGAGTCTGTTTAAGGTTTTATTTGACTGTAGCTGGGACTGGGGCTTCAAGATAGGAAGGCTGCATGTACAGGAAAGCCTGTTCATTGCTTGTATTGTTGCTGTAGTAAAGCTTTGGAAATCCTGAATCAGTTTTGTAAATTGATTGTTTAGCGGACTGATTGTTGGAATTGCCCCACCCTGGATAAGTAGTTCTCAGTTGTGACTGACAGAGGGCCAGCGGATGGGAGTATATCTCAATATTCACAGGTAGACAAGCATAGATTGAAAAAAAAAAAAACATCAATTGAGATAATATCTGCACTAATAAAAGAGAAACATGCAAATTTACCATACCTCTGTGACGCTTACCAGCCAATCAGGAGTGAGTATGCAAATTAACCTGACCAAGATGGTGGGTTAATTTGCATACACAGGCATCCAGTGGCCTGGGTCCTGGGAACATCCTTGGAACCCAGGCCACTCAGAGCTTTTAGGCCCACGTGTAGGCCCTGAGCAGCTAAGGTCCTAGAACCCCCCTGGCTACTTCTGGCCTATGGGCCTTGGAATTGAGCAGCTGGGGCAGGTTGGCAGCGGCTTGAGCAGGGCCTTACTGGAACTGGGGGGCCCTGCCCAAGCCACGATGGAGGCCTGAGCGGAGCCGGGGGCCTCTGCCCATACCATGGCAGAGGCTTAAACAGAAGTTTGGCTCAGTGTACAATGCTTTGGCCTGCTGACCCCAGGGTCCGGGTTCATTTCTGATCAAGGGCATGTACCTAGGTGCAGTCTCCTCCCTGGCTGGGGCTCATGCAGGAGGCAACCAATGAAAGTGTCCCTCTCACATTGGTGTTTCTCTCTGTCTTTCCCTTTCTCTTCCACACACTCTAAAAACCAATGGAGACATAACCTCAGGTGAGGATAAAAAAAAAAGAAAGAAAGAAAGAAAGAAAGTAATGTCATAGCTTATGAAAGACACATCTTGAAAATGCCTAAAGAAAGTTGTCATTTTCTCATGGTGAAGGGACTGGAGTCCGTGTTGATGAAAATACCTTGGCTGCTGTGGTGACTGGCAGTGGCTGCAGCAGCCGGGTGATGGGGCTGGTGCCTTCCCCTGATCAGCTTGGTCACCTCCCGCAGAGGGAGGCTGAAGCTGTCGGTAGAAATCCCCTGAGGGCTCCCAGTCTGAGAGGGAACAGGCTGGGCTGAGGGATCCCCCCATACCCCGCCAGTGCACGAATTTTGTTCACAGGGCCCCTAGTCATAGTATAACTTTGTATTTGGAACGTTTAGAAAATACCTGTTAATACAGATTTTTAGACAAGATTATTTAAAGGCACCTTAGCAGGAATACGCAGGGGACATAGTAATGCAGCTGTATAGTTATACTTAGTGTAGGGAAGGAGGAAGGTGTGTTTGTATTTGTTAAAATTGAGTGTTAGACTGTTGAGAACACTTGTGTAAGCAGCCATATTCTTAACACAGATTCCCTAACAAATTGCCCTCCCCCGCAAATAACGGTATAAATAATCAGACAACATAAATGGAGAGGATTGGGTCTCTGAGAAACAGTTATAAAGTCTGTCAGTTCATTAATGACTGTCCAGATTCATTCCCTGAAACACAAACTCCAGTTCTTTTCGAATAATGACCCGTTGTCACGGCTCCAGTCCCAGTGCTGGCACAGCGCCTGCTAACCTTAGCGTCCCCACTCTCGCTTCTCATTTGTATCGTGTCCTATTTATCTCAGCCAGAGAGATAAAAATGGCTTCTTAGCCCTCGGTGACACCGTTCCATAAATCCCCAACATAAACATGTAGCAGAGCAGACAAACCAAAAGAGCCAATTCATTAACATTAGTAAATTCATGGCAGTCTGTGAGCAATTGGCCATGTTATTTATCTGCTTCAGAAAGTCACTTCTCAAATATTTATGAGGGTCTTTTTTGCTGGGCTGGGTATGAGGATACAGCTCTTGCATAGGCTCTGGCAGGATTCTTTGTCTACCTTCTCTCGTTAATCCATTAAGATTGCACCTCATTACTGACCCTGGAGCAGTGCCTCAGTCCCTCTTTTTAGGTTATCTGCTCTGGGTTTCTACATTTTTTCACAGTGGTAAATATCTGTCCTTTTAGGTTTTAGGTGCTATTTTAAATATTTAGCAGATTTCAACATGGATTTACACTTTTTCCTTTAGCATGACTGACTTTGCACCTGATGCGTGTATTTTTTTTTTTTTTTAAGAAAAGTATTTCTAGTTTCTATGCTGCTATAAAACTCTCCTGCCTTATTGGAGGCTGTGTGTGTGTGTGTGTGTGTGTGTGTGTGTTAATCCTTACCCAAGAATATTTTTTCCATTGATTTTTAGAGACAGTAGAAGGTCTGGGAAGAGACACAGAGAGAAACATGGATGAGATACATCAATTGGTTGCCTCTCACACGTGCCCTGACCAGGGCTGGGGATCCAGCTTGCAATCGAAGCACATGCCCTTGACCAAAATGGAACCCAGTACCCTTCGGTCTGTGGGCCGACACTCTATCCACTGATCTATACTGGCTAGGGCTTGTTGGCAGCTTTGCGCCCAGGGTAGGTAGAAGCATTCTGGTGAGCATGTGGTGACCTTCTTTCTTTATCTTGTGAGTATTCTCCTAAATTGGGAAATATCCTTGGTGTGTCAAATAAAAGTGACAAGGAGACTCTGTTTCCAGTGTCTAGAAGAGTGCCTATTTCCTAGTAGGTGCTCAGTAACAATATGTTGGGTGAATAGATAAATATTTAGGTTAATGAATGAATGAATGCAGGATGTCTATATATAGTAGCTCTGTAGTAGCAATGTCATCTAGTTTCAGAGTAGCATCTTAGGTTAAAAACCCCTACACACACCAGAGAGAAATCTTGATACCTATTTTCTTTTTTTTCAGATGTGTAGGCCTATCCAAGCTTTAGCCCACAGCAACTTATATGAAAACCTTTTATCCTTTTTCATTTTCTGGTAGCCCCAGTCCCTTGGGTATCTAACTCCTCTAGCACAAATAGGATACTCATTTGTGCCCAGCTATCCCCACCATCTTGGTTTCCTTATTCTCATGAAGTGTTGGCATACTGCAGCTTCTAGAAATATTTTGAGACCTGGGGAGGGTACTCATTGTCCTCTAAACTCTCAGGGTTCTTGTCCTTTCTCTGGGTAGGTTTAAGTTAAGAAAAGTTGTATAAGGTGGTTACACATATTGGTCAAGCAGCTAAGTCCAAAGAGAAGCCAGAAACTTGAGCACCAGAAATTAATAATCACATTAAATGAGTCTTTGGTTCATCAAGTACCAGATTAATTGGCTTTTTCCAAAGTACTTCAATTGCCCCTTGTTGTTTTTACCTCTGTACTTAGTAATACGTGCTCCATAAGCCTCAGAATACTTGCTGTTTTTCCATGCACTAACTCCATAATGGTCTTCACGATATTAGTACAGACTCTAGGACTATTCATCACGGCAGGTGTAGCACATTAGCACCAAAAAATTAGACCATCACACAATACACTGAAAACATCCATACATATCTCAAAAGCTTAGAATTTCCTTAAGATAATACCATCACTGCTAAAGAGCTTTCATCTGTTACCTAGAAAGAATGATAAAATATTTAAGTTCTGTATATTTGTAAGCTGTGGTTCTTCGTGCTAGATGGTTTTAAATTTATTTAGACAGACACCTTTTTTTTTTTTATATTCACACCTTACAAATGGATGTTTTTATCATTTAGAATGTTGCTCTTACCATTTTAGTAAATGAGACGGTTTATGAGCACTGTTTATCAATCAAACAAATGGTTTTCGGATTATTTGGCACCTGGTTGAACAATGCAAATTCTAAATTACCTTTTTACGAACGCTCTTTTGTCTCTGTTGTCTTGTTTTTTCCTTATTTGGCTGGTAACTGGCTGTGCATTGAGTAGCCTCATTTCCTCCTTTCTCTCTCTCCCTACCCAAGATGGAGGGAAGGAAGTGCTGTCCATGCACCAGATTCTCCTCTACCTGTTACGGTGCAGCAAAGCACTGGTCCCGGAGGAGGAGATCGCCAACATGCTGCAGTGGGAAGAGCTCGAGTGGCAGAAATACGCGGAAGAGTGCAAAGGCATGATTGTTACCAACCCCGGCACGGTAGGTTCTGGTGCTCACACACCCGGACCCGGCCACCCTCCTTCCCGGTGCGAATGTTTCAGAAAAACAACAGCAGCATTTTCAAAGCTTTATCCTTCAGTAGTTTTTATATATTTAGTAGATACGAAAAACATTACAGTTTAAGGTGCATTTGGTAGTAAGTTCATCTTATTGGTAAATTTATTCTGCTCCTTATGGAGACATTTGAAGTTCTTAGGTATGTTCAGGTCTGATTTTTTAAATAAAAGTAATATATCTTTACCATAGAAAATTAGGAAAATCAAAAAGCAGCCCAAAGAAGGCAATAAAAATGATCCATAATTCCATTCTGCAGAGATGATAGTATTCAGTTTTCTGGTCTCTAGGATATATTTCATATTGTTTTTGAAACAAAATTGGCATCATTCTATTAAATAGTATTATATTAAATATTAAATATTTAGGCCTCCTTATCCTCCAGAAACAACCACAAAATATAATTTTTTCATAGTCATAAATTTCTTTAGGAGTGTTAAAAAAAAAGACCCCTAAGTTATAAAATTAACTTACTGTTGGGTACCTAGATTGCTTCCAGACTTTTGCTAAAACAAATAATGCTGTATTGAATTTGTATATGTGTGCACATATATATGTGTATATGTATGTGTCTTTGAATATTTATCCATTTAACTCCTTAGGAAGAAGTAGTCTGGATGCATACACATTTTAAGTCTTTTGATACATATGGCAAATACCTTCCAGAAAGGTTGTAAAATTTGTGCTCTGACTAGGAAGATATGAAGGTACCCATTTCTTAATATTGGTTATGCTGTTTAAAATAAAAAAAAATTTAAAAAATCTTTATTGTTGAAAGTATTATACTATTTTAACAGACAAACTTTGTCAGTTGATAGGGAAAAATATTATTTAGTTAGTTTTGTATTTACTTTGGTTTCTAACAAAAATCGATACTTTAAATGTTTATTGGCCTTTTGATAATGGCCTGTCAGTATCCTTTGTCAAATTTTCTGTTGTGGTATTTGTCCTTTTTTATTGATCCTTTTATTGCTCTTTTGCCATAATTATAACAAATATTTTCCACTTCGTTTTCTTATAGTCATAAATTTCTTTAGGAGTATTTCTTATTATTTTGTTTTAAAATAAGCTTCTAATGTTAGTTGTTGGAATAAACATGTGAATTTAAAAGAGTGAATTAAAAGATAACTAGATTTATCTTATAAAGAAAATGCTATTTTGTGTCATTAAAATAATTTTTTCCTGAAAATACGTTGTTTCACAAAATAGTTATATATTGGCATCTTATCAGGAGAAGTTTTTCCAGAAATGGAGAATTAAAATATTTCCATGTAAAGAAACATAGTAATCTATTTAAGCAGAGTTGCGGTTTTAAAAAGGCTGCCAAATTTGTTCAATAGTCATGATTCATAAAAATAAAGCTCTGGATCAACTTTCTGTAGCATGACAGCAACATCTGCACAAACAAAATGTGGTTATTTGCAAATCAAACATTCCAGCTCATGCCAATTATTTTAAACAGAGCTCGGAAATGAAAGTGTTTAATAAAAATGTTTTTCAGCATAAAATTTATTTAAAATTAAAAAGTCATACAGTTTTTACTGTTACATTGTTAAGCTACATAAACCATTGTTAAAGTAATTTTAAAAGAAATATACAAGCCATAGCACTATGAGAGTGTGATGGTGAATTTGATTTTTCTCCTTGAAACAACTGCAGAAATTTACATTTCTTTTGTCAGGTTTATAGTTGGGTTCAGGTGATGGTGGTGGCACACATGATCTTTTTATCTTGGTGGGTCCACTCTAAGCATCCCACGGTTTACAGTGGACACTTTGGGAACACTTTTTCCCTGGAGCTTCCTCCCATGTCCTGACTAACATTTTCTGAAGTCCTAGAATTAGTTGGAGAGTTTTTGAAAATATAAGAATGATGCCGAAACCGGTTTGGCTCAATGGATAGAGCGTTGACCTGCGGACTGAAAGGTCCCTGGTTCGATTCCGGTCAAGGGCATGTACATTGGTTGCGGGCACATCCCCAGTAGGGAGTCTGCAAGAGGCAGCTGATAGATGTTTCTCTCTCATCAATGTTTCTAACTCTCTATCCCTCTCTCTTCTTCCCTGTGAAAAATCAATAAAAATATTTTTAAAAAGAAAAAAGAAAATATAAGAATGCTAGGAGTGACCCTATATACTCCAGGCACTCAAGGATCTGTAGTTAAAAAAAAAAAAATTAAAAAATCCCAAGGACTTCAGATTCACTTGTTTGCTTATTACATGGAGGACATTTACTCCTCATTCAACTTACTGTTGAGGGACATCCATGTGAGCTAGATACTAGTGAAGTTTGTAGATGTATATGGCGCTTGTCCAGGTGCGGTCTCACAGCCTGTCCGTGTAAAAGGAGTCTGTGATGGACCCTTGAATCAATGGGCCAGTCAGTAGGAAAGCCAGCCAGGAAAGCCCGTAGTTTTAGGTGAGATCACTCGGCTGGGCTGCTGGGGATGTTTCATAAACCCCGCAGGAAGGTCTTTAAGGAGTTGAGAAATTATATAAATTATTGGCATTTTTAAATGCACATACTTAGCATGGTGTTTGGCTCGTTTGAAGATAATGAAGAAACCAGGATGAAAGATTTATGTTGGTAAGTAGATGGAAATAAGAAAAAGGTAAATTTGGATGCCAGGCTTTGGGACATGTTGAAGTTCATTCTTTTTTAATATTTACCTAAAAATGTTTAAAGGAGGAACATACTCTGAAAACTCAGTATGATTCAAACATCTTCCAGTATATTGTTTTGAGAATAGGGCCGAGTATACATTTTATCCTTGCTTTGAAAGATCACCCACTGGTAAGAACATTGGGGGATTTATTAAGTTTTCAAGTCATTATGGTCATATTAAGTACTTTATTGCTGCAGAATTTAAAAGAATTAATCTCCCTCTTTGGGCACTTTGCTTCTGCCAGAAAATACTTTGGTCATTAGTGAGAATGTTTTCTTCCGTTTCTACAAAGATGGTATGATAGCTATTGTAATGTGTGGCCAGATTCTAGAACTGATTTCCTTCCCCTCCCCACATGTATAAATTTAGAGATACTATAGATATTTTAAGTCACTATCTCCTTGTTGATTCCATAGCATGGTGTTTAAAATGTTGGGAACACGAATAACTCACCTAGTTCCTTTCAGTTGTGCAGTTTTTCTTTTAAAAACGGATCCAGGTGCTTTGATGCACAAAATATTGGAACCAATTCTTAGGCCTAAATAATATGTTGCAACATCTGCAGTACTTTCAACAATAAAGATAAATTAAGAAAAATATGTTGCTACTGTTTATAAGCACTTACATAATTTTATACTAGGTTACCTGTGACCAAAATCTTCTCTAGTTATTAATTTTGAGAGCAGAGGCTAACTTTTTAAGATCCTAGTGAAATTCTGATTGTTAAATAACATTTAAATATTTCTTAAAAACCTAAGTGTAAGTTGTTTGTAAACTAATGTGGATGGATTTACACAAACCTATTCACATGGTCCCCTGCGTGGATTTGTCAGATGGCTGCGTGGGGCTACAGTTGTGGATAGGATAACCGGCTTGTCCCAGTTGTTGGGGTCTGTCCCGCCTTTAGCGTTGAAATCCCTCAGTCCTGGACAGTTCAGACCACCAGCCAGACTCTAGTTGTTGGTCACTGCTGGGCGACAGGATGAAGCTTATTGGCCTCCATGTGGGTCAGTTCAGTAGCCTTTGGTTTAAAGCAGCTGAGCCAGAGACCCACAATCCCCTAGTAAGAGTTTAGTCTGTAATTATAGAGGCCTGCCAGAGAGTTGGGCATAAGCAAGCAGGTTGCTAAAACATTCTCTCCATGATTTTACCTTTTACCTTCTTTTCACAAACTTAAGCTTTCAGGATGAAAGGGTTTTTTTGTTTTGTTTTGTTTTGTTTTTTTTATAAATGGTCCCTCATATTTTAATAACTCAAGAAGGAATTAGCTGTTCACTTTATTTTTATTTGACTTAAATAAAAAAAATATGAGGCTCTATTAAAGTTAAAAATGACCTACATGGACATAATAATGAGAAACTTAACCATTTGGCCTTTGTACTACCACACCTTCTAATTTAAAGATGTGGAATTAAAGGAATATTATAAGGTACAGAGAGAACTAATGGGGAAAATATGTATATACAGGCATCTGTCTGTGCGTTCAGAGTAGAAGTAAGCTATTCATTTGAAATGTGAAATTAAAACAGAATAAGGCAGCACATCTCTTCCCCGGGATGTGGAATACCTCGCTGGTGCCTTCGCAGAGGTTAAGGAAAAGTTACATCTGACTGGGTGTCCTTTTAGAAATTTAATTTTTAAAGGTTTCCGTGTGGACTGCAAAAAGGACAAGATCATTGTTCATTATGCAAATGGCACGGACTCATTTACAGGGATGACATTATAGTTTTTATATACTATAGCTGCTATGACTAACGGGTTTAAAGTGGCATTTTCCTGTTGGGGATGAGGCTTTCCTTGAAAAAAAAAATTCGATTAATTTCTTTTCTATTTAGGTTAAAGTCAATACTTACAGACTTCTTATGGGAATAAACGGCTTTGATTTTTTTCTGTAGAAACCAAGCTCTGTCCGCATTGATCAACTGGATCGTGAACAGTTCAACCCCGATGTGATTACTTTTCCAATAATCGTTCACTTTGGGATACGCCCTGCACAGTTGAGTTATGCAGGAGACCCACAGTAAGATATTTCTCCGTGTTTGTCTTAGCCAATTTCAGCTTCGTTAGCAGAGGAATACCTCTTAGTGGATGTTTTCCTTTTTCAAAAATAAGAACGTAAATGAGCCATGTTTCCAAATTTAGCTCATCAAATGAAACAGACTTTGGTAGCTTACAGGAAATTATTATTCAATAGGTTATCCTTTGCCATCTTGGTCAACAAGAGTCCTGTATGTTTTTAACCTTTAAGGAACTTTTCATTTATTCATCCTTATCATACTTACTGGTACTATTTTTCAGTGCCCTCTACAGGAAAATAGCATCATATTGGTTCTTGCACTGCTGAATTCATACTGATTCTATTTTTTTAGAACATCTTAATAAGAGCTCAAAACCCCATGCAAAGCTAAGGATTGTGTTAGAAGGAGAAGCTATGGCTTCTGACTTTCAGAATTGATATTATTTTCCACATTTGAGTTTATCTAACTGGCACATTAGTGTGTTCGTGTTTTTTTTCTGGGAAAAGATGAACATGTGTGGGATTGGAAATATTATCATATTTTCTTCATGAGTATTTGAATTTCCTACCTTGTTAAACAAACGAATAGTTTCCTGAGTTAAAAAATTTTTTTTTTAAAGAATTCCTAATAGGAGAAAAGGGTATTTGGGATTTTCAGTTCATAAATACAATTCTGGCTACTATATTAGAAGAGGCTAAAGGGTTTTTTTCTCCCCTCTCCCCTTTGGATACAAGTATGAAACAGTGAACCAGGCACTGTGTAAATGCTTCTTTCTCTCCTCCATTCTCAAAGAAACTTATCAAAAAGAGAACCAGCTGAGGCCGAGAAAGGAGCAGTTTCAATGATAGAAGCAATTTCAAGATGATAGAAAACCCTTTGAAAGTCCCTTCTTGTCAGAAAAATGTCAGTGGAATGTGGTTGGGCCCTCGTGGACTCAGGTGGCAGGAGTGGGACTTGATAAAGGAGTCCCCTTCATTCCCAGGGTGCTTTCATAGCACCCTTCAGGCTCATTTAGGTTACCACGTATTTGGCTGCAAGCGTGCTTATTCTTGTCCCGGTATATACAGATGAGTGACCATTCGTCTTTTCCCCTCCGCACTGGAGAAATGGATATTTTAGCAAGGGTATGTAGCAAGGGTATTGGCACAGATGTGGCTTTCTTTCTAATATTCTACAGATTTTACTTTCAGTCTAGCCCAGTGGTCTGCAAACTCTTTAGTCAACAGAGCCAAATATCAACAGCACAACGATTGAAATTTCTTTTGAGAGCCAAATTTTTTAAACTTAAACAACTCCTAACGCCACTTCTTCAAAATAGACTCGCCAGGGCCGTGGTATTTTGTGGAAGAGCCACACTCAAGGGGCCAAAGAGCCGCATGTGGCTCCCGAGCTGCAGTTTGCCGACCATGGGTTTAGGCAGGTCAGAGACTGACAGTATCCTTATTAAGTCAGGGGTCTTTTTCTCAGCAACCATAAAAAAGTACACGTTTAAATAAAAGTTGTCACTTTCAAAGAGGTAACAATTAGAAACATTATATGTTTCTGTTGGTGTTGTATATCTCCTTTGGAATTCTTTTCAGATAGATTCACCCATGTAGTGACACCTCATTTTTCAACCAAAATAAGCAATAACCAGCTTAATGACTAGTTTCCAAATACCTCTTGGTCATCCTGACCTTCAACCCCTCAAACCATATCCTTCCAAAGAATGAAGGTTTGCTGCCATTATGGTATAAAAAAAAAATGCAGTTTATAATTGAACAGGCCTATTGAGACAACTGGCTTTTTTGTGCTTCTGGTTCGCCTGCTCTTTGTTTAAGATGTCTGTCTGTTCTTTTCCTTAGGTACCAGAAACTGTGGAAGAGCTATGTGAAACTTCGCCACCTCCTAGCAAATAGTCCCAAAGTCAAACAAACGGACAAACAGAAGTTGGCCCAGAGGGAGGTGGGTATTGAGCTCTGTCCTTTTGAGATTGATGATGTGCTTCAGGTTTATTTCAAGATTGTCCCATGTCACTACACTTCTAAATAAGATGAGAAAAGACTTTTGAAAAGTCATACTTTACTCCCCTCCTCACATTAGTAGGCTGATTGATTTTTTTTCCATCTTATTAGGATCTAAGGAACCATTTTTCCTCCTAACAAGAATACTTTCTTTTTTTTGTAATAATGATAGTTTCTTAACTAAAGGATTGCTACCATTGGGAATAAATGTATCTTTTATAGAAATTAAAATATAAAACTGACTGGATCAGCTTTTTATCATTATTAGACTGCATATAATATAACTTTGGGTCTTATGCAAATTTCTTGGCATTAAGATTGTAAAAGATTGTCTTCCTTATGCCTGTCAATTTAGTAGGGTGAACTTGTTTTGTAAGGTTTTATATTCTATACTAGAGGCTCAGTGCATGAAATTCATGCATGGAGTTTTGGGGGTGTCCCTCAACCCAGCCTGCACCCTCTCCAATCTGGGACCCCTCGGGGGATGTCCGACTGCTGGGATCAGGTCTAAACTGGCAGTCAGACATCCCTCTCCCAATCCAGGACTGCTGTCTCCTCTAACGGCTCACCTGCCTGTCTGCCTGATTGCCCCTTACTGCTTCTACCTGCCAGCCTGATTTTCCCCAACTGCTCTTCTTCTGTCCTGATTGATGCCTAACTGCTCCCCTGTCGGCCTAACTGCCTTCAACTGCCCTCCCCTGCCAGCCTGATTGCCCCCAACTGCCCTCCCCTGCCGTGACTCCCTGGGACTGGCCTCCTCCAAGCCATGCAGAGCCACGGGACACCCAGACCTCACTGGCCCTGCCTCCACTGTGCGCAGCCATCTTGTGGTTGCATTTCGCCACCTAGGCTTTTATTACATAGGATTCCACATATCTTTACTAATGGGTCATATTATCTTTATATTCCAGGACCACTTACATTTTAGTTATAATTTTAAGAGTAAATGAATTTGGTATCAAAATTGATTTTTTCTCGGTGAAGTTTATTTGCTTGGGGGTATAAGAACAAGGCTCTCAGGCTAGGAAAGGTATTTGAATTCTGGCTTCATCACTTGCTATATAAAGAAGGGAAGCAGGGCTGAAAGAAGCTGACTCAACTGTCCCTGTGTTGGTGCCCCAGGGAATAGATAGTTGTGTGGACTTCTCAATTCAATAATCCATTGAGCTTTCCTCTAATCAGGGGTAGAGGTGGTGGTTCCTTTGTTATTGTGAATTCATATGACATTGTTAGTAAGTATACAAATATAAAATTATTTTTATGATTATTTGAAGTGCAGTTAAAGGAAAGAGTTCCTGACTTATGTCTTTTGGATTATTGTATTTTTTAAAATAAAATGTATCCTCCCGATAAGAGTTGTTATAATAGGTTGGCAAATTTGAAAGCGACTTTTAGAATTACGTGGGTTGCAGGTTAATTTATTGATTGTATTTCTTGGATGTAAAGGCTTGACATAAGGCTTGATATAATTATAATTTTTACATGCTGATTTCAAGACCCAAACACTACTTTTTAAAAAATCAGTAAAGGTCATTTTTAATTTGAACTTGCCAGAATGATACATTTGGCTTAGATCTTTTTCTTATCTAGTTACCTAAGGCTTTGAGCATTCTGGCCATCATTTCAAGTAAATTACTGTAATTTGGCATGAAAAGGTTTGAATGCCTGAATGTAAGGGTGATATTGAATGAATCTAGCTTATTTTCTAATGCTTGATGTTTGGCTTAAAATTTCTCTACAACCATCAGGTGACTCATCGTCATGAGTTCTTTTCTAGGAAGCACTCCAAAAAATACGACAGAAGAATACGATGAGGCGAGAAGTAACAGTGGAGCTCAGTAGCCAAGGATTCTGGAAAACTGGCATCCGTTCTGATGTCTGTCAGGTAGTGATGCTTCTGGGAATACAGTCATCCTCTACACCTCTTCCTTTAAAAGTCATCTGGCGCTGCAGTTTTCCAAATTCTGAGAAGTTTCTGCGGAACATATTGCCTTGTAGCTAAATGGGACAGCGACCGTAAATTGTTTTGTGTCCTTTGGATTTTGTTTTTGTTGTCAGTTTTGCTATTATCTTGTTTAACTCGTGTGTGTGTGTGTGTGTGTGTGTGTGTGTGTCTCGCATGCACATGCATGCACATTGTTAGGGTGGGGGGCACTTAGTAACACTAGACTCTGTCTCTGCATATTGAATGAAGGCGAGTCCATTCTTCAAATGCACCTGCCTGTTTGCAGCTATGTGCAGGTGCTTGTCCAAAGAGACACACAGCAGCAGTTCTACAGGCAGACTCCTGAAGGTCATGTATGCACACTACAGCCCGTGACTCAAGCTTATGCTGCAGAGAACTGAAGGCATTGATGAATGGAATCAGTCTAAATTTCATATTTGACCCAAATGATAGTATTTTTTCAATAGTTGAACTCAGTAGAGGAACGTGTCAGATATATATGCTGACTCACAAATAAGTGTGTTTGTTTTCCCTGTGGGAGGAATTTATGCCAGATCAGAGAGCCCCAAAACATACTTGATTTTTTTGTTATGATTAGTCCTGGTTGCGCTGCAGGGAAATTACAGTAAAGGAAAATGACTACCCAGGCTGGGGTCAGGTAATGTAATTAGCTGTGTTCAGCCTTTTGGAAGAATTCGTTCCAGGCTTCCACTTATCTGTTCTGATGGTAGCATATATTGTAATAAGTTCCGATACTCTCAGGTATTCATTTCATCATCATGAGTGTGTTTTTTTAAATCAATGTTGGCATTTAATTATTATATTGAACAGTGGGATTTAATCCAATAATTAAAGGTATTACTGTGCAATTCATTTCTCATGTGATGTCCAAAGCTAAATAGTTTTGTTTTAAGATGAACTGCTATTGATGCAGTACTGCTAAGTAGTTTGAAAATAATCATCGACGGTGGTAGCCAGCATCCTCCAAGTCCTCAATTATTTTGCCAATTAACCAAATTTATTTTTTTCTCTTAAGTACCTTCAAAAGTGAACATCTCACTCTGTTGGTTCTCTCTGAGAGTCACTTGAAGTCATAGCACCTCATTTCCTGCTTGCTAGTGTTTCTCCGAATCCATAACGTCATCCTAAGGCAGACACCGTGAGAACAATGAGTGGAATGTTGAACAGTCTGCCCCAAACCCGGTGATCTCAGTGACAAGTCGGAGTTGATGGTTTGAAATCCTAAAATTGTGGAGCATTGAGAACTGGAAAGGACCTTAGAGAGCTTCTGGTTCAGTGATTTTTAAACTTAGTTTTTGGTTAACTCTGAAGTTGTTCTGTTTTGTTTTTTAACAAAACCCCATGAGGCTCTATTTTATAAAAAGATAAAGCAATAACTGTCTGGATGAGTGTGGAGGGATTATCCTGTTTTACTTGCTTTTCTTCCCACCCCAGGTTGCAGTCCCTAAGGCAGTTTTTGTTCCACTGAACACAATTTTTTAAAAAGTATCGAGTCCTTTTCCTCCTTTCTCTTGGTGAAACAAACAGGGATGCTGAATATCTGCTCCACTGCAGTTTCGTGTTCTTTGTGTGTCACTGATGGCTTACTCTGACTCCTCAGCAAGGTTAGACATAGCTTGAGGACTAGGTTATTATCTCTATGTACATATTGTATTTCTCATTCTGCTTTGAGGTTGATAGGATCACTCACTGGCTATCTTTGACTGACTGGTCAAAGAGAAAATGGATCCTGATTAAAATGTATACAAAGGTGAATATTTTTTTCATCTGGTAATAGTTCCTCCTTCTGTAGGATTCCCATTCTTCAAAGACAACTGGCAACTGTTTAGAAGCCATGCTTGTTGTCAATTGGTGGTATTGGCACCAATTCAGTCGCAAATGGAATCCCCATTTTGGTGTGGTGAAGAAGGAAACTTTACTTATTGCAAAACAGCTCAATTGTGATACAGCTAGGCTGTGAAAACAGCACAGATGTATAATAGCTCAGCTGTGTCTTCAAAGGGCTGTGAGGCAGCAGTGGGACCAGGCTCTTTTTCTGTTCTGTTCTACTCCTCCACAGTCTCTGGCCTGCCCTGGTCTGCTCCCCTTTGCTTCCACAAGACATCTTTAGTGTTTCAGCTCAGTCAGTAGTAACAGTCTTTGATGAACAGTGCACTCCAGAGCCAGAGGGGACCTGGCTTATATAGACAGAAGTTCCTGCCCCTGGTCCCTGATTGGTCTGTCCTCATGTAAATGAAGACTTCAAATCTTCGCAGTTTGGTCGAAAAGGCACTGTCTTGATTGGTCAGAATAGAGCTTCTCTGATTGGATGTGGAAAGCCTCAGTCCTATTGGTTGAAATAGGACTCTAGGAATTCCTTTATAAGGGCTGGCACAGGTGTCAGGACACAGTGCAGGCAGGCAGTTCATTGCAGTGGCAGGTAGTTCAGTGCAGGCTTCTCCCTGAAGAGCAGTGTGTGTGAGAGGCTCATGTAGCAATAACTGCTAGGCTCTATTTTTCAAAAATTTGAGCCTAGTTAGGCATCAGGAACCCTTCTTAGTAGGTGTTTATCTCCCTCCCACTCCCCCCCCCCAGGGTTCACATTACATTCCCCCATCCTCCTAATGGAAGTCTTATTTAATTTTAATAAAATTATGCTCACATTTAAATGACTTGATAAAGATTAGTATAAATTGCTAATTTTGAGTTCATAGACTGAGTACAGGAATTGCTACATGGTTTGTAAACAGGAAAACATGTCTGCATATAAATGAATGAAAGTGTGAGCCGGCTAGCTACCTGAGAGGTTGATAGAAGCAGAAGAGAAAGAAATTGGGCACAAGAGCAATGATGGGGAAGTGGGGTCGCACGGGGTGCGGACTCTTAAAAACAGTGATAAAACCTTAAATTACATGCTTTGGTGAAATAGTTCCTTATGTACCAAAATCAGATCATCCTGGAGGCATTCTGTAGCTATCACCCTTAGGTGAAGAGGTGAAGTATCTGTTTATTTACCTTGACATGTTAAATATTACTCCACCATCAATGAACAGTCTTGGAGTTGTGAAAGTAAACTGTTACTTGCACTGAGCTTAAAGTGTCAACATATAGGAATGCCACCTTGAGAGATTTTGAATTTTGTTACTTATCAATTCATTCATTATACAGGAGCAATCCAGTTCAAATTTAAATGCAAATACCTGAAGTAAAATAAAAATGACTTAGGAGAGAATGACCAAGGTAAATTAACTTAATTGACTTTTGGCTCAAAATGAGTATTTTTATGTTTATTTATATTTTTCCATGCTCCAGAATGGTTTTAAAATGGTAATTCTTAAATATAGGAGCAGTTCAACAACATGCCTATGCAAGTGAGAGGGTCCATGGTGGAAATTATTAAAGCCATTTCTTGGTCCGTGCCAGTTACTACTTGAATCTCTGAGGCTTGTCCTCACTTGACTTGCTGTTACACTGTCCTCTTGTACTCACCCAGTGACTTGGATTCTGCAGACCCCTCTCCGGTTTTGGTCACGTTTCCAGGGGATGCATGCTGTTAATTTTTGGGTTCTTTCATTCTCAGGGCCCTCGGACGCCCTGCTACACTCCGTCTTCACTCTCACAGGTGACATAGGGCTTTGTCCTCACGTACTCTCATTTGGGAGCTCATGGTGATACTTTGTCATCTAGTTTTCATGTATATATTGTTTGGAGGTCTAGTTTGCTCTTCTGGTGGCTCTATATTTATGGGAGAATTTTAATATACATAAAGTTACACATGGCCATTTCCTCACACTCTTTTAGGGGAACTTTTTTTTTTTTTTTTTTTTTTTAAATGAAAGCAATTGCCAGGCATGTATTAGAGGGAGAGCAAAAAGATGCCCAGGGATTATGTGCTTTTTAACATTGTCGGGGTTGATATTTTAAAAAACTGAGCTGCAGATGCAACAGTCTTGTAGATAATGTTGAGACTTGGTTGCCTGGCATGGATGTGGGTCATACGTACCTTTCCATGGTATTCACAAAAGACAGAATTATTTGAAAAGAGAAACTGGCTCTGTTTGGAGCAAGTTTAGAGGAAGTGGGGAAGGGACTAAGAGATGTTTCATATGAGTCAAGGTTCGAGGAAATAAGACTTAGGTTAACTAAGAGACACAGGCTACTCAGTGTATTTTTTTATTTTGTCTCTAGGGGTAGAACTGGGATCCAAGGGATAAGGAGACAGATTTGGGCTTAATGTTATAAAAATATTCTAATCAGAGTACTCTAAAGAGGGCCTATTCATCTCTCACTGGAGGAATTAAAAAATAAACAATTCACCAGTTTGAGTTGACACTTTAGAAAGATAGCTGTTGCACTGTATAGTCTTCATGATGTGTCCACCTTGAGTATTTAGCTTTGACTCCCCTGAGCTCCCTGCAATTTAGATGGGCCACACACTGCCGTATTATACTTGGGCCACACACTGCCATATTACTAAATTTTTTAAATACAGCACTTATAAAAACTATGTGGACAAAATGCCAATGATTCACATCATAATGGCACTTCTCCGGGAATCCCTTGAGGGCAGAAAGAGTGTTTTTATTTTTTTCTCTCCCACACCCTTGGCAGCCTGGCACATGGAGGTGCCCAGTATGTCTTTATTGAATTAAACTGGAAAGAAAGACATTCTGTTGATCAGAGAGTCTATTTGGGAGAACTAATCATTCTTTATAAGTTAATAATACAGGGAACTGATTTCTATAGTTTCAAGCAAATCCACTTTCATGTATTTTTAAATACTGCCAGCTTAAAATACTTCAAAGACTAAAATGGTAGAAAGCATATGTCAGTCATTCTGTGGGCTGTGCCCATCCTCCAGGCTCTGCGATGAACAAGAATGACTCCTTTATTCTCTCGAGTTCTAGGGAACCGTTATTAAAGAACAGAAAAAGACATGCCTTTCATGAAATTATCTCCCAACGAGGTATCTATGGCCAAATGAAAAGTGATTGAATCAAAAACCAAAAGTTCCATGCTCTCGGTTGCCTTAACTGTATCTGTGGCTTTAGAAATGTTGTCCTTAGAATGTTAAGTCATTAAGTGTGAAACCTGGAATGGCCTTTGAAGATCACCTGGTTGAGAAGGTCTTACCTAAAGGATGGTGATGGGCTTCAGGGGTTCTGAGCCCATTATCATGGCACTCAATTTTGCATGCTTGTGTGCAGAGGCATTTTTTGGGGGGAAAATTATTTTCCTTAGATTCTCAGAAGTGTCTTGACCATGCCAAAGTTTCCAGATTGATGAGTCCTAATCCAGTTCCTTGTAATTCAAGATAGACAAGGAGGCACGGATGTTCTTATGACCTTCTCGAGGTTATCTTGCTGAGTTCTGATGGAACCATCTTGAATGAGGGCTAAAGGAACTTGTTGTAAACACTTTTTTATGTTTGCTTATTTAATCCTTTTTACTGTCCTTGTAAGTAGCTATACTTCCCCTGTAAAAGGTGAGGAAACTGAGGCCAAGAAGTGAAATAATTTGCCCTAAGCCCCACAGTGAATGAGAAACAGAGCAGGATTTGGACCCAGGTTCATTCTGGTTCCAGAGAATATACCCCAAGCAACTAAGGTCCTCCACCCTTTGTAGACTGCGCATCAGGATGCCATGCCCTCTATAAACTGTTTCAGGACACTGTGACATGGAATTTGGGATGTGAAAATAGTTATTTGTTGCATTTTTCAAAAGTTTCATAGAATTAAACATATTGATTTTTTTTTTTTTTTTTTTTTAGCATGCAATGATGCTACCTGTTTTGACCCATCATATTCGCTACCACCAATGCCTAATGCACCTGGACAAGTTGATAGGGTATACTTTCCAAGATCGTTGCCTGTTACAGGTAAGAATTACTGTCCTGTACACTCACATGATAACAGGATATAGCAGTAATTCATCTTGCAGGTTTCAAAGGAAGCATTGAGTTCTCTATTCTGGAAAATGATGATGTTTAGAAACCGCTCTCTCCTTTATTTTGGTTGCCACTTTCAGACTTTTTTTTTTGAGGCCGTCCTAAAAGAAACAAACTAAAGCAAAAATTTGCCTGTCAAACCTGAGCCCCTTCTTTTAGGTTTTCCTTCCTTATGGCTCTTCTTTCTAGGTGTTGAGTACTCTAATTCTCCTCCAAAAGATGTAGACTTTTAGATTTATTTTTAGAAGAGGGCTTACACCAGAGCTTTGGAAATTAGAGGAGATAGAAGGAAAGATCAGGGCTTAAAAGTTGACTGGCTAGACAGATCTCTTTCCTGTTTCTTTGGTGGATAATGTAAAGATGGCATTTCTGTGTTGAGTTTTTAAGGCTGAATTTATTTCATTGAAATTTTAGCTGGCCATGACTCACCCGAGCCATCACTTGAATTTTGGAATGAATCCTGATCATGCCAGGAATTCTTTGTCTAACTGTGGAATTCGGCAGCCCAAATATGGAGACAGAAAAGTTCATCACATGCACATGCGGAAAAAAGGTGTGTTTGGATTCTGCTCTCGTGTTTTGGCCTGTGTTCTGGGTTAATTCTCCACTGGGAATGTTCCATCCCTGGTGACTGTTCCATCCTCTTATTCTTCAGTGCTTCTTGGCCCATATATAGTAATATTCATGTTGAGCAGAGCATTGAAATAGGATGGGTGAATTTTTTAGGAAAACTTATTCTTCCTATTCAGTGTTTTAAGTAACAAACTTGATTAAAATTCTACTCATGCAGATATTAAACTTTTTAAAGTCATATTGGGATGAGCTAGATAATTTTTTCCCAATATGTCATATCATGGCCCTAGAATGCTGCTAACAGTATTTATTTGTGTATTTTTTTTTTTTTTAAATAGGAATTAACACCTTAATAAATATTATGTCACGCCTTGGCCAAGATGACCCAACTCCTTCAAGGTAAAGTAGAATTTTTTCATAACAGCTTTATTGCAGTATAATTCACATACTATATAATTCATCCATTTAAATATACAGCTAAGTAGTTTTTAGTATGTTCACAATATTGTGCAGCCATGATCATTACCTACTTTTAGAACATTTCATCACCTTTAAAGGAAACCTGGTGCCTCTTACTAGTTACTGCCCTTTCTTTCAGCCTGCTCAGCCTTGGGCAACCAGTACTTTCAATCTTTATGAATTTGTCTATTTTGGACATTTTGTATTAGTGGCAATATATTGTATGTCATGATCCTTTGTGACTGGCTTATTTTATGTTATAGTATGTATCAGTATTTCATTTCTTTTAATATTCCATCATATAGTTATGTCACATTTTATTTAATCATATACCAATTCATAGGCATTTTGAGTTGTTTCTACTTTTCTGTTATCATGAATGATGTTGCTATAAATATTTGTGTATATATTTTTGTGTTGCCATATGTTTGTGTGTGTGTGTGGGTTTTTTTAATCCTCACTCAAGGATATGTTTGGTTTTTTTAAATATATTTTTTATTGATTTTGGAGAGGAAGGAAGAGGGAGGGAGATCTAGCCCACAAACTGGGCATATGCCCTTGACTGGAATCGAACCTGGGACCTTTCAGTCTGCAGGTTGATGCTCTATCCACTGAGGCAAACCAGCTAGGGCAAAGGATATGAGAGAGAGAGAGAGAGAGAGAGAGAGAGAGAGAGAGAGAGGGAGGAAGGAAACAATTATCAGTTGCCTATCCCACATGAGAGAGAGAAAAAGAGAGAGAGAAAGAACATTGATCAGTTGCCTTTCCCACATGCCCAGACTGGAGATTGAGCCCACCATCTGGGTATGTACCCTGACCAGGAATTGAACCTGCCACCTTTTGGTGTGTGGGACAGTGCTCCAGCCAATTGACCCTGTTTTGATTTTTCTTGGTTATATACTTTGGGGTGGAATTGTTGGGTCATATGATAACTTTTTTTAACCTTTTAAGAAACTGCCAGACTGTTTTTCCAAAATGGCTACACCATTTTATATTCCCAGCAGTAGTATATCAGGTTTCTGATTTCTTCACATTTTTCTCAACACTTGTTACTTTCTTTCTTTTAATTTAACCATCCTGTTGGGTATATGTTATCTCATTGTGATTTTGTTTGATTTTTCCTGATGGCTAATGATGTTGAACATTTTTTCATGGGCTTATTGGCCATTTGTATTTTCTGGAGAAACATTTGTTCAGATCTTTCTTCATTTTAAGTTAGGTTATTTTTTTATTATTGAGTTATATATTCTAGATATACAAGTCTTGCAAAAATTTTCCTTATTCTGAGGATCATCTTTTCACCACTTGATGATGTCCTTTAAAGCACAAAGTTCAATCAACTATTTCTTTTGTTGTTTTAATTCCTGGTCAGGGCATATACCCAGTTGGTGGGTATATCTCCAATCTGGGAATGTGGGGAAGGCAATTGATCAATGTTCTCTCTCATGTCTAAAAAACTTTGCCTAATCTAAAGTCACAGTTGATATTTTGATAGGGATTGTGTTGAATCTGTAGGTCAATTTGTAAACAGTTACTTCTTAATATTAAATCTTCTGATCCTCGAACATTGGTGTCTTTATATTTATTTGTCTTTTTCAATTTCTTTCAAAAATGTTTTGTAGTTTTCAGAGTATACATTTTGCATATCTTTTGCTAAATTTATTCCTAGGTATTTTATTCTTTTTGATGCTGTTATAAATGGAATTGTTTTTCTTAAGTTCATTTTCAGGTTGTTCATTGGAAGTGTATAGAAATAATAGTTGATTTTTATATAGTGACCTTGTGTTGTGCAACTTTAATGAGCTCCTTGTTAGCTCTAATAGGTTTTTAGTGTATTCCTCACAATATTATATATATATGTGTGTGTGTGTATAAATATACACACACACACACACACACACACACACACACACACTAGAGGCCTGGTGCATAAAAATTCATTCATTGGAGGGGAGGGGTCCCTCAGCCCGGCCTGCCCCTTCTCACAGTTTGGGAGCCCTCAGGGATGGAGCCCTTGGGGGCAGGAGGTGACCCGGAGATCAGGGGAAGGCGACACCCCATCACACCTCTGCTGCTACCACTGCCAGCAGCACAAGCCTCAGCTGCCATGGTTACCTGAGCCTCGGCTGGCCTGGGTGGCTGGGCAGTTGACATCTGAGGCTTGCCTGCACCTTGGGCCATCCCTGGGTAGCTGTGGGGGCTGAGGAGACTGGGGGACTCCGAAGTCAGGTTCATAGAGCAGCCGGGCCCACCTGCAACCCCAGTGGGGCAGAGGGGACTGGGCACTGCCATCTTGTGGCTGTGGGCACCGCCATCTTTGATGGTGTGACAGTCAATTAGCATATTAGCAGGGCAGTCAATTAGCATATTTCCTCCTTATTGGCTGTGGGTGCCACCATCTTTGCAATGGTGTGAGGGCCTATTAGCATATTTCCTCTTTATTAGATAGGATGATCATATATCTACAAATAGAGATACTTATTTTTATTTCAGTCTGAATGCCTCTTGTTTTATTTTCTTAACATTGTTGCCCTGGTTAGAGCCTCCAGTACAATCTATAATAATAAAAGTATAATATGCTAATTAGACTGGACAGCTGAAGGACCTTTTGGACATCCTTCTGGATGACACCACAACCGTGAGGGTTGAGGCAGAGGCTGTTAGGGGTGATCAGACAGGCAGGCAGAGTGGTTAGGGGTCATCAGGCAGGCAGGCCAGCAGTTAGGAGTCAGTGGTCCTGGTTTGCAAGCAGGTGCAGGCTGGGCTGAGGGACCCCCTCCCCCCATGCATGAATTTCATGCACTGGGCCTCTAGTATTAAATAGAAGTGGTGAGAGCAGTTACTTCTTTTTCCTAACAATAAGGAGAAAGCATTCAATCTCCCATCATTGAATCTGATATTAATTTTGGGTTTTTCTTAGATGTCCCTTTTCAGGTTTAAGAAGTTCCCTTCTATTCCTAGTTGCTTAATGTTGTGTTGAATTTTGTCAGATGTTTTCTCTCCATTTATTGAGATCATGTGTTTTTTCCTCCATTTATTCTAGTCACATGATGTATTAGTAATTGATTTTTGGATGTTAAAATGACTTTGCTTTCCTGGGCTACATCCCATTTGATCATGGTGTATAGTAGTCTTCTTTGTATGCTGTAAATTTAGCTTGTTAGTGTTGAGGATTCTTGTGTCTATATTCATAAGAAATACAATCTGTAGTTTTCATTTCCTGTGTTGCTTCTGTCAGGTTTCATTGTTAGAATAATACTGGCCTTACATAATGGGTTGGAAAGTTTAAATGTTAGCTTTTCTTATTTTATTTCTTGATCTTGAAAGATATTTTCATATATTAGTACTCGTATTTTGTGTTGCCTTGAGTCCCTGAAGAACCTGGGAAGAAAGTGGGATAGACCTGTATAAATTTACCCCCAAAACTGAATAAAAGCAGATGCCTACTGGCTGATGAGGTCAGGTTTAAATCTTTGTCTCCTCTGCCCCAACTTGAGTTGTTGGTATGTAAATTATGTCACCAGTAGTATTTTCAAGCCTCATGATTTATGTTTTCTTTTGTGCTATTACAAAGAGATGCTTACTTATCATGGCAAAAGGAATGATATCTGAGAAACTGTGTTCTTTCTGAATTTCCCACTTTGAAAAAGATACCATCGACAGAGAATAAACACTTTCTTTTGTCCTTGGACTTGTAGCCTTTAATGCTTGTGCTGAGAGTCTTCAGCCCTGTCTGTGATCTTTCTGCTGATAGAGAGTTGGCTGGAGTTTCCGTTCAGGAAGAGCCTCCTGGCCTCCAGGGCCAGGTCTGCTGCTGCTCCCATGCTGCTATCTCGCATTCCCCAGCGGGCACAGCCCTGGGAACAGTCCTTAAGAAGCTTCATCCAAAGGGAATTCAGAAGACACTGAGCCAGTGCCTTTTGAGTTGGAGGCAGTTTGTAGGTACTTTAGGTGATTCCAAGGCAAGTAAGTCCAAGCTGCACTCAACAGGAGGCCTGGTGACCTGGGTGGGTAGAGAGTGCTACAAACATAAGTCACTTACTATAAGGGAGACTCTGCTAAGTGCTTCAGTGAAGGTCAGAACGGAATGTACACACAAGACTGCTGTGGGGCTAAGGGTAGCTCTGCTAGCTGTTTAGGGGTCACAGATCAGTTTTGTTCTGTGCGTTGAATAATTGAGTTCATTTGCAATGATTTGCCCTCTCCTCAGTTTGTTTCTTAGTTTGCTATTATAGAATGAGATGCATCTGTTCCTCAGAAGTGTTTGTATATCTTTGAAGCAAACACCATTAAGCTGCAAGTGTCAGTGGTTTTATCTCCTCCCAAGCGAGCCTGCTCAGAATTAAGGGAAGAGAGAGCGAATTAAGGGAAGTGAGCCAGTTAAGTTGTTTGGGAAATCTGTTTTTGGCACTGATGGCCGTGGGAAGGGGGACGTGCAGGGCAGGCAGGGGAGAGGGCCGAGAGGAGGGGCTGTCAATGGACTTCTAGTCCCCTTGAAAACCACTCCTCCCACCTGCCCACCCTGCAGTTGGTGGCCAGCTCTGCCAGTTCCCCTTCACCCTGCAGCCAGCCAGCTTGCTGGTTCTGGAGCTTGATTCTCGTTCTTAGTGGCAGCAGCCTGCTTGGAAGCTTTCTGGGACGTCTCGTCATCCACTGAATAAGTTGGAACCTCCCCACCTGGAAGTCCCAACAGCATGGCTTGGCCCCAGGTCACTTTTCTGGGCACATCCTTCTCATGGCTCACCACGTACCTGTGAGACTGAGGTACTTACCGTGCTGCCAAGTGTACTGTCTCCCCTCTCTGGTGCCCCAGTCATTGCCCAGCCACCTGAGGAATGACCTGTAACCCGGGACTTCTGCCCACAGCCTGCAGGCGTCTGCTTTGTGGTGCATATTCTAGTTCTCTTGTGTATCATCATTGTGTGATGGGCCGATTGTCTTACTGTAAGCATTTTGAAGGTCTGTGGTCTCACTCTTTTATTTTTCTCTTTTTAAATTTCCTTTGCTTTTGCAACTAGTGTTTTGCACAGAGCAGGGCCTCAGTAAATACGTATGAAAGGAAAGAATGTCATTCATGATAGTACTTTCACCCAAGGTTATTGTTGGCAATAGGGGAGCTGGGGTATCAAGATCAGAGCCATCAGCAGAGCTTTACATGGCTGGTTAGCATTTTACTTAATCTGATTTGGGATCAGCTAGGATTTACAAAAAGTCATGAAGACTAAAAATTAATAGGTAAAATTCTGTCTGCCTATCGAAACTACAAAATAATTAACTTTTATGATGGCATCATCTCAAGTGAATATGCCACCTACAATTTTCAAAAGTGTTACTGCTTAGCCACATAAATTTCAGTTATATTTAACTCCTGCAAACTGCAATGAAATGTTACTACAGAAAGGGTCTCTGGAGGATTAGGTATTGCGTGACATTTAAGTAATCCATGTATTATCAGCAAGACCTTAGGGAAAGAGGGACCGGAAGACTGGTGAGGGAAAAAGGAGAGAATCAAGCGGCCTTGTTTTGTTTTTATTTGATTGGTGGTATTATTGCTAGACAGAATGTATAAGAATATATTCAACCAGAGAGACACTTGTGGACTGTTTATTAATGCCTGCGTGTTTAAGGAAATGATCATTGCAAAGTACATTTGAAATAAATCAGTTATACACAAGTAAGTACGATACACATTCATATATATATAATATATAAGATATATATGAATATATATAATATATATGAATTCCACCAAGTGGATTTACTGACTTAAATGTTTCCGGTTAAATCTCAAAGATATTTAATCTGGGATCCATGGCTCCAGTGGGTCTCAGGTCTAGCAGCCTATGACCTCCTTCCCCACAAGTGTCCAGGTACATAGATGTGATGAATAGAAGGGATTCCTGAATTGGGTGGGAGGTTCAAAGGAGCACTAGAGTCCTTCTAGCTCTACTCTACCAGTCACTGCTTGAGGCTTAGAAGGCGGAGTGAGACAATGTTATCCATACTCTCACTCTAGCAGTTCCCCTTGGACTTTGCCCAAATCTAAGATGGTTTTCCATGAAGTAAATGGTATCTTACAGTAATTACTGTTACAGGAGACTGTTGTTTTATAAAGTGCTTTGAATTCCTCAGACCAGATGTGCAGTATAAATGTTACAGTTAATCTAGATTTCATGCCTTTGTTGATTCAGTTCTCCAAAACGAATGGAGTGTTTACTGCTCAGTAAACATCTCATGTTGGAGCTTGCTGGTATTTATAATGGGGGTGATTAAGACAGGATAAACAATGGGAGAAGAACAAAAGATTTGCTACTGTTTTAGATTTTTAAAAATTTATTTTAGAGAGAGAGAGAGAGAGATCTACTAGTAGTATGTGAGAGAGGAACATTGGTTGTTACCCACATGCACCCCCAGGGATCAAAACAAGGTAGAGTGTTCTCATATCAAAAGAGCTAATCTTCATGTCTTTCTTTGAGGGGAGAGGGAGCGAATGTAAATGCATGCTATTTTCAGTGATTTTAAAAATTTCTTATAGGATTAATCACAATGAGCGGTTGGAGTTCCTGGGTGATGCTGTCGTCGAGTTTCTGACCAGGTAAGGCGGCTCTTCTTCTCTTCCCCATTAATTGCATTTTACAGGAAGCATGCTTGATGCATTGCCTTCTTTGTAATTAGCCAAATAAGCCACTGAAACGCCTTGTGTTCTGTCCCTGCTGTGGAGCTGGCCAGCCCCAGGTTTGTGCCTCCTGCCCTGAGAACTTGCCCTTGCAGATGCTGCAGTGGGCAAGATTACAAGGTGGAAGGCGGGCTTCTCTGTCCTGTCAAGTTTATGTTCAAGTTGCCACAGCCACAGAGATCAGCTGGCCGTGGTCTAGATGCTTCAGAGCTTATATTCAGTTTGTAAAGAAAGGAATGATATTTTAAAATGTCATTTCATTTCCTAGGATTTGTCTTGGATCCCTTTCCCACTCTTTCTGATCTCATGGGAAGTAAAGCTTACAAGTGGTTTTAATGTTGAGATTTTGGGGATGCATGTGTTTTCTCCCCAGAAGTGTTTTAGGGTCCGTATTTTGGAGGTAGGGGTAGGAAAGTGTGTTTTGTTTTTTTCATACGTAATTTCTCTTTTAAAGGGAGCTAACACATGCTTTTCTTAGAACTATATTGAGCTATTTTTATTCTTTAGGTCATTTCTTTTCCCACAAGGATCTACTGATCCAAAGGGGCTACTGTCTAAGCTGCTTTCCCTGGACACGTAGGGCTAACCAAGCTTAGTGGGTCTCAAACACGGTGTGAGATCTAGGAAATATCAGTTGCTGTTGTGGTCCAAACTGGTGTTCCGTGTGGCCTTTTCCCAGTTCCTGCATTTCCTTATCCGCCCCGGTAGGCTCGTTCCTAGAGCACAACCAGCCACATATGCCTATCTCAGTTCCATGCTTATCCATCCTTGTGAAGAATATGCCTCCACTGCTGTCCTGCTCGGGGCTTCCCATGCTTCTCTTCAGGGGCTGCCCAAAGCCTAACCCAAGAAAAGTACTGTTCTAGGCCCAGTTGTGTTTGTCACGTGGGTTTGCTCTTAGCCATGTGTGACATTGTTCAGGTCTTTGTTGCCATCAGATTCCAGAGGAACCTTTTAACAGAAATAACGGTGAAAACATGAGTGAATGGTGCTGTTCGGGTTTCAGCACATTCAGATATATTGTGCTTTCTGTTAAACTCTCAAAGGCTTTTAGTTAAACCCTTCAGTTTAATTTAGCCGGTGTCTCCTATGCAGATCCCTTGCCTGGCCTACTTTGTGGCTCAGAGCCACAGACAGAAAGGTGTGATGCATATTTATTTATGTGCTTTTCTTTTTTGCAGTGTCCACTTGTACTATTTGTTTCCTAGTCTGGAGGAAGGAGGGTTAGCGACTTACCGGACTGCCATCGTCCAGAATCAACACCTCGCCATGCTAGCCAAGGTGTGTCCGACCTCTGAGCCTGGTGTGGAGCCTGGCATGCTCCTCAGCCTGCGCACAGTTTTGCATTTGAATCCATACCTCTTTGGCATATGTTAGGGCTTAGCATTTTGCAGACCAGGAAGGATTTTTTTGTTTGGGTTTTAAAGATTCAGCCTTATTAGTTTGGTTGCCTTTGTGAGTTTCTCCAGCAGCTAATAAACTCTACAGTGTGGTAACTTGATAACAGAAGGGGAAAATTTTGACAGATGTGCAGGAACAGAGTTGGGGAAAAGAAACATGAGAGCAGCCGAAGCCGGTTTGGCTCAGTGGTAGAGTGTGGGTCTGCGGACTGAAAGGACCCAGGTTCGATTCCGGTCAAGTGCATGTACGTTGGTTGTGGGCACATCCCCAGTAGGGGGTGTGCAAGAGGCAGCTGGTCGATGTTTCTCACTCATCGACGTTTCTGGCTCTCTATCTCTCTCCTTTCCTCTCTGTAAAAAATCAATAAAATATATTTAAAAAAAAAAAAAGAAAAAGAAACATGAGAGCAGAGCAAAAGACATGAATTTTTAAATAATGTTCCCTTGTGTAATATTCCTGTATTATATTTGTTTTTAATTTACTTTAACAAGTAGAATTATAGCTTTGAATAGAATACTCCAGGCCATTTATATCCATAGGGGATACTTTACAGATCTTTGAGAATTCCCCGAAATTACAAATCTCATTAAGATTTTAAGGTGTAGGCTGTATAGCCAGCCACCTTTACTGAGCTGAGTGACTAAGAAACCTTTTTTTTTTTTTTTTTTTTTTAATTTATCTTTATTCTTGAAAGTATTACAGATGTCCCTCTTTCTTCCCCCATTGGCCCCTTATAGCCTATCCCTCCCCCTGCCCCAGGCTGTTACCACACTATTGTCCATGAGTTATTCATAAACACTGAGTGGCCAGATTATTATGATCTCTGAATGCACAATAATCTGGCCATTCAGTGTGTGTGTGTGTGTGTGTTAGAGGCCTGGTGCATGAATTCACCAGGTGGGTTCAACCAGCCTGGCCAGGGGGAGAGGACATGGGCGGTTAGGCCGGCCTGCCTGTTGGTTGAACTCCTGGTCGAGGGGACAATTTGGATATTAGCCTTTTATTATATAGGATATACACTGAGTGGCCGGATTATTATGCATTCAGAGATCATCATAATCTGGTCACTCAGTATATGTATTTAAGTCTTTGGTTAATCTCTTCCCATCCACCAGAACCTTTTTTCAACTTAGATTCATGACAGGCATATTACTTCATTATCTCAGTTGATGTTCCTATCTCTGTGCATGTTTCATCATAATAGATCATAGCAGATAGAACTTGTGCACTTGCATTGGCCACAAGAGTCTTCCTCTTGCAGCGGGTCCCGGGACAGAGTGTCGTTCTCTTCCCCAGGCCTCTGCTTTCTCATCTGCGTGAGGGGGATGGCATCAGCACCTGCCAGGCAGAGTAGCTGTGAGAACTGCATGACATTGTCATTTGAATGTTAACGATTGTGTTTATACAGGGCTCAGCACAATGCCTGTTCATCTTAACAATCACCCAAACATGTGAGTTAGAAGGAGGTCATTGTTTTTGTTGCTGCCACTATTCTCATTATAAATCATTACATTTTACAGACCTGTGGATTTATTCTATAGCAGTGGAGATGGTACCCCTCTAATCCCCAACTGAAAAAGCTTTTATATATCTTACATATATACCTTCATTTTTGCCTTAAGTGATTTTTATTGTTTTCTTTCATTTTTCTATCAATGATGGGATTTGATAGAAATCACTACGTAAAAATCCATTCTAGTTTTTATGACTGACAAGACATTAATTACATTCAAATTGAAGTTAAATTTATCCCCTGGTTTTTATGCAGCAAGAGTGCATTGTTGTATTTTCTGTAGCAGCGTCATCATCGTGGTTACAGGTAGGCTTTGACCCAGCTTTAGTGGCATCTGAGAATAGCAATAATGATGCCTCAAAGAGAAACTATAGGCAACAGGTGTGCTAACTTGGTTTTAGCAGCCTTACGATGCACAAAATCCCACAACTCTCAGTAAAACTGCTTCGGTGTTTAGTTGCTTAAATTGTCGAACTGCTTCCTGGTCCATGTTAATGTCCACTGGAAATACATGTTAATAAATAGATCGTCATCCTTCCTCCGTTGTTTCTTTCCAGTTTCAGATATAATGAAATTGCATAATTATTTTTCAAATAATTTTAGGGAGGTTATTTACAAAGTATGAGAAGATGCCATATCAGGAAAACAGAAACAGTCATGTAACACATTGGGTGTTTACAAAGTGGGGTGGCCAGTTTTTTCCTTCAGGAATTTCGATGTGATCTTCCTCCACACCAACTTCCCACATTCCCGTCGCACACACCACCCGTCTGCTCCTGCAGAAGGCAGTGGTGGTTTGCTCTCCTGTCTTTCCCAGTAGACCTTGACCATGTGGGAGGAGGGGACTTGATGGAGGATTGCTGACCTCTGAGAATTTAGTGAAAGCTCTGAGTCACCTCTTCAGACAAATAAACATTTTAACACATGCAAGTTGAACATTACTCCTTTTTAAAAGTTTCACTAATGCCTGCATGAAAAAAATAAGGATATAGAGAAGGGATTATGAGAAGTTGGAAAATACATAGGATTCCAAAATAGTTGTTTATATATAAAATATGGCTTGCAGTCTGTTCTCAAGCAAGGCTCCAGAGATAGCAAACAATTGAGTTTTCCCAGTGAAGTTGTGAAACAGATAAAATTTACATATTTTGGTATAAACTTTTCTACTTAGGGATCAATGTTTTTAAGAGGTATTTTCTGCTGTTGCATTTGTGGTAGTCAATACTCTCATTTGAGTTTATTTTATACTCATGAATTCCTAGCAGTACAAAATACTGGTAGCATATACGTCTTGTTTTTATTGTCTCTGTCTTTTCCCAATATAAATGGATATGGATATTTTTACATATATACTGAGATATACAAAATCTGAGTCTTTTATCTGATACTCATACTGTCCTAGGTTATTCATTGATTTGTATCTTGTTCCATATTACATGGCATGTTGTTGTTTAGTAAGTATTTATTGAATTACATGGTAATGGAAACAGTAGGTACTGAACTCAAAGGAAAGAGAAAATATGGATAAGAGTAAAATGAGTTAGAGGTAGAGTTAATATACACAGATGTATTCGTAAGTCCTACACAATTTCTAGGATTGGGCCACAAATTTGGCTTTATAGTTTCCTAAGGTCACGTAAAAAGGGAAACATAATTAATTACAAGAGCCCTTAAAATAAATTCAAACCATTGCTGAGAGGATCTCACTGAGCCTTCAAAAACATAAGTATAGAGACCTCATAAAGGGGACACAGATACAAAGATAGAGGGACCCCCAAATCCTTCTCAAAATAAAATGAAAATATTTGAGATGTAAGGCATTTTGAAGTCTTCTGAGGTTCCTCATTTACTCTACCACATAAAAGTCTAATCTGCCAGCATTATAAGCACTGCAAAGAGGTTAACTTCAGTTGGGTTTGTGTCTCCCTGGACATATTGGGTGAACCCAAGAGCCCATGGTCTTTTAGCAGAGAATTATTCCAGCTTGGGCTAGTGCTAGATCTGAACTTGGAATAGGTTTTATAGAAGTCTGCTTGGGGAAAAGTCAAGGTTTGTCAGAGCTGAATCATAGGTAAGGACTCCTGATGAATAGTAGACTTAGTTTTCTTTCTATACTTACATGTGCCAATTAATTTTTTACCTTTACCCCTAGGAATGTTGAGTTATTACACTTTTTGTTTTGCCAAATTATTTCTTTTTTTCATTTTTGAATTTTATAGAAACTTGAACTGGATCGATTCATGCTTTATGCCCATGGACCTGATCTTTGCAGAGAATCAGACCTTCGACATGCCATGGCTAATTGTTTTGAAGCATTAATAGGTAATTTTTTTTTTTTTTATACTTCAGTTTCTTGAATGTCTAAAATGTCTGGAGAGCACATACAATTTAGTGTGGAGACTTGGCACAGAATGACTTTTTCCCAAAGTGAGGCCCGTAGTGTAACTCCCCCCTCGTTGTGCTGTCGTTTTTGTGGTTCCTCTGGGGCAGTCATGCTTTCTTTCCTGCGTTGCTGGTGCCTGGGATGGTCTGTTGTCATGCACGTGCTTAGATGTGCACACCAAGTTGAATTGAAGTGAATTAATATGGAGATGGGTCACTTTCCAGATTTGATTCAGAATCACATCCATAAATAAACAGTAACTCAGTTGCTGGCGAGGCCCTAATATTGTTTGTGATCACATTTTAAACTATTTACAAGACTTCTCGGACTTAAACATCTTGAAAACATGGCATTTGTTAAAACCCCAGGGCTTGAGTCTCTACAGCTATTATTTATTCTCTTGAAGCAAGACTGATGCAGACCTCTATATCCTCGGTTTCTTTTTTCCTGTAACCAAAGTACAGTCAGTCAGTCATTGCTACAGAAAAGTTGTGAAGCATTAATTAGCTGGTGATTGCAAGTATGCTTTACAATGAAATGTTACAGTAGATTGACAACTCGTTGATTTTTTTTTTTTTAGATGAATGATTGAATATGTTTTATTTTTCAAAGGCCTTTGTACTGCCTTATCAATTTTGCCCTCTTCCTTTGAAAATGCATATAAAAGCTTATAGTTTTGTGCTGATGATGGTGGCGAAGGAATGTTTAATAATTATCCAGTCTTTTCACAGCTATGTCTTGTTTTTCACAAATGTATCCTATTTTCAGGATTTGTCGGGTGGAATTACTATTCCCTGTATACGTAATATTTTTGACAGCATTATAGTTGGCTCCAGAACCAGGCAGGCATGGTTCAAGTTCTTCTTGCATCATTTTCCACCTTTGTATCTTCACCAAGTTACTGAATCTTTTTGAGCTCCAGTTTCCTCATCTATGACGTGGAGATAGTGTTACTTACCTCACAGTTATTTTAAGATCGTAATAGCCATTCCTGGCAGCAGCCAGTCCACAGCAAACTTGCAATCACCCTACCCCAGATCACCTCCTATGAGCCTAAATCCTGTAATTCTTTTTTTAAAATGTATCATTCTTGTTGAAAGTATTACACATGTTCCCCTTTTTTTGTAACACCCTCTACTGAGGCTCCCATGGAAGTGTAGATAAGCATGTGAAAATGGTTTGTGCAGTGCCCAGGGCAGAAGTGCCCCCAAACCCTTCCACATAAACATCTATTCTCAGGACAAGACAGTTATTAGGAATCGTACTCTCTAATGGCCTGGAGATTTTCTTTTCAACAGGCTAAAAGCATGTTTTGTTATTCCAGCAAATCTGGTGTTCATACACTGTACACTTCCAGTTAGGGGAAGACGGAGAGAGTACTTCTAGTACTGATTTAAAATCAATGGTTAAAATATAGAGACAGTCCCAGGTATCCACAATTGCTGGTTTCAGTCCAGATCTGTTTGCCTAGCAGTGGAGTCACTTAGATCCAAGCCCGTCTTCTCTGCTCCTTGTCATCCCCCTGAGATCAGAGATCTGGCAGGATCTGGCCTGTCACTAGGATCATTACTGTTATTGTTGTTATTACTGTAAATATCAATAGCTAATTAATGTATTTAGTCATCAAAAACTCTAATGACTACGTGCCTCAGTATTTTACATGAAAAATGGCCTTTCTGAGGACAGATATGAAAGTATGATTTTAAGAATGTGGCTACCTTACTCCAGAGTTATTTGATGCACAATTAAAATGTTACTGTAATACTTCATGGTAATGATTAATGGTAAATGTCTGTACAATGCTTAATTATTTTAAATATTTTAGATAATTATTTTAAATTAAAGATAGAGGTTGTCCTGGTTTTTATTTGCATTGATCTGAACTCAGGTTTTATCTGTGGTCTGAAACCAAAACTATTAATATAGAAAATAAAACAACATTTTTGTAAAGTCAAGTTTTTGTATGCACCTTTTATGACAGTTCATATTTGTCTTCTTTTACTTACAATATTAGATTTAGATTTTAGTTGAATTTTGTATTTCAGTCTCATTTTTAACACAAAGCATAGCCAAAAGCGGAAAAATGCTACGTTTAAGCAATGGCTTCTGATCTTGTCGGTTATTTCTGTGAGTGGGTTCTGGCTTGCCTTTTCGCTTTTTATAGAGCTATGTAATTTTCTGCGAATATTAATGCAGCCTTCCTGTGGGCATTCTCTTTCTTTTATCTAGGAGCTGTTTACTTGGAGGGAAGCCTGGAGGAAGCCAAACAGCTATTTGGACGCTTACTCTTTAATGATCAGGTATTTATCTTGACTCATTTGATTTTTCTCAGTTACATATCATTACAGAAAATGTTATATCAATTAGTCTTTGTGTTTTAAAGAGGGTGTAGGAGAAGTAAGTACCAAAAGTAGCTTATTCACTCGGTTGCAGATGGGAGAGGTCTGTGGACATTTACATGAGGCATTTGTCCTCTTCTGTCTTTATTTTGAAGTATCTTGGAGTTAATTATGATTTTCTGTTTCATCGTCGTTGAATACCTACCCCATGCAGGCTTGGTTGAAGCGCTAACCTTTTGGCTTTTCTGTTTATGTTTTGTTATCATGTAAATTATGTAGACTAGATAAATGTATATTTAAGAAAGTCAGTTCATAGGGAGCTTTTGATAGGGCTCTGAATAAAGAGTATGGAAGTACTCTTTTTAAAAAAAGCAAATTATAGTTTAAGAAGAATGATAGATTCTGAAATAGTTTCTGTTGTTACTAAAGTATTAAGATATGAATATTGCTAGAGCTCCTTTTTAATCCTGTATGTAATAGAGCATATTGGATGCTTTCTGTACCAAAACAAGTCAATTTAACATTTAAAGGGAGAGGCAGCTCTGTATTCCAAATTGAAATGTCATTATAATTGAATGAAATAGCCTTCGTGGAGCAATAAAGAACACAGGAAGCCAGTGTTTTAAGCTTTTGTGCAACCTTCAGCCTAAGTGGCTGTCAGATGTTATTACTGTATTACTTAGGGTAGTTAAAAGAAAAAGAATCAATAGTTTTGAAATATGGGACTTGGACGATATTCCTATTTGAGGATATGATCTTTTTAAAATCTGTTTTTATAGATATGTGATGATTTTATATGTTTGAATTTCCTTCTGATGGGAAAATTATCTACAGACGTTCCATGTTCCCGTTTTGTCCTGGACCCATAAACAAGTGTGCATCTTGATTTATGTCCATGGCACACCGAATGTGTTTGAAGTCCTGTTATTAAATGCGAAAATATCTTTGTTCTGGCCTCTTTTGTTGGCAATTCCAGCCACCTCTGTATTTTGTTTTCTCCCTCCAGTCTCACCTCTGTGTGCCTCCTCACTCCTTAAACTCCTCCCCTGCCCCCACCCACACCCTGGCCCTTTCTCCCATCCTATCTGCATTCCCCATCCACTCTGTTCCTGTTTTCCTGAATTAAATGCAGCTTTATATCTTGCGTGCTTAATTGCATCAGTTTTTGTTTAGATTCCTTTCTCCCTTTAAACTGCTTCTCTCCCCCTCGTCTACTTAGCAAGCTTATCTTCTCTTTCCAGTACCCAGTGCAGTGCTGGCTTATGCAGTGTTTAATAAATATTTGTTAAAGAAATGAAATGAATAAATAACAAAACAAAAAAGCAGAGTCTGAACATTATCTCACAAATGGTGTGGCTGAGATTCTGAAGGCTTCCTCGTGCGTGCGCCTTTTCTGACACAGACCAGGGCTCAGTAATATGTGGTCTTCCGCCAGGGCCAGTTTTGCTCAATGGATAGAGCGTCAGTCTGTGGACTGAAAGGTCCCAGGTTTGATTTTTCGATTTCGGTCAGGGGCATGTACATTGATTGCGGGCACATCCCCGGTGGGAGGTGTGCAGGAGGCTGCTGGTCGATGTTTCTCTCTCATCGATGTTTCTAGCTCTCTATCCCTCTCCCTTCCTCTCTGTAAAAAAACAATATATATATATTTTTAAATGTGGTCTTCCCACCTCAGCATGTTCAGGTGTGCACGCCCAGACATCCTGACTCCTCTGACAGCTGCATATTGGTTTACATCTGTTAGTTGTAGTACTTGAGAGACGATGGTGAACCTTTGTATTTATTTTTTAATTTTTTGAGTAATGCTATTGTGAAAGTCTAATCGGGCCAAGATTGCCAGGGACATACCTGTCCGCCGACAAAGTCTGAAATACTGACTCCATGCAGAGAGGGAGGGCGCTCACAGAGGGAAGTGGCCGTCCTTGCTGCTCCGGGCAGTGCTCACTGATGCTGAGGAGGGTCAGGGAGCAAGGATCTGTTCTTTCTTTCTTTCTTTCTTTCTTTCTTTCTTTCTTTCTTTCTTTCTTTCTTTCTTTCTTTCTTTCTTTCTTTCCTTTTCTTTTCTTTTCTTTTCTTTTCTTTTTTCTTTTAAAAAAATATATTTTATTGACTTTTACAGAGAGAAAGGGAGAGGGGGACAGAGTTAGAGACATCGATGAGACAGAAACATCAATCGGCTGTCTCCTGCACACACCCCCCCCCCCACACACACACACACTGGGGATGTGCCCGCAACCTAGGTACATGCGCTTGACAGGGATTGAACCTGGGACCCTTGAGTCCGCAGACCGACACTGTCCACTGAGCCAAACCGGTTACAGCAGGGATCCCTTCTTGGTTGGGGGCCTTGTCAGAGGTCGGATTAGAAGAAGCAAGGGATTCATTTGGGATTGGGTGCTGTCAAGAGCCGAGGGCAGCTTAGCAATTGAGTGTCGCCAGTAGTCTTTATTTAGGGGGTGAGATGAGGCACTCAGGTCAGAGGGCAGCACTAGCAGCAAAGCAGTAGCCCCTGAAAGAGGATGGTCTGGCATTTTACAGCTGCTGCCAGACCTTGAGGGAGGCATGGTTAACCTTGCAGCTGGCTTTATCTGTGGCGTCCTCCCAGCCTGTAATAACAGGGCTGTTTTCTCTCTCTCAGCCGGAACTGATTTTTACTCTCTCAGCCCCATTTTTTGTTGGTTTTGTGTTTTCCGGTGTGTGTAACTCTTCCCGGTTTACCCCGTACACACAGAACCATTCTTTCAACTTGATTACCCCAGTGGCCCTCTTAGAAAGATAGGGGGCGATGACTGTAAACTTTCCGGTTCTCTCACTCTCCCATCCTCCTCTGTCTCTACACATCCGTCCCAGTTTCTAGAAACGAGAAAAACTGTCTTCAAATTGCCGCTGGGCAGATTTATATACATGTTTCCTAGACTCCTCATCTCAACAGGTTCACAGTGAATGAACTCATCATCTCAGCCCCAAAACATCCTTCTCCTCCTTTATTTTTATGACCTAAACCAGAAACCATCTACCCTGAAGCTTTTTTCTCCTTGTCTCCATTCAGTTCAGATTCCTCTCAGTTCTGTTCCTAATCTCTCTTGAATTGGTTCGCTCTTGGCCGACCTGCTGCTCTGGGGTTTGTCCTCATTGCTCACCTGGACATGAACTGCCAGGCCATCATCGTTCATGCCGCGTCCAGTGGTGTCTTCTTTCTAATGCGCTGCCTGCCCAAGTCTGTACTATGCAGCATGGCATTGAATACTTTTCATAATTCCACGACCACCTATTTCAATCTCCTTTCGTTTTACTCTCTCTGTGCCACTCTAGGAATTACCTTTGTTTAGTTTTAATTTAAAAATTATCTTGAGATTGTTGAAAATATTATAGATGCCCCCCTTTTCCCCATTGACCCCCTGAAACCCTCTACCCTTGCCTCCCTCCCAATTTTAAATTTTTTTAAATCCATAGTTCATATTAGGGTTCACTCTTGGTGTTCTACATTCTGTGGGTTTTGACAAATGTAGACTGACAGGTATCCTTCATTATAGTGTCACACAGGCTATTTTCACTGTCCTAAAATCCTCTGTACTTTGCTGATTAGGAGTGACCCTTTTGGGCCTGTATAGTTGGAGACTTATTTGTGCATTTATGGTGCCCTGGTTCTAATTTCTTCCCTCTGCTACTTAATTTCTTGTGTTCTTCTGGATACTTCTGAAGTCACCTTCTCTCTGAAGCTTTATCTGACACCCCAGGCAGCATTTTCCTAGCACTTAGTGTATTTTCCTGTTATAGAACTTCTCAGAGTTTATTAAGTTGTACTTATTTACCTTTATTCTTCTCCAACAGGCTTCTTTGAAGACAGGGATTGTGTCTTATCTTAATAAGCTAATGTAAAACAGCTATTCAATAAAAATATGCACAAATAGATGTCCCAAGAGCCAGTGAACATTTTCCCTGAGAGCAAACTGAAGGTAGAGGCTTTGCCTAAAAGCTGATGGAGGGTAGAACTGGGATTCCAGTCTGGACCTTTTCCCGACACCCAGGCGCAGCAGAATCTCGTCTCCGGGTGCAGGAAGGATGGAGATGGACACTGTGGAAAATAGTCTAGTTGTGAGTGAGGGGTTATGCTGTTACACCAAGATGGGTGGCACCAGCCATTCAATAGAAACCACAGTGTTTTTAGTGTAAAATACATAGGAGAAAGTTGAAAGATGAGTCAGGAAGTCTTAAAATTTTGAGCTTCAGAGATGGGAGTAGTTTGAAGAGAGAGCTGTTTGTTGTTGCTGTTTAAGGTCCTCATTCTTGACAGTAGCATTTTCTGTGCCAGAACTGGATTCATGAGACATCAGAAAGCACTTTGCAAAGGTACTGAGATGCTGTTTTGTGTTTGAGGAAAGGGAGGCTCAGAGAGGTTAAGCCATAGCATCAGGGTTGCACTTGGGCTGCCGTACTCCCCGGTTAAGGAAAGATGAAAGGTGATTATTTGGTCATTTGGGTGTAAGGTGAAAGATGCTCATGAAGGCACTTGGATCAGAGGTCAAAACTGCTGCAGAGACGAACAAGGAATCCAAACGGAGGTGGTGGCTGACATGGGAGGAGCTGGTAGTGGTGAGGTCTGGCGGGAGGCTGAGGTCTGGTGAAGGTTCCTTCGGTGTGGAAGGAGGAAGGTAAGCCCTGAGAACAGGAGGAAGTTGCAAGAAGGGAATGACATTCAGTATAATTCATGCCACTGAGAATTCAAGGGGAAGGTTGGTTGTTAAGTTGGTTAGGAGAGGTCCTTTAAAATGCCTTAAAAGAATAGTTTCATGTTTAAGCTTTTTTTTTTTTTTTTTTTTTTTTTTTTTTTTTTTTTTTTTTTTTAACATTGGCAAAAAAACAAAAACAGAAAACACCCCCCGCCCCCCCCCCCCAAGTGTGTTTTATTAAGATGCAAGCTGTACAAAAGTATGAGGTATTTTTCCCCCCTTGGCATCATGTGTCACAAGTGATAGTAATTTTTGTACTTCACCCCATCTTTACATTTTTGAAAAATATTTTTTTCTCTTAAAAATACCCTCTCATTATTACTTCAAAAACCGAACATCAAGGCCAGAAGTAGATTCAGTCAGAGCCTCCCTAGGGTCTGAAACGGCAAGAAAACCACTTTGATCCTGACGAAGTTCTGATTATAACTCCCTGTAGACTTAAGTCAATGGCTTAAATAATATACAGGGCTTTTCCACAAAATTCACTCATTCCCGTGTTTAAGTAAACATTTGCGGGGACTCACAGTTCAGGTGTGGTCTTACCGACCTCCGTGTTTAGGAACTAGATGTGGAGTGTCTTCCCTCTGTCTTCAAGCAGCTTATTTGATAATGAACGACTGCTTAAAATTAGGGACATTTGATTACAAAAGGCACAGCTGATGCACATTTCTGGGGAATGGTAAACTAAAAATAGGATTCAAGTAGCCACTTTGCCCAGTGGTATTAGGTTAAGCAAACGTGTAACTTCGTTTTAAAAGGTGTCTTTTATTCCTGAGGATGGGGTAGCGCTTTGCCTCCCCTGCTTAATAGGCTAATTAGAGTCACTAATAGGCAGCTGGTGTGGTGAGTACACTTAAAACAAAATTAGTTGCTAGCGCTATTGAATTTTCAGTAAGTGGAGTCGGCATCTGAAATAGTTCAGGATTCCACATAACGGCGTTTTATTTAGTACTCTAGAGCGTGTTAAATGGCTCCCTTGAGCACTAAAGCCATCACTCCGTTTTCCAGGACCTGCGAGAAGTCTGGCTCAATTATCCTCTCCACCCACTCCAGGTAAGTGTGGCCTCTGCTCTGCAGTGAGCTTTATAGCTCCCCGTGTTGGTGACACTTTAGTTTGCTTTTTTAACCCCCTGTCCTGCTTTTATCCTTAGATTCCCTTCAGTTTCATTCTGACTTTAAGCTGGGGTATCAGAACTGGAGAACTTCAGAACAGATAGTAAAAGGACCCCATGCATTGCATTTTCATGGTCTGGGGGTTGGGGGGTTGGGAGGTGGGGTCTGGGATGTGTCTTCCCTTCCAGGGCAGAAATAACTACTTGTGTGGTTGAGATCTGCTTCCCCCCAAAAGTGAAATTCAAAGCTTTTGCTGACTATAGTATGTCTACATGCCTGCTGTTATGGAGAAAATATACAAGCAGGTTTGGGCTTATTACAAAGTAGAGCAAATACTAAATTAACATTACTGAATTGTAACCTAATTCGGACCTTAAAAATTGAAGGCTTTGACTCAGATTGCATAAAAACATATTATAAATTAAAACTTTGTACAATGTGATAACTTTTTACTCAGATCTTAGAATTTAAAAGATCTACACGTTGTGACATCCTTTTCCCCAGTTGGTTAAAAAGTTCTTACTATTCTTTGTTTAATTTCCATTTTACTTTGGAGATATACATAGATGTGTACATATGTATACATATATATACTCATATATGCATATTGTTACCTATACGTATATGCATATTGTGTATATAATAAAAATAATCATTAGTGACTGAACTTTCACGAGAGGCTTTAAAGTAATAAGTTGCATTAATTCAAAGTACTTCAGAAATATTTCCTTAGTATGAAATTGCCCAAAATTGTTAGAGATGTTCATTTCAATTACACTTTTCATATTTGCTCTCTGCCAGTTGTCAGAGGCTCATTATTATGTTGAGCACCTGCCTGGTGACATAATGCTCTCCATTGCAAGCCAAATCCAGTTTTAAAGATGCTCATTTGCTAAAGTAGGCTGGTCCCTAAAAGACACGCAGCGGTTAAGTTACTCTCATGCAGTGGTTCTCAAAGGGCAGTCTCCAGACCAGGAGGGAACTTATCAGAAAGGCCAGTTCTTGGTCCTCACCCCAGACACACTGAAGCAGAAACTCAGGAGTTAGGACCTGCCCACATGCATTTAACAAGCCCTGCAAGGCTCTGCTGAACTCTCAAGTTGAAGAGCCTCTGCTTTACTAGATACCGAATTTTCCTGCGTATAAGACGACCAGGCATATAAGACGGCCCCCTAATTTTACAGTTAAAACATAGGGTTAGGCCTATATTCGCTGTATAAGACTACCCCCCACTTCCGAGGCAACACCAGTTCTTTTTTTTAATAGACCGCCTCTCTAACTCAGCCAATCCAAGCAGGCTTTTTATGCATGCAAAGTATACATGTTTTGTACCCGAAGCTACACTGTGTTCTAGTAAAAAGCCTGCTCAGATTGGCCAGAGTCAGAGAGGCGGTCTATTAAAAAAAGAACTGGTGTTGCCTCGGAAGTGGGGGGTAGTCTTATACAGAGAATATAGGCCTGACCCTATGTTTTAACTGTAACATTAGGGGGTCGTCTTATACGCCGGAAAATACGTACATATATTCTCTACCAGCAACTCTTCAACTGGCCTCCCCATGGAGAGTTAGCTTAATGCTTGGGATTTTGAGCTATCTGTGTACAGTACTTGGCCTTGAAATTTGATAGAAGATTGGAAAATATTATTTGAACCCTCTTTAAATATTAGGTTTGTTTGCCATTCTAAAGGATGAAAGAAGCCTTCCATGTTCACTGGCCTTTCAGAAATTTCCACCCGGGGGAGGAGGAATTTGCAAAACACTCTCCTAGAATTGATAATTATTGTTGTAACCAGAAACTATGCATAATTTTTACTTCTCTTTCTCTGTAGCTGCAAGAGCCAAATACTGATCGACAGCTTATTGAGACTTCTCCAGTCCTACAGAAACTTACTGAGTTTGAGGAAGCAATTGGAGTAATTTTTACTCATGTTCGGCTTCTGGCAAGAGCATTCACGTTGAGAACTGTGGGATTTAACCATCTGACCCTGTGAGTTAAAAGTACCCACGTCGTCCCAGTGCGACCATTTCAACCAACAGTCCCAAACCATTGGGACTTCATAATTCTAGGAAATTGTGAGATGGATAGTAGCCAGACAGTGGCATGGACCAGGGGATATGCTCCAATCCAGTTACTTTGGTTTCATGTCATGCATCTGATTTTTCCATTAAGTATGGAGAAGTGTGAAGGAAGTAAACATTGTTTCTGTAAAGGGACAGATATTAAATATGTGGGGCTTTAGAGGCCAGTGGTCTCTGTCTCAGTGACTTGATTCTGCCATAGTAGCATAAAAGCAGCCATAGGAAAAATATAAACGGATGAGCATGCTGGGTCCCAGTTTAACTTTATTTACAGAATCAGGCTATGGGCTGAATTAGGCGCGCCAACCCTTGCTCTACTTGAGTGATTTAAAGATGAGCTAGTATAATAATAAAGAGCATAAACAAAATGTTATTTCTTTGCATGCTGTTTTATTTTCAATTTTTTGTCAAATCAAATATTCACAACTCTCTTTAAACTGTAAAGTTGAAAGAATCTTGTCGTAGTTTTTTAGCATTCTTAAACTAGATTCCAGATTTGATTAATGGGGTATATACAGGGGTGGGCAAAAGTAGGTCAGTTGTTCATATGGGAAAATACAAAATAAATAATAATACAACAATAAATTCTGTTTTGCATACTCACAACCTACTTTTGCCATCCCATATTTCAACTAGAGATAAATTTTAGTAAAGAAAATCCTTGGACCTTTTGCTTTGTTTTGTCTATGTAGAGATTGTACAAGATTGTTTATCTTTCAATTGATACTCCCCAGGCACTATATACCAGTCTTTATGTTAGCAGTTGTTTAATACTTAGAAAGTACTCTATTCTTTTTTTTTTTTTTTTTTTTTGAAACGCAACCTATATAGACTAAGATCTCTTTTCAATTTCAGGTCATAGGAAATTGTATTTAGTTTTGTGCTTTAATCAAGATAAACAAATATATTGCCTTTTATTATAATGTCGTTTTAAAAATTTTTTGGTTGTTTTGAAATCCATAAATACTAATTGATCTCTTTACATTGATGTTTCTTTATTCAGAGGCCACAACCAGAGAATGGAATTCCTAGGAGACTCCATAATGCAGCTGGTAGCCACAGAGTACTTATTCATTCATTTCCCAGATCATCATGAAGGACACTTAACTGTGAGTTTGTGTTAAGTCATTCCCTCCAGTAAGATTGCTTTAATAGAAGGTTAGAAGAGCCAGATATCTACTTATGTAATTGATGACTTAGTTCTTGGTGGCTTTAGCATGCATATCATATGTTTTTATTCATTTCTTTATGCAAATTATGTACAAAGCAATATATGATAAGAACGTACGTTATACTTTTTCATTTAATGATTACTTTGTGCAAGACATTGAACTAGGCTTCATGGGGGGAGCAAATATTAGTTGACATTTAGTCCACCCATAAAGAGTTTAAAAATGATTAGAAGTTGAAAATGTAAATAAACAACTACAAATTCTATCTATCTAATCTATCGTCTGTCTATCACGTGTATGTGTTTACTCATACATGAAGTGTAAGTTATATAAATACAAGGGAGAACCATCTTAAATGTTACAAAGATGCATAGGTAAGCTGATAGCTTGTGCTCTTGAGAAAAAGATTTTAAGTTGTGTGCAGTTCTGAGTAGTATGATGAAATCTTGTGCCATTCCACTCTTGCCTGGTATGTGAATCATTGCAAGCATATAACCTATGTGGCCTGCCAGCATGAGTTTGACATGCCAGCATATTCCTGCTGTGTATGCTATCTGTCCATTAGTCTCTTAGTAGATAGACTGTGATGGTATCGCAGTGCTTATGTTCAAGTTACTCTTGTTTTACTTAATGGCCCCAGAGCTGGCAACTTGGAAATGCCAAAGAGAAGCCATAAAGTGCTTCCTTTATGTGGGAAGGTGAGTAGAGAACAATAAGATATTTTGAGAGAAAGAGAGAGAGAGAGAGAGAGAGAGAGAGAACACTTTCATATAATTTTTATTACAGTATATTATTATAATTTTTCTATTTTATTATTAGTCATTGTTGTTAGTCTCTTACTATGCCTACTTTATAAATTCAACTTCATATAGGAAAACATGGTATATGTATGTTTTGGTATGTTTGCACTTTGAGGCATCCACTGAGGGTCCTGGAAAGTATCCCCCTTGGGAAGGGGAGGCTTGCAGGAGTAGTGCACTATAATGCAGTTTGTTAGTGCACACTCTTTTTTATTATGCTTGAAGCAAATAACAAGTTTTTTGTACTTTGCATTTCTACAAATTTTATGCATGTTTTGCTTTGAATAGAATTAGATCTTATCTCTGCAACCGTGAACCCTGGAAATAGTTTATAGGAGACACAAATATTAGAATTAGAGAGCATATGGTGATTTGCTATGTTTAAATGTGATTTTTCTCAGCAGAATTTCTAAGCCCAACAAAATACGGTCCTTGCACTCACTCACTCGATGAATATTTATTATTGTGCTTCGTCTATATCCCTTGAATCATTATATGGGAAATACTCAGTACTTTTATTTTAAATTTAATTTAAAAGGAACAGTTTGATTACCGAAGTTAGCTGTTTTTGGATGGAAAAGAAATTGTTTCCCTCTTGAATTAATATTTAAACCTTAAGAACATATAAGCATATATTAGAAATAAACTACTGTCTAGAATCTTGCTTTGTGTTAGGGAATCAATAAATGCTCCTTCAGTATATTCCATTAGGGAATAGACTTTGTAACTGTCAGAATATCTGGTTGATCTGAGAAATGGCCAAACCAAACCAAATGGCTTGAAGTAGTAATTCATTTTATGACCACATAGAGGCCACTGTTGAAAATGTGTGACACATTCACCCCTGAATTCACACAAAGTTATTTATGAACCCTAGGATTTTGTGGAGATGGGAAGTTGTAGATCAGTAAGTTTATTGCTTCCCATCTTAGTCACTGTATAAACACCTCTATACCCCACCCCAGCATTGAACAGACGATGAAACCAAAACTCAGAAAGTTGTTCTGTCCAAGGTCTGGATAAAAATAAAACCAGGACTATGATAGAAACTCTGCTTTTGTATTCTTTCCAAAATCATTTCAGTATCATAACTGTAGTTTTATCCAAAATGTGTTAATCAGCCTTGCTGTCTTAAAATGCCTGTTTTTGGATAGTTTATTAGAAAAATGTTAACAAATGGCAAAATTTTATATGACTAGAGGCCGGGTGCATGAAAATTCATGCACTGGAGAGGAGGGTCCCTCAGCCCAGCCTGCCCCCTCTCACAGTCCGGGAGCCCTCAGGGACTGGAGGCAACCAGCCGTCAGGGGTAGGTGACACCCCCATCACACCTGCTGCTGCCCTGTTGGCAGTGCAAGCCTTGGCCGGCCCTGGTTACATGATCATTGGGCTGCCCTGGGCAGCTGAGCAGCTGACATTTAAGGCTTGCCTGCGCCTCAGGCTGGCCCTGGGCAGCTGGGGGGTGAGGGTGGGTCCGGTTGCACCGTGCACCTACCACCCCCCGGGGGGGGGGTGATAGGACTGGGGACTCTTGTGGGGCTGAGGGGACTGAGTGCCACCATCTTGTGGCTATAGGCACTGCCATTTTGTGATGGCATGTCAGTTAATTTGCATATGCCCGCTTTATTAGATAGGATGGTTTTTATCAACTACTAGAGGCCCAGTGCACAGTCCTCTCAGGGGATGTCCTACCGATGGCAGGGAGCAGGCCTAAGCCGAAGTCTGGCCTCCCTCTGCGGGAGGCAACCGGCCGATTAAGGGAGGCGACGCCCCCATCACACCTCTGCTGCTGCCACTGCCAGCCACCGCAGCCGCCTGAGCCTGTGCCCTTGTAGCCACCATGGCTTGCATGAGCCTTGGCCGGGCCCTTCCAGAGACAGCCGCCATCTGCAGCCTGCCTGAGCCTCGGGCTCTCTCAGCGGCAGCCGCCATCCACGACCTGCCTGAGCCTTAGGCCGGCCCTGGCAGTGGCTTTGTCCGCCGGAAGGACGTTTGGAAGAACATCTGGAAGACGTCCGCTCTAAAGAGCCTTTTACTCTTTTATTAGTATAGATATTCACAGAAATCATCCCGCCCAGTGCATGAATTTTCATGCACTGGGCATCTAGTCATATAATAGTTTTGCCATTTGTTAACATCTTTCTGTGAATATCTTTACTGGTCAATAGGGCCAACAGATCTGCTGGCAAAGCAGAGATGATCTGTCATCAGTTAAACACATGTTTCAGCAGATATTAACTCTCAGTGGTGAGAGTGCTTGCTTCCTCCGTCCTGGAAACACTGCAGTGGCTCCTGTCATGCTGTCCTTTCGGGGTTTCCTCTCGCCCCTTTAGCTACCCTTTCTTAGCCTGTTCTTCTGCCTGCAGCCCGTCCTGCTTCCAGCCCTCGCTTCAGTTCCATCAGGTGTCAGTTCTGACGTTGACTTACGGATTAAGGGGGCGCCTTCCCGTGGCCCCCAGTCCAAACCCTGCATGCTTTTCCTTCCTGGCGCTTGTTTCAGTTTGCCTATCCCGCTAACCTGCAAGTTCTGCGAGAGCATGCTTCTATTTACTACTGTGTGCCCAGCAGGGCCTGACATATGTAAAGACATAAGTGACAGAGAGTTTTTCAGGCAGCTCAGTCGTAGGAAGAAAGAAGTGGAAGTGGCCCTGGAAGGAAGTGGCCGCTGTTTCATGTTTCAGGAAAGAAGCTGAAAACTTATTTATGAATGTCTAGAGGTTAAAATTAATTAAAAATTGTGGGGGATTATTTGTTACAGTTGAATTTGTTGGAGGCTGATGGCAAATTATTCATTATTGTGATTAAAGAACGCACAGCCAGTAATTCGCACTGAGGGGCGTTCGTTAGCTCTGAGCCATTGCCTTGCACTCTGGTTTTACGGTGAATAAGGACAGCGGAGCGAATGAAATCATGTTTCCAGGCTTTGAATACTGATGGGGGGCAAACATAGTGTTTTACAAGTAAAAGTCAAAGCGCTTCCTGGGGAGGGAACGTGAGCTTATGTAATTGTTCTAGGATGACCAGATTTGATTGGAATGCAGAAGGAAGCGGTTCTAATTCAGAGCCTGAAGTTTTTGGGTTTTTTTGGGTAAAACACAGTAGAGTAAGGGCAAGTATAATAAGAGAGAGATAAAGAGCATTTACTCAGACCAAGATTCCTGTCTTCCCACATTCTCAGGTTTTAACTTTTCAAGTTTTAATTCTTTCATTCTTCTCTCTCAACCTTTGCTATAAGAAACTGAGCTAAAAATAGTTGCTAACCCCATGCCTACCTCGGTGGTGTGCACTTGCAAGATGAACTTGCAGAGTTTTTTGTTTTTTTTTTTCCTTTTTTTTTCTTTTTAGTGGAATCATTTGGGAGAGTGGGAAAGCAAGGATTCCAAATAAAAAGTTTGAAAACCGGTGATCTAATCTCCTCCTGCTTCCTCCCAAGCACTAAGCATAAATCATTCAGACAAACGGTACCCTACCCACAAGATCGCCTTGAGAGGATAGAGTCCATAGCCTCCTGGGTAGACATTTCTGTCACCGGTATAATTTGCCTTCTGCATCCTGCCTGCTCGCATTTGTGTACCTTTTCTTTAGTTACCACGGGAGCTGAGGAGCATCTGGCGACACTCTCGGTGTAACAGTCCTGTGCGGCACATCCCTGTCACTTCCAATGATATATTCCGCTCTCACCCCATGCTCTTGTATTAAAGTCCTCCAAGTAGTAATCACAGTCTACTTATTTCACACTAGGTGGCCCTCTGGTAGCTCGCGTCCCACAGCTGTGGATTCCTCTTTCGCATCAAGAATGGAGAGGGGGGGTTGAAGGAGGAATGCCAGCATGTTTTTTTCTTATTTGTTTTAAACCAATAAACCTTTTCCTCATTAAAATTTAAGTTTAAACTAATTATAAAAGACTGCTGTGCTGAGATAATAGAAAACATCCCGAATTCTCAGAAACAGACTTTGAGATTTGGGATATTTATTTGGGTCCCTGCCAGTGCATCAGGAATCCAGCAGTGTTTTTTTTTTTTTTTTTTTTTTTTTTCTCAGCTTTACAGAGAGCCCGAACTACAGCTTCTTCACATTTTTGGGGGATTTAAAATAAAAATAATTGCGGGGGGCAGTTGGTTAAAAAGGAAGACAGCTCAGCATTTGGTAAAATGGAGAGCTTTGGAGACAGTGGATAGGTATACAGAACATCCTGCATTGAAGACGAATTCACAAGAATTCCTAGAGCGCTCTCTGGGGCTTCTTTTATAAGGGCATTCATCCCATTCATGAGGCCTGCACCCTCATGACCCAGTCACCTCCTAAAGGCCCCCAAATCATCATCTTTAGGGGTTAGGATTTCAACATATGCATTTTGGGGAGACAACAAAGATTCAGACCACAGCGCCCACTCTCCTGGCAGACTCATCCTTTTTCAGTTCTGACTCAATATTAGTCAGAATCTCAACTACATGAAAAAAATTTTAAATGCATGTGTTCAGGTCACATCCCCAGAAATTCTAATTCCTTGGTTCTTGGAAGAGGCCTGAGCCCCGTCTCTCATAAGCACCCGATGCAGCAGTCAGTGAGCCTCTGAAACGTTTGTGCTGGGCAGGTCCTCTGGGGGCGGGTGCATCACTACAGCTTCCACGGTGTGTCTTGGTGTCCAGTCTGTGTTGATTCAGGCAGAGGTTAGCAGCCCCCAGAGGGCAGCCTGGGTTGCTGATCACCTCGTGGGCTTCAGCTCTCAGCACAGCACGTAGCCTAGCCTCGACCTCCACACAGCCCGCTACGCTGCCATGACCTCCGGCGGTGGTCTGCCTCGCCACCCCCTTGTTCCCACTGGTGGGCAGGCAGCGCGGTTCTTTAGGAAGCAGAGAGCAGCAAAGGCCAAGGGTGCAAGTTGTCGTTTAAAGAATTGCCATTGGAACATTTTGTGTAGGTAAAGCGTGAGGTCTTACCTCTTCTCAACTCATCTCAATGTGCACTGACTCTAACAATACGGGTGACTTACAGCTTCCTTCCCCCCACGGACTTAGTTCAGGCTCTGAGTCTTGACAAAAGATCTCACTTCCAGCTGGCCATCCAGCGGCTTTGAGACCCGTCAGGGTGTATTTTAAATAAAACCGGAGCATTCCTGTATTATCTTCATTGCTTTCTTCCCCGCAGACAGCATTGCTGCACAGCACTGGGTGGGCAGGAGGCTGTGGAGCCGAGTGATCGGTGACGTTCGGTGGCTCATGTTTGCTCATGTGTGTGCATCAGGCTTGTTGATTCTGAGGCATGGAATCTCCCTATTGCAGCCTAAATAAGAGTTTTCTCCTCTCACCAAACTCACATATTGAGAGAGAACCGACTTGCTCAGCATAGCCATGTTTTCAAAATAGCCCTCCTACTTCCCCAGGGCCTCTGCTTGGAGAACCCCACCCCCGCCAGTAGAAATCCAAACCAAAACGATGCCTCCCTTCCGGCTCAGTTATTCTGTGATTATAAGATATTAGGCTGGTGGACTCCTTATTGGTTGGGTCTCCTATTAATGTTATGTGCTAGGCCTTTTTAATTTTGAGCTTCTCCGTGGATATTAGTTTTAATGAAACACTGTATTGAAGAAAAGAGTTGGGAGAAATAGGAGGAGGAAGGGAGCAAATACAAGCAAAGAATAATAGTCTGTAACTCAACAGCAAGCGTGGCTTATGAAGATCAAGTTGTAATGCTGCTTCATGAATCATTGTCAGACAAATTAAGAACATATTGTTTCTTATTTATCTATTGTCAGGGATGCAATCTCAAGCATTGAGAATAAATCCAGATTTTCATAAGCTTAGTTGACACGATGGAGCCAGAGAGCATAAAACTTGCATCTAATAAAGCGGGATGTGGAGCGGCGGGGGTATGATATAAAACCAGTCCCACTGGCAGCTGCTTCCTGCCCGCTCCTTGGCCCTGGTGTCAGGGATGTTTCTAAGCAGCGAGGAATTGTAGCAGACTAAGAAGGTGTTATACCTGTTGTTAGAAAAGTCCTAGTTGTAGATACATTATTCCCCCAAATCTGAGAAATTGGGGACACTTATTTTTAGATTTGTTGGGTGAGTTCCCATCTTTGTATTTCCTACTCCTGCCATGTGTCTCCCTCCTCTCTCCCCCTAGTGTGAGTGGTTAGTGAGTGTTTAATTCCCAAACCAGGCATGCTTTATGGGCTCCTCTTCCATGGGTTGGTTGCGTGATTTTCATGCACTACCTACTACTACTTGGATAGTAATGGAGGACTCTAATTTACTGAAATTCCTAGTAGAAATTTTTGTTTTGAGTTCTTGAAGTTAAAATATGGAAATTGTATTTTCACCTGATTACAGATATAGGGTCTCAGTTTGAAAAACAGTAACTCAGGGTATGTAGTAGTAATCGTTAAAATAATAAAAGTAAAAATGTAGTAAATAATTTAAATATTTTAAATAGTACTTACTAAAACATCACTTCCCCAAATACTGTAATATCAAAATTAGCATCAGTGCCGAGAAACTTGAAGCTTACTTCAGACTTTCAAAACTAATGCTCCTGGGTAGAAAGCAAGTGGAGTTTGCCGGGTGGGAGGCGGATTGTATTCCTTGCTTGCAAAGGACCACAGGGAACTTGTTTGGGGTGATGGAACCATAGAAGGTTGTCAAAACTCATCCGGCTGTACTTAAATGGTGAGTTTTATTGTATATAAATTATACTTCAGTAAAGTTGATTTTAAACCATTTTAATGCTCCTTCGTTTAATAGCATTACACTTAATGGAAGCTATGACCTTTAAAATAGTACAGCATCCCAGCACTGGCCACTGCAACTAAACAGCCACATGAGCTATTTAAATGTCAGTCAGGCAAAGTCCTGGAGTAGAGGGAGCTATTAGGGAGAAGTTCAAAGTGTATGGCATTTGTCACTGCTACCCAGGGGTGGGAGTAGGGGTTGGGGGTGGGGGGGAGGGCGCAGCTGAAGACTTCACTTCCTCTGTCCAGAGACACCAGAAGTGAATTGGTTGGTTTCTAAATGCACCCCCGTTTCTTCTGGCCAGTTGCTGCGAAGCTCTCTGGTGAATAACAGGACTCAAGCTAAGGTGGCGGAGGAGCTGGGCATGCAGGAGTACGCCATCACCAACGACAAGACCAAGAGGCCCGTGGCCCTGAGGACCAAGACGCTGGCAGACCTTTTGGAATGTGAGTCCCACTGCAGGGAGGTGTTTGAACCTGCAAATACAGTCGAAATCAAAAGGACCAACATTCATCTTCCTTTTTCTCATTGCTATTATGTTCTGACTAAAGACACCTTTCCTATTTTCACTTGTATTTATGCTTTCTTCCAAAGCTTATTTGGAGGAGAATAATTTGAAATTAAGACATTTGGATAATGCATTTTATGTTCAGTCTGTGTTCAGTGGTGCACCCTGCGCCCCCCTCCACATTCCTCCAGCCTAATGCTCAGCCACCACATCCCTGTGGGAAGCAATAACAAAATATGAAGATTGTAATAGTGAATCAGATTTCTTTTGCCACCCAGCAGCCTTTATATAGGGGCTTAGAAGAAAGAAGGGTAATTTACTCACTAAATACTAAAACTAATAGCCATTATTTTGAATGAGCTCAAAGCTCTATGGACAAATGTCATATTTTATACTCCCTGTTATGGTCTTTTGGCATTATGAATAATCCTGTTCTAGCTAACTAAAGGGTTATACATATAACTCACTGTTTCTGATAATACTTAAAAATTAGTGGCCATACCCTGAAGCTTGAAACTTTTTAATGTTAGTATATTTTTAACAATTGGAATTATATATAGATATTAAAGTCTACTATTCAAAAGCTACTCATTTACAAAGTGTAAAGGCAGTCTGACTAAGGAACCTAAAAAAACTTTTTTTCAATTAAAATAAACTAACTTAAAGATTAAAATTATTAAAGTTTAGAGAACATTTCCACTGGCTTTTTTTTTTTTTTTTTTTTTTTTTTTTTTAGCTCAATGAAGGCTATTTTTAATTCTTAAAAAAAAAAACAAAAAAAAAAAAACCTTGCCATTTGTTGACTTGGTTAAGGTAACTTTTAATGAAATTGTCTTTGAGATCACCATTTATTAATGGAAAGTTAGATATATTGTTATAGTCATTAAGTCCAATATTTCTCTGTGCTTGAGCAGATTGAATGTATAAATTATCTCATTTCTGTTCCTGAAATGTAGCTCAGACCCTTGTAAATGGGTGACCTCTTCAAGATTGGTGTTGAGAATGGCAGGCCCCAAGGATGTGCTCATTCTGATGTCATATCTGATCTTCAAGTTTTACTTGCTTTATAACACTGTTGTGTTTCCAGATGTCATTCTCCCCCTGCTGTACAATAGCATTTAGTCTGTCATCTTCACTAACATAATTTAGCCCTTAGCCAAACTTTGTTTGGTCTTTATACTCCATGACTTTGCATCTTAATCACACACCTATATTGTTGCTTCTGATATTAGTGATAAAGAGTTCTTGTTTAAAGAAAGATGAAATGGTAATGCTATCTTCCTGGTAGATGGCAATGGCATTGTATTTATTTTTAAATGTTCTCTTTTTCAGCATTTATTGCAGCACTGTACATTGACAAGGATTTGGAATATGTTCATACTTTCATGAATGTTTGTTTCTTTCCACGATTAAAAGTAAGCTCGTATAAAATTTAAATTGGTTGTATGCAATTCGCACGGTGATCTCAGAACCCATTACTAAATGTTCTTTGGGGACTTGCTACAGGAGTTCATTTTGAACCAGGATTGGAATGACCCCAAATCCCAGCTTCAGCAGTGTTGTCTGACACTTAGGACGGAAGGAAAAGAACCAGACATTCCTCTGTACAAGTGAGTACTCTCGGCCCGCAGTCCATCAGATCAGGGAGCATAGAGATGATGCTCTGGCTGCATGGAGGGAAAAGTAGTCACTGTGGGTGATCACGATCAGGACCCCAGATTGAGACTACTTAACTCTGACTCGGCCCAACACTGAAACTCTTTGGGCCTCTCAGTCTTACAGCTCGAAGTAAGTGGGTCACATTTGATTATGTTAGCTTTTCCCATCTCTATACTGGTGTTAGAACCACTCCCTGTGAGGAAGACATACTAAGGTTAGGAGACTGAGATGAGAGCAATTCAGATGAAATAGTTGTTACATACATTTTTATATCTTTCTTTAAAAAAATTATACATATATATATATTAATTATTGATTTCAGAGAGGAAGGGAGAGGGAGAGAGAGAGAGAGAGAGAGAAACATTAGTGATGAGACACAATCATTGATTGACTGCTGCCTCCTTCATGACCCCTATTGGGGATTGTACCTGCAACCCAGGAATGTGCCCTGAACCAGGAATGGAATCATGACCTCCTGGTTCATAGGTCAGTGGTCAACCACTGAGCAACGCAGGCTGGCCCTCTTATTATTATTTGTAACCTCTGCTGTGTGTCTGGATTGGAAGGTTGTGTCTGCTTCATTAGTAACAGGAGTTGGATGTCCCTGTCCACCCCCTTGCAACCTGCCGGCCTCTCCCTGTGGCCTGACAGACCCGCTCTCTCAGGCCGTCACTGTGAGAAGCGAGCAGTTCTTACTGCTGCTGTTATTCAAATATTGGAAACTTTTCTCCTCAGAATGTGTATCAAAAGCAGCCATGAACTTCAGAATATTTTTAGTGACAAATCTGTATTCTCTGAGTGATAACCAGAAATTCAATAGGAATGCGGGGCACTCACTATACACGTAACTCCGGCTTTGATGAAAACAGCAGGTTTGACTCAGAAGCCGAGTAATTATCTTGAGGCGCTCACACGTTGATTCCGAAGGTGGTTTCAAAGAGGAATTACAAAAAGGAAGAATTATCCAAATAGGTGGAGTGCCTCCCAAAGCGTTATCTGGATGTGCGCTTCTGAGGATGTAAAAATCCAGTCCCAGTGCTGGTTTACCGCTTGTCTATAGGTTGTAGACACACACACACACACACACACACTTGTGTGATTATTCCATAGGGAATAGAAGCCCCCCTTGCCTCGGACCTTTTCCACCTTCTGAAAACTCAAGAAAAAACACCGAGTGGCGGCAGGGAATCTAAAATCCTTTTATATGTTGTTATTTAACAGCCACTACACAATAGAGGCTTTCTCCCTAAAAGAAAAACTGAGGCCAGGGGACATTTGTGTCACCCCACAGCAAGCTACTATATATATTGTCCCAAGAAACTGTCACCGCTAAACGTTTCCTTTATTGGAGAAAAAAAAACTCCTCGTGTTTAGAAATAGCACTTTCCTATGTGCCTAATAAGCATAATGAATATCCCAACTGAATTACATGAAAGGCTCCGAGTCTTCCCTCATCAAAGTGATAATTAAAGTTGAAGAAACAAACCGGGGAGGGTACACCTCTCGTGGCGCAGGCATGATTACTGTAATAAGCGCTACCTTACGGCGGCTGCGTGCTCTCATCCCACAGAGATAGCTGTAAACCCGCAGGAAATGACAGCTCCCTGCTTACAAATCCCCAGCGAAAGCCCACGGTGAGCTTGTCCCTCATCGAGAAGGAGGGCTTGTTGTGCGTAGTTTTTCCAAGATGAACGGGTCCGTTCCATTCTCTTTTGTCGGCTACTTTTAATTTCCTCTTCCACGAAGTTATCAGTTCCCCTGCCTCTGAGATCTGCACCACGTCATTAAGATGCAGAGTACCTGGAGTGTTGTTTTTCGGCACTTGTGTGCTCAGCGTTATAGCATGCCTCTGAAAGGATCTCGGATGTTTCAGAAATTAAATGCATTTTCTGATCTTCCAGATAGGATAAGAGACACCAGGAAGAGTCCATAAAGGATGTGAAACCATTCAGACGTGGTTCGTGGTGTATTACCCAGATACTAATTGTTTTCAGCTGTGCTGAGCACTGAACAACAATGAACAGACCAATATGGTTCCCTTTTTGCTGAGGAAAGTTCATTTTATGATGCTTGGACTATTCAGGCTTCGACATTGCTTAAAACTATGTTATGCCTCACTGTTAGCCTTCAGATACTATTTGTAATTTATACCATTTATACTTTTTTTGGGAGGGGAGGGGAATGTATACAAATCCGTGTTAGAATTTTTAAAATTTCCTATTTCAAAAGCTCTCTGTATTTGTCAGGCTTAGCAAATACAGAATTTTTTAATTTTCTTATCACTTTTTCCTTCCTCTATTTTAAGCAATAAGTACATGTTTTTTCTTGGAGTTACATATTAGCAATAACAACGGAATCATACTTTCCCATGACTGACCTTCCTCCCTTTCCCTCTCAGGACTCTGCAGACGGTGGGACCGTCCCACGCTAGAACCTACACGGTGGCTGTTTACTTCAAGGGAGAAAGAATAGGCTGTGGGAAGGGACCAAGGTAGGAGAAGCTGGTTTCCATCTCTTCACGTGAGAAGTCCCTGCTTGGCATTTTCAAACTCTGCAGTCTGTCTAGAGTAATGTGACCAGATGTCCTTTTTTAAAATGCCGCGGGACGCGGGACAAATTGTTAAAAATCGGGACTGTCCGGCCAAAAGTGTCGAGTCACCTTAGTCCAGAGTAGAGAATGTTCGAGGGTAATAAAGTGAATCACAAGGATTAATGTCCCCACCAAGCCCAGCCCCCCCACACTTGAGCATCTGCCTTGGGTGTGGGAAATGCCATGGCCGAAGGGGCTTTGGCTGCTTTGAGAAAACCACATTACCTGGTGCACAGGTAAGGGCTGTCCTGTTTTAATTGCCCAACAAAGAACCCCACGTTGCTGCAAGCACTTTAGGAAGGGTCCTGTATGATGTCATCAGGCATTTGATGACTTAGTGCCGCTGGAGCTTTGTGGAAATGCTAATGTCTCCCAGTGAAAAGAATTTTGTGTGCTATCACCTTTCTTTGAACCCTCTAATCTGTGTGTTAAACTGAGAAGTGATTATAAGTCTGCCTATACCTATGTTTTTTACTCTTTGCCTCTTTAAGCTTTACACTGAGGATATTCAAATTTAAGTAGGAAATACTTCAAATGTAATATAAATGGAAGGCATTTTATTGCAGTATTAAAAGTGTGGAATGATTAACTTAAACAGGCTTGAGCAAATAAATGACATTTCTGCATGCCCTTGTGTATATTCCTATCTGCAGTTCAGTATGTGACAGGGGAAGTAATCAGATAAATTTTCTGTGCCAAACATGAAAATCAGCCTGAATAATGTGTAGCCATACTGTTTGTTTTTTGGAAAAAAAAAACCTCTTTAAATTAAAATGTACCTTACCTATATTTGATTTAACAGTATCCAGCAAGCGGAAATGGGAGCAGCCATGGATGCACTTGAAAAATGTAAGCCTCTCTTTTTTTTGATAATTATATGTTCATATTGTAATGAGTGTTTTATGGGAGAAAAATGGGAAAACAGAAAAATGGCAAGTTCTGATAAAATGTGATCTTCTTTTCTTCATAATTAGTCTTCACAGAGAGTGCGGTAGAATGTGAGATATGAATAAATGGGCTTATAATTTTATAAAAGTGTCCCTGAGTGCCTTTTGATGTTCACTTCCTTTTTTTTGCACAGAGTCACACTCTCAACCCAGGTAACCCAGGTGAACAACCTAATGTCTTTCTCTCTATAGATTTCTAAAACATATACATGCAAAGGTTTTTTCCTTTTAGTTTTTGGCCATTGTTCTATGGAATGGAATATCTATATACTCATGTGCATCGTTCTTTTCTTGCTCATTTTGGGCAGCCTTGTGGGGTGTAGTGGCTTCAGTTTGCATTGTAATTCATGCTGTAAATGCCCAGTAGTTTATTCAGGTTTTCCTTATTTGATTATTGTTGGATATTTTGTTGCTGGTTTTTCATCACTGTCGACAGTAAATATGTACATACTCGTGCTTTTACTACTAGTTCTGTGGGAGAGATTCCCAGAGTGGGATGGCTGGATTGAAGGAACTTCAATTACATAATTGGCCATGTAGGGAACTGCATAGTCTTTTGTAAATTGAAGGTCTAAGTGCAAGAAATTTTTCTTCTGAGGTGTATTGTGCTGCACAGCAGAACTTATGGCAAAACATGACTAAGCTATTCGATTATGTTTCAAGTTCAGTTATGCTTCCAGTACCAGCCGAAGGTGGGAGAGAGCAGAGTGCAGGAAGCTGACAGTGAAGAGGCCCCAGATTCTCAGCCCTGGGGGATTTCAGGAAGGGCGGCGGCCAGCAACATGGGAACTCAGCAAACCACAGCTCCCTAGGCAGGGGGAGCGGGGAGGAGGCAGTGGGATGGAAGCTGTGTTACCTTGTCCAGCGACCATGGGATCTTCACTGAGAGTTTCAGTTGACTGGTGGGGAACTTTTACATCTATTCTGTATAATGCGCAATCATGTATTAAAATACAAGTGAGATTCCCACCGGTTGAAGCACTTCACTCCTACCAGTCTGTATGGGGCAGTTCAGAATAGGCTGTTTTATCCCTGAAAGCTAATGAAAACCTCTAAGAATAACCTGTAACAATCTTATCGTGGAAAAGGGGTATGCAGTTGTGAGTACTCGAAACAGAGTTTCTTCTTATATTATTATTTATTAATTACTATGTTATTTTCCATAAAAACAATGGTAAAACTACTGTTGCCCCACCCTGTGTTTTTCTTAGGCTAATAATATGGGAAAGTGCTTACAGTAGAATAAATGGAAACCAGCATATCCTTAAAACATACGTTCACTGTATTCTTGCAGTGGAAGGGAGGAAGAGGGCACGTGTTTACGTGTTTGTGTGTCTGGGTAACACATCCACACTTTTACATGTGCATGTATGTGTGTAGTATAACCGAACTTCAAAGGAAAAGAGTCATAAGGACATACTCTAAAAGCTTATCAGTGATTAGATCTGAGTAGGAGGATTTTGTTTTAACTATGGATTAAGTTTTACAATAAAAGTTACTGAGGAAGTAGAAACTTGCTCCACAGCTGACTTTTTGGGATTGGAATTATATCTTTGAAAATATTTATAATACTTGAAACCTGTTTTATAGGACACAAAAGGAATCAGTTTAAAATATAATAAATAAATAAATACACCTATGAAATGCCAGAAACTATATCATTAAAAAAAATATCAGTTTAGTATCTTTTGGGGCATAGGATTTTATTACTGTTTTAGTTCTAAAATACGGATGCCATTGTGTTCCTTTTTTGTTTAAAATCAATCCTGACTCTCAAGATCTCGACTAGTCAAGAAGTCAAGATCTCGACTGATTGACCACCTGACTTTCAGGTCTTTTTCCTGCCACTCTGTCCCTGTCCCTTCTCCCGTCTGGGGAGAGGATGGGAAACTGTGTAAAAGGGGGGGGACTTAGGAATATTGTGTATACTTATTTCTAATATGTATACACTTTTATTATGCTTCAGCCGTAACAGAAACAAAAAATGTTTCCCCCTGGCATGCTATGTTTTGAATCATCCTCTGATTCTTCATACTTTATCTGTGAAGTAGTACCTCTTGTGTCTCACAGTCCCTCCCCCGAGTGACTGGATAGCTGTGTGGCTCTCATCTCGCTTGGCTCCCATTGTGATGTTTGTTGTTGAAGTGTGTGTTTGTTGACCAAGAGTGTAAAGTGACTATTTCTCATTCCATATTTGATTTCTTACCTATTGCTGCACTCGCCACAGACCACAAATGAATTATAAGATTTTAAAATCTTAATCAGGATTTCGACTGTGTCAGCACCCTTGCACGGGGTCAGATATCAGCCTAAATCTGGCTTCAGCTCTGCCCCTGAGCGCTGTCTTCTTCACGGATAATAGTGCTTTCCTGGAGTTGCTGTTGCTGATGCAGCTCTGGGCTTCTCACAATGAACTTGACAAATAGAATGACCAGAAATAGCGACTGAGAATGTAGCCTTCCTTTGCCCATCTGATCTTTTCTTGCTCCTTTCAGAAACTTTAATTCTTGGTAAATAATGGTGTGATGATATCATTATTTGTTTGGTGTTTTTGCCTTGAGCTTTGCAAAAATATACAACTCCATTTTGTTTTATCCTTTATTCTTTTCCTGAAAATCTCTGCTTGCTAAGAGAATTGTGCTAAGATGCCCACCCGGAGTCATTCTGCCCCCACATGTCCGTGTTTTAACATTGCTGTATGTCTCTGCGCTTTTTATACTCCAGTTTACATCAGACATTGTGATCTAGAATCGGGGATGCTGATCCAGACCTCCATGTATTTCTGAATAATAAACGAATAGGGGGAGAAGATGAACATTTTTTTTCTTGCCTTACAAAATACAGCTGTCTATATTTCATATGACTATGTGTTTGTATGTGTATGTGTTTAGTTTGCACTAGTGGCTGTCCTTTATTAAGTATAAAATATATCTCCTCGTGTCAGATAACTTTCCCCAGATGGCCCATCAGAAGCGGTTCATTGAACGGAAATACAGACAAGAGTTAAAAGAAATGAGGTGGGAAAGAGAACATCAAGAGAAAGAGCCAGATGAGAGCGAAGACATAAAGAAATAAAGGAGGACACGGACATCATGGCGTATTTACTTGCTTAATAACTGTGACTGCTGCCCATCGAGATGTACCCCAGTTTTCCTACAGACAATGAATGAAGTGTGCAGTTGAAATAAAACCCAGTCAAATCACCATTGTTGTTTTACTGGTTTTATATTCTGTTTTTAGCTAGGTAGTCTTTATTACCAGGTATTTGACTTCTTTTTTAATGGAAAACTTCACTTTAGCAGATATGCATATTCCCTCTTTTTAAAATAATAATAATAATAATAATAATAATAAAATTTTAAAAAGTTTATTCTTTGTGAAATAGATCATGTTTTTCTATCTCTGAGATTATTACCTGAGACTTTCAGCTGACAAGTGAAAAATTCAATTTACCAGATATTTGGATTATTCTCTACTAACAGGTACACTTTAAAATCTCTGGATTATTAACTAGATTTTTTAGCTTGCATGTGGATGTTTATCAAGTTCTCAGCTGCAAATATAGAACTTAACGTTCTCTAATCAGTGAATCCTTTGTAGAGGGAATCTCTTGAATGTTTGACTGGCTAACGGGAGAGGGAAAGACATATTGAGTCATATATTCTTTGAATCATTAGAATAGGGACGAAATCATGATTCTAAGTCATGATTCTAAGGAGTTTATAGATGGAGTTCAGGGAAGTTTCAGAACCTCCTGAAATTTTCTGTATGTGTTTGGGTTTGGGATGGGGTGGGGAGCGGGAAGAGAGGGTTCATGGCTGTCATCAATTCAAAGTGGTCCCTGCAACAAAGGGTTAACATTATATTAAAAGACATGACGTTTTAAAAAAAATGTTATTTTATACTGAACATCACTGGTTTCTTATTAATAAAGGCAAAACTTCCTTTTGAATGTGTTTTCATTCATTATTTTAGCAGATATATTGTGAGTGCCTACTATGTTTCAGGCACTGCTCTAGGCTCTGGGGCTACAACAGCAAGTGAACAAAACACACACACACATCAGAGGGAAGTGTGAGAGAGAAGACCTCGCCAGGCTTTTTAATTTGTTAATCATAACAATGTAAGATGGTGGTGCCCTGCCCACCTCCTCTCAACAGACAGCAGTTCTGGGAGGGATCGTTCATCAGCTGTTCCTGAAAATGTATGAGCAAAAGCTGAAGAGCACGGGAAAACATGGCTTCTTTTTAAACAAACACGTTCACTCGTCCTGCATGTGCATCCAAATAACGCCAAAGCCAACATGCAGTTCCCGACTTTTTCTTGGACTCTGGCATTTCCTCTCTTGAGTATTCTGGCCCCTTTAGGGTTCTCGCTCCATATCAATGTCTCTTGAAACCTGAAGAAGTCAAGTCCACAAGACATTGGAGTCTCTGACGCACTGAAATCTAACAAAGGCCATCAGCACAGATTAGCCCTGCTGGCTCTATAGAGTAATTGTGAGGCCGGCAACCAGCTCTGTGCCTAGCCTCATGGACGGCTCAGCAGGCCCCTGTGACTGCAGTTTCTACCCTGCCTCCTGCCCAACCCAGTCTAGTCCTCTCACCTTCCAGTTCTGATCACAAGAAGTGCCAGTGAGAGTGTAAGATCATACATTAATTCACCCGGGTTAAGTGCTGTTATTCGTAGAGGCTGGAGGTCTCTGGGGAGACAATAAGTGATGGGGTATTTACAGACAAAAGGCCTCTAACTGGTCTTGGGAGGGGGAGGAGGAATGGGCCAGACAGGGAAGGCATCAAAGTATTTAATATTTGAGATACTGAACTTTGAGAGGGTGCTTGTAAGATAGGGGAGGACATTCCCTCCCAAGGGAGCAACAGGATTAGGTGGAAGACTATGGCTTAGGAGCCTATTGTGTTATTCCGTGGGAAATGTCAAGGCCTGAATCAAGGCACTGGGGTAGGACAGATTTGAAAGATGCACAGGAAGTGGAACCTACAGATCATGGAGCAGGGCAAGGTATTGGCAACCTGGCACTTGGCAATTTGGGCCCAATCATGCTTTGTTGGGCAGGAGGGACTGTCCCGTGCAGGTAGGATGCCTAGTTGCTTTCCTGGCCTCTAACCACTAACCCAGTAGCATCCCTTCCCCCAGTTGTGACAACTGGAAGTACCTTCAGATACTGCCAGCTGTCCTCTGGGGGCAAAATCACCCTGGTTGAGAATCCCTAGTTTAGGACAGCTGTTAAAATATAAGTCATGAAATCAAGCAAATACTTATGAATTAGGGGTTTGGAGAACATCCTAAGATTTGTTGGTATTTGTAGCATGGAAGACGAAGCATCCTTGTCCTTAAGGAGCTTACTGTTCAGAAGAGGAAGTACTTACACTCATCCGTAAAGTGGCACATGAAGGAACAGAGAGGGGGTGACTCATTCTTTCTGAGGGAAATGTGGGGGTTAGAGGAGGTCCAACCTCCTTCCTCATGACAAAAAACCTTTCTTCAGGTCAGACATATGAGTGTATTTTTTAACCACAATATCATTATGACACCTAACAAAATTATTAAAAACTCCTTAATTTATAATAGTCAGTCTTGCCGAAACCAGTTTGGCTCAGTGGATAGAGTGTCGGTCTGTGGACTGAGAGGTCCCAGGTTCAATCCCGGTCAAGGGCATGTACCTTGGTTGCGGGCACATCCCTGGTAGGGGGTGTGCAGGAGGCAGCTGGTCGATGTTTCTCATCGATGTTTCTAGCTCTCTATCCCTCTCCCTTTTTCTCTGTAAAAAATCAATAAAATATATATTTAAAAAAATAGTCTTCAAATGGACTTCTGGCTTGTCCAAGTAATGATGCATATATTACCAGTGTTTTTTATGTCTTTTAAGTCTCTTATATCTAGAACATTTTCCCACTTCCCCTCTTTTCCTAATTAAAGAAACCCAGTCAGCTGTGCCCTAGATTTCCCACATTCTAGATGTGATACCTTGTCTTAGATTTCCCACATTCTAGATGTGATACCTTGTCTTTTTGTGGCATCTTTCACTTTTTCCTGTATTAGATCTGAAAACTTGATTTTAGGTTTAGGCTTACAATTTGTGGCAAATGTATATTTCAGGGTTTCTCCTCCCCAGCAATTTCAACAGTGCCAATACTCAAGTTCATTCCGATGGCTGTGATGGTTAATTGTGCGTGCCATCTTGGCTAGGCAAGCGATGCAGTCTTTTTTTTTTTAAACTGAAAAGTTGTTATTATTTTTAAAAAATATATTTTATTGATTTTTTACAGAGAGGAAGAGAGAGGGATAGAGAGTTAGAAACATCAATGAGAGAGAATCATCGATCAGCTGCCTCTTGCTCACCCCCTACTGGAGATGTGCCCGCAACCAAGGTACATGCCCCTGACCGGAATCGAACCTGGGACCCTTCCGTCCACAGGCCGACACTCTATCCACTGAGCCAAACCGGTTTCGGCCGATGCTGTCTTAAGTAGCTAGGTTTGTGGTCAGTCATTACACATCAATAAAAAACATACATTCATATTCTTTGTTTAAACAATTGCTTCATGTTACTATCCTGTTTAAAATATTCCATGAGCTCCCCATTGCCTGTAGGATAAAGCCCAAATTCCTTATCACAGCGTGAAAATGAAATTCTTTCACAGCCAGCATCTTCCTCTTCTGCTGGCTCCACCCCCTCCCACCACACTCCACCGTACAGAACAGGTTGCAGATATTTAGACACATTCTTTTTCTCAGCAGAGAACTTTGCATTGCCTGAAATAGGCCACCTCCTTGCTAATGATCTCTTTCTCCTGGGCTTTAGTTCAGGAATGAGCTCCTGCAAGCCTTTCCTTGGACTTAAATTTGGGTTAGATGTATATTCTTGGGCTCTTTCCCTAATCACATTTGTCTCGCTGTATTATTACCTCTCCACTGGCCCATCTTCCCCAACTAGACCACAGCCCCGGCAGGCAGGACCATCCTAATCCACTTCCGCACCATGGGCTCTCCTTCATGGCTGGCTGAATTAAAAACAGACTGCTCTTTGCCATCCTTCCACAAGCCTCAATGACCTTAAAGCAGAACGACTTGCTCTAAGCTACCTTCCTGCAGGAATTCTGAGGCAACAGTGCAGAGAATGACCCACTGGAGGCCAGAGCATCCATACCCTCTCTGGTCTGCACTTGGACTTGGCCAAGAACAAGGTGCTAGAATGGGACAGCATGAGCCAGCTGGAAGCAGAGAAGCTCATCTTCTCATGTCCTCCTGGGAGCTGTGGCTCTTAAGTCTTTCTGAGGTGGAGTTGGGAGCTCACACAGATGGATGAACAGACAATAGCTCCAGGAGCTTCATTCTAGATGATGAGACAGAGCCTCAGTAGCCCGAGGGGAGGTTTGGTCATCAGTGACATCACCAGTGGTCAGCTTGGGACAGGCTTTTGTCACGTGACCCCATAATCTTCAGCAGCAAGTCCCTCTCCAGCATTCTTTGCTATGGACAAATGTTCTTTATTCAATTTCATTGTGTTAACATAAACACTGTTCTGAGTTGCCACCTCCAACTAGATTGTGTTTCTATTTAGAAATCGGAGTTGCTGTTAACAAATGAGGACAGAACACTCAGTCTTCTCACAAGACTGCCTCAACTAGATTCCCCATCATTGCCTTGCACGGCCAGTGGCCCCAGAGACACCCCCATGGATCTCTGCTAATACCCCAGTGATGACAGCACAGCTGTCCCATCTCCCATAGAGTTACTTCTGATGTTTTCTTTCATGTCTGCTGGAATATTGGTCAGGTTAAGAAAGAAGTTTTAAATGAAGCTTAAGAAGAGGAGAAGAAGAAGAAAAAAAAAAAGGCTTAGCTAGCTAATCGTTTGTATGCTGACTATTAGCCCATCACGATTGGAAACTCTCAGATAAAACAACTCCTAATGAAAATGCAGCCAGGTCCTTCGCTGTAGTGATTCTAAAGCTCACCTCTATTATTATAATAATAGGGGTCTCAAACGGAGCTGTTGAGAACAGTGGCTGCCCCTGACTAGAATTCAACCAGAAAGATCAAGAGAGAGCCCTA